CCATGTCAGCGAGCCTGACGACCCGATCCCGTTAGTCGCCTCTTACGACAAGCATAGTCACCTTTTACGGCAAGCATGGGTTTCTGAAGCCCCACTCTACCCCGGATCTTCACGGGTCAATCCTCTGGGGCCCAGTTTTGGATGATAAAAAGTATAAAATGTTAAAATAAAGGTCAAAACACAAAACAAACAGACGCCGGTTAAAAAAATACGAAGTAGAAATAAAGGTTAAAAGTAGGAAAAAATAGTAAAATGTTACGACTTCATATGAAAAGAAAGAACAATGTGTACTAGGGCTGGGACGGGTAACTCGGGTACTCGGGTCGGGTGGGTCCAGGACTACCCGGACCCGTGGTTAGTCACGAGATATATTGTTTTATGACAAAAACTCACTCTTTAACCCAGTGGTCACACTACAAGTCGCTAATGTTCGCATTTCTTTCAGACGATGCACACATTCCTTTTGACTTGTATATGTTTGAGTAAAGATAAAGCTTCCGTCAACTTCAGTGAACGCATGAACTGATTGTTTGGTACATGGTTCTAAATAGCTTTAGCCAGGTGCGGTAAAACAATTACCAATCAGACATTTTGTTCCTACTCTTGAGACTTGCAGTGGGTACACGGGTAGGGTCGGGTAGTAAATTTGGACTCGTCCCAGCCCTAATGTGTACTAAAGAACGTCAGTGCGCACGTAAGGACTCTATACTGCTGAAGGACATTGACAATAAAGAACGCCAGATGGCGCGGCTATTTGTAAAACATTCCGAGTTTAATCGGCTTGTTCCGCTGTGTATATGATGCATGACGAGGTGCACAGTGTATTACGTCATGTTCATAACATGTGAAAAGTGAGCTTTGGGCGGAATTGCGCTCGCGCGGCACTGTGTCAACCTCAGACTATAAATTTACGCAGTGATGTAAAATGTTCACTTTCCTGTCTGATGGCGTGGTGGAAATGCAAATTTTAAAGCGATTTGAAAAAGGGACACTGCTAAGTTTTGTCTGAGATTGTGTCATGCTTAACGGTTCACGGTTCTGGCACAAGGAGAAATCACAACATCGATCCGGGATGGACATGCATCAACCAAATGCATCAACCAAATCAGCGAGCCTGATCCCCCGAGCCCGTTAGTGATTACATGGAACGTTTCGATGCAAGTCGAAAGTGTAAAACGTCATTTGTTTGATTGAAACAAACTGGCATGCACTTAAATTTCTTCCAGTTTGACATTCGCCAGTTCAAATAAAATAGAAAATTTACTGTTTAACAACCTTTTCACAAATGCCACTTTGAATGTGTTTTCAATATTAGTACTGAATTCTCATTGAAAATATGACTCGTGAAGATCCGGAGAAGAATAGGTCTTCAGCAACCCATGCTTGTCCAAAATGGCGACATTATTTGTTTGTCGCAAGAGGCGACTTTTTAACGGGATCGGGTGGTCAGGCTTGCGGACTTGGTTGATGCAAGTCATTGTATCGCAATTGCGTGGATCGATGCTTATGATATCAATCACAGGATTGTCTGGTCATTTAGCTGGAATATTGCTGAGTGCGGCGTTAAACAACAAACAAACAAAAAATTTAAACATTGAAAATATGAAGCCATATGCTGCTACCAGTTTAATCAATTATCACCTAAGATATATAATCAATATACGCAACATTTTTGTACTACACACACACACAAACACCACTATGCACCTCACATACAGACAGGGCTTGGTTAATGTTATCATATGCCTTTTATTTAGAAGCATGGCGTGTTACGCTCTAAATGCATTCAAAGGAGTGACCTACTGTCATGTGACCAGACACCACAACGACATGGTGTTTGTTCTCCCTGGTCCGAGACCAACTCAATAGACTGACTGAGGCTGTGGGAAGTATCATGTTGTCAATATTGCTCTTTTTTCAAAAGGAAAACACTGGATGACTTGGCCGTATTTGGCGTCTTATGATGCAGAGTGTCGGCGTCAATGTGGTGAGAGTTCACAGGCCATGACGGTGTATCTGGTGTACTTCATTTACTGTCATTCAGTTCTCGCGAATACGTCTCTGAACCACGTTCCAGGGAGGAGAGGAAATGTTTGTCAACATCAAATCACTATTTTAGTGTAAGCAAAACACAGCAAAAATCAGATAGTAGGACATAGTTATAAATAAGTCTTTCTTTTTCTTTTTTACATAAAAAATAGAATAATGACAGTGTGAGTTGACAGGCTTTAAGGACTAGTCTATGTCAGCCATGTCATAGAGGCAGGGACCTAGCCTAGGTCTCATTCACTGTATCAATGGATGTGCGGTTGATAACAAAACCTTGCAAGGCTTGCTGCAGTTTCTTTATGTGTGTCACCAGATGCGTGAAGTAGAGTCCATGGCGAAATCCTCGACCCTGTTGCTTGATGCGTGAAGTAGAGTCAATGGCGAAATCCTCGACCCTGTGGCTTGATGCGTGAAGTAGAGTCAATGGCGAAATCCTCGACCCTGTGGCTTGATGCGTGAAGTAGAGTCCATGGCGAAATCCTCGACCCTGTGGCTTGATGCGTGAAGTAGAGTCCATAGCGAAATCCTCGACCCTGTGGCTTGATGCGTGAAGTAGAGTCCATTGCGAAATCCTCGACCCTGTGGCTTGATGCGTGAAGTAGAGTCCATGGCGAAATCCTCGACCCTGTGGCTAGATGCGTGGAGTAGAGTCCATGGCGAAATCCTCGACCCTGTGGCTTGATGCGTGAAGTAGAGTCCATGGCGAAATCCTCGACCCTGTGGCTTGATGCGTGAAGTAGAGTCCATGGCGAAATCCTCGACCCTGTTGCTAGATGGATGAAGTAGAGTCCATGGCGAAATCCTCGACCCTGTGGCTTGATGCGTGAAGTAGAGTCCATGGCGAAATCCTCGACCCTGTTGCTAGATGGATGAAGTAGAGTCCATGGCGAAATCCTCGACCCTGTGGCTTGATGCGTGAAGTAGAGTCCATGGCGAAATCCTCGACCCTGTGGCTAGATGCGTGAAGTAGAGTTCATGGCGAAATCCTCGACCCTGTGGCTAGATGCGTGAAGTAGAGTCCATGGCGATATTCTCGACCCTGTTGCTAGATGGATGAAGTAGAGTCCATGGCGAAATCCTCGACCCTGTTGCTAGATACGTGAAGCAGAGTCCATGGCGAAATCCTCGACCCTGTTGCTAGATGGGTGAAGTAGAGTCCATGGCGAATCTCGACCCTGTTGCTAGATGGGTGAAGTAGAGTCCATGGCGACATCCTCGACCCTTTGGCTAGATACGTGAAGTAGAGTCCATGGCGAAATTCTCGACCCTGTGGCTAGATGCGTGAAGTAGAGTCCATGGCGAAATCCTCGACCCTGTGGCTTGATGCGTGAAGTAGAGTCCATGGCGAAATTCTCGACCCTGTGGCTAGATGCGTGAAGTAGAGTCCATGGCGAAATTCTCGACCCTAGCTGTTGCTAGATGGATGAAGTAGAGTCCATGGCGAAATCCTCGACCCTTTGGCTAGATGCGTGAAGTAGAGTCCATGGCGAAATTCTCGACCCTAGCTGTTGCTAGATGGATGAAGTAGAGTCCGTGGCGAATCCTCGACCCTTTTGCTAGATACGTGAAGCAGAGTCCATGGCGAAATCCTCGACCCTTTGGCTAGATACGTGAAGTAGAGTCCATGGCGAAATCCTCGACCCTGTGGATAGATACGTGAAGTAGAGTCCATGGCGAAATCCTCGACCCTGTGGCTTGTTGCGTGAAGTAGAGTCCATTGCGATAGAAACCATATATACAACTTCTTCTTCCGCGTGAAATTGCTAAAAGGAGACATATCCTGACTACTCATCGATATACATAGTATCAGAATCGTGTGGATAGGGCTGCTAAATAATCGGGTTGAGGCTAAAACGGCCCTGGTTTGTCAAAGGTGAGGTGAATTGGGGTTTAACGTCGCGTTCAAGACGTTTATATAGACATTTATATAGCGTGTGTGTGTGTGTGTGTGTGTGTGTGTGTGTGTGTGGCTGCTTGTACTAGTCCGGACTGATGCCAATTATATATAGTGCTAGCCCACTGAGATACCATGCCGCAGTTTAACATGAATACCCCACTCAGACACAGTATACTGACTCAGCGCCGACCAGTCCTTGTTTTAGCCCCTTAATGCGGAGCACCAGACAGGGTAACAACAAGTACCATTTTTAACGTCTTTTGGTATCACGCGGCCGGGGATCGAACTTCCGACCTTCCGCTCTCCAGACGGACGCTCTACCGCTAGACCACGGGGGCAGTTTGTTTGTCAACACATGCATGTAAAACATCGAGACAATTCAGATAAATGGAGACATTGGTTTGGTTTGAAGAAGAATCTCGGAAATACCTTTCTTGACTTGAAATGGGCGTGAAGTCAGCTAAAATACAGAGTTACCACCTGACACACTCATGTGGTATGTGGAAATGTTTTATATACACCGTTGGTAGTTCGATATCACGTGAATAAATAGTTTGGAAATTCGGGTGAGGAACACCATTTGGTTCGAACCTGTAAAATTGCCCATATAGTTAATAAGAATCGTTTTGCATGTTTAAATTAAGGATAACCACTTCATCAGGTGGGTTTCGGGTTATTTCCATATCCTAGAAAACTGTGGGAACTCCCCACTAAGATGGCACTCTTGCGGAATATGAACAAATAGCGGCAATTAAGCGTGTTACATAAGTTGACTATATTATGCAATTATACGTTGTTACATTCCAGCGTCTTGTCTTTAAAAGTTTGTTTTGGTTCACTTCTAGAGCACAGCCCACAGCACACCGCACCCAACCACACATGTTATAAAAAAAACGCGCACATACTCACGCACGCACGCACGCACGCACACACGCACGCACGCACGCACACCGGTCCGCTTATTAAAATCCACCCTTCTTTCATCTAGCTGCTTCCATTGAGATCGGAACAAAATTTAGATTTAGTAGGATATCATTGGAGCGACTCCAGATACAGCCACGAGACAAAGAAGTACACCACTCCAGCACATTCTCGCCGTTACTGTGGATCCACGTTATAGCGTCTCTCGTCTATCACCGTTGAAAACACCTGTGGGCGACAAACATGGCCAGGCCACGAGTTTTCTTTGATATGACCGTTGACGGTCAAAGTGCAGGAAGGATCGTCTTTGAGGTAAGTTATGAAGAAGTCAAAAGTGGTTCGATGTGATAATACCACTACCCCTGAATAAGGAAGTGATTGTCGACCATGCTCAGGTAACAGATACTTCCGAACTTGTTACGCTTCAGTGACATGGGAGTTGAAGCGCTTTGGGGTGTTTCCGCAGCGATCCTCGCATCCAACACATTTGGTTTAGTAGCCACACCCATTTTGGTCAGTAACTCACCTTCACATAGATCTAGTTAAAGTGATCTTCATGGGGCTTCATCCGGTTTCATGAGGGGTTTTTTCCGTTAAAAATAGATTTGTTGTATTTGGGCCTATCTTTAACCCCCAGGATGCCCAGAGGGACATTTAAGTCACTCCTCTTCAACCCTCACATTGATGTCGAATAGAATTCAACATACATCACGCACACAAATTCTGTGGGAAATTCCCTGTTCAATGATATCATCCACTGTCATTTTGGGCAAAGCCAAATTACTGAAAATTACCTCTGACAATTAGGTACATCATAAATGTCGCCATTTTTTACACATTATTAAATCACCATTCACAGCGTTATTTACAGCATTTTTTTAAATCTAAATTTCGGATATTTATTCGGAGAAATGAATTTCAAAAATAGCATTGTAGTGATCACGGGTATCTGTCTTTTATCAAATCACCTAATCACTTAAAACCCTTGAATCGTTTAGAAAGATTTTGAAAATACGCAAAGAAACGCCAGAGTGAATTTTCCCCCATATTGGATAGTGTTTACTCAATCATGTATCATGTATGCCGGTAATGAGACGCCAATAACATCACATATATTTCAAACTGATCTGTGATACATACCTTTATTTTAACTATCCATTCATCTATTCGTTGCGTTCATTGGCTCAACATTTTCTGAATATGCATGGTAAGAGTATGGAAGCATGAATTAGGGAATTAAAAAGAAATACAGTGCAATGAGTTGGTAAATTGAACAGAATTTGTCAAAGTTAAAATCCTGCATGAGGCCATGATGGGCGCAAAACCACATACGACAACGGTAGTTATCAGAATTTCTGACTATATCTCTTGGTTTCGATGAAAAACATAAAAACAAATAACAGTACACAGATTGTCAGAAAGTTTCTGATTACTTACATGTCACATTTATACATGTATATATCATCCCTGAATCAACAAAAGTCCCTTCGTAAAGTCCCCTGTATGAACCTTTGATGATCTGTTTGTTTGAACATTGTTTACATAAGAATTTGATAAGTTTATAGTGTCGTATTCGTTATTGCTTTCCTTTAGACAATTGTTAGAAGATGAAGTGTAACATGTACATATTTCTTTGGAGTGTAATAGTCAAATTGTTTACTTATCCTGCATTACTCCTTAATGCATTCACTGCTTACCTTGCGTACCGGCGATGGTCCTGGGTGAAGATAAATAAACTGTTCCTGAATCTCTCTTTTATACCACGCCACGCCACGCCACGCCGTCCCTGTGACCTCACGTGACCTAGGCCACCACTTCACATCACTACCTGTCGTGCTACAGCTAGGACGTGTACAAGCAGAGCCCTCGTTTTAGATTTATTTAAGCCTTCAGTTTCCGTGTACTATTCTAAAAGTCATCTGCGACGGGTGATGTTGTGAAGTTGTATGGGATTTATTTAGGCGTAAAAAGACTTTGTCTTTTTTTCCTGCCACGTGCTATCTGTTCCCCGCCATTTTGAATTGTGTTACAATTGTTTGCCTGCCAGGGTAGTCAATTTGTTTACAATTCTCAGCTATGTATGTATAACATATTTTATGTTTGTTTCAATACTGCTAGCGTTGGCGGTTCATTGAGTTGCGTATATACAAATCATTAAATACACTTTCAACTCGTTACAAACTTTGCCGATAGATTACTAATTGTCTACGGCAGTTTTTTCCAGGCCCTTTTCATCAAAGTATCTATATTGCGTAACTTATGCTTGCGTGTTGTACTAATTGTCGTGGAAAAAAATCAATTAAAGACCCTCATCCACGTTGTTTGGCATGTACGCAAATATGTGCACCAAATTCTAAATGTTTTTTGTTGTAAATCTCTCTCCATTGAGTTTCATGAGGTACAGGCAGGTCACTCACAAACGTATTTTGCAGCAATCCCATCATGAGACCCGGAAGATGTCACAATCGCTGATTAGCAAGGGACAGGGTTCGGTCATTACGACGCAACCTATATCTTTGAAGGGTAATATGTTGGCCGTTACTGTCACTGCGGAAGTGCACGTTCCGCCGAAATCCTCTATTCCAGAGGATGTTGTGAGTATTATAATTGACCGTAATTTGCAGTCATCTGAGAATTCTACATCTGCTAGATCTGCGAACAGTGCGCCAGCGTCTCAAGATGCTTTGTCAGGGGTAGCGCAAAGCCAAGCCATGCAAAAGCCTACACCATTGAGCATTGCACCTCATATGCCTGTGCCGAGTGCAGCCACTGCCTACTACCCAAGCGCATCTACAATGATGCCAGCCCCAGGGCTATCAGCGTACAATATTACACAAGCAGCGCATGATCAGCTTAGCGCTGTACCAACGTATCCAGCGCAGCAGATGCAAGCTCAGACGCCAATGCCAATACAGAACACTAGTTGGATGGTAAATATTTAACAATCCATGTGGCAGCTGTCCATGACACAAATGTATTCTGCGCCTGCGCCTACGCCTACGTATCAGACACCTACGTCAGTTACATCTACGGCACAGATTTTACCACCTACTCCAGAGTCATAATACAGTGCATTCTTCATTGAGTAGTACCCGTACATCGATTCGACCCTATGATGTCAGATATGATTAGATATTTGGATTAGGACTTTTCCAGGCTGACACTTATGCCGTCATTCAAGCCTCCCAGGTTTAAGAAAGATGAATTTCCTATTCAAGGCTTTGAGGCAGCAGACCAGGCACATAGTTTTGACGAGGATATACAGAGGCTCGTCAAGGCCTACTACTCTTAAGGTTCTGGATACCAGAGTTGCCTTTATTGAACCGGAAATTCGAAGGGTATTAAAACCTTTATCAGCACTAGCATTGTCAACACGGGGCGGTAGAGCTGGATCTGTCAGAGGATAACCTCCAAACTATAGTTGATTTTCAGCAGGGTCAGACTGACCATATGAGAAATCATCTTAAAGCTGCGCTGGCGGAAATAACTGTCACACGGAGACTTGGTTATTTAGCCCTATCTACTTGGGACTCAGAGTTTAAGCGCAGGTTGTTACGTCAATCTTGATCTTCCACGTCTCTGTTCAATGAACAAATCATGGACAGGCATGTCAAAGTTTCCAGTTACACTAGGGATGAAACGGCACTCAAGGCTTTGGAGCACGTTTCTCAGAGTGTATCCCAGGGATCAGGCAGGTCAGGCAATTACAGGCCTAGACGAGAGTCTCTCAAGGAAGGACAAGCGCAAGATTCCTTTCGTGGTAGAGGGCGTGGCAGAGGGAAACCTCAAGGTTCTTATCAATCCCGACGTGGTAAATACCACAGTAAGGGAGGTGATAGGAGGGGCAAACATTAAATTGTTGGACAGTCACGACTGAGATCTCCCACCCCCAGTTGTCCCAATTGTTGATGGCGGGAGACTGAGTCGATTTTGGAAGAACTGGAGCATCCTCAAGGACGATAACGTTCTCAACATTCTACATCACGGTTACCAACTAGACGTAGAGGTATTTCCACTGTTGACCACGGCTCCTCTCCCTTGGAATTATCCAAGAAAGCAACATCTGCTATTAAAGGCCAACATAGACTTGCTGTTGGAAAAGAGATCCGTAGAGATTATACACACCCAAGCGTTAACACCCGGGTTTTATTCTCACATCTTCCTGGTACCCAAGAAGGGCTCGACAAGATGAGAATGATACACAATCTCTCTGTTTTGAACGAATGTTACCTGAAGCGTCCACCCTATTTCCGCCTCATCACATTGAGACTACTCAGAACCAGCATAAAAGTGTTCGATTCCTTGATTAGTCTCGATCTGCAGGATGCATATCTGCACAAACCAATCCATCCCAACGACCACAGGTTCCTCAGGTTCCAGTTCAATGGGGTTCACTACCAGTGGGCAGTACTCCCATTACAGTGGCCCCATGGCTATTTACACCAGTAATGAAGCCCATAACTGCGTTTCTACACCTGAGGATCATTTGGTTCGAGTCTTACATAGACGACTGTCTCCTGTGTCATCAACACATACAGACATTAGTATGCCACCAGGATTTCTCCAGAAGGCTGCTATATCAACTGGGATAGATAATCAACGAGGCGGAGTTAACTCCATCATTTCAACTCCAGTTCATAGGAGGCCTGTTTCAAACAGATCAGGACCTCCTATCAGTCCCGAGGGACAGATGGCACAAGATTTTATGCCTCCTGCCACCTGCTCTTAATCAATCACGCACACTTCACCAATGGCAAGTGTTGTTAGGGTTACTCACCTCAGCCCAGGATCTAACCAGCAGAGGCCGCATACAATTAAGCCCAATACAACAATTCCCAAACCCTTACATCAGGAGTCAGGATCCACTCAAGGCCATCATGCTACCGACTCATCCTCATTTGATGGACGGTAGAGTCGAATGTCTTAGGAGTCTCTTTGTCCGGGTTGTCCCCGAATCTACACCTGTTCGTAGATGCCTCCCTCCAGGGGTGGGGTGCTCACCTACAAGACCAGACAGTCTCAGGGCTATGGTCAAGCGCTGATCCAAAGTGGCACATAAACAGTTTGGAGTTGGAAGCTTTAATCCTAGCCATATCTCACTGGCAGAATCAACTACATTCAGCCCAACTCATACTATCCACAGACAACAACACTGTGGTGTGGTGTCTGCGCAATCAGGGAACAACGCACTCCCACTCTCTACTTCAACAGACGTTCCGGTTTTTCCACTTAGTGCATCGTCTAGTGATTGACTACAGTTCATAGTTCAGCACATCCCAGATGTCAAAACATTCTGTCCGATGCCTTATCGCGCCCAGACAGGGTAGCACCCACCGAGTGGAAACTTCACACAGAAGCTTCCAGTTACTGCTTCGGAAGTTGGGGCAACCAAACATCGACCTGTTTGCAACTTGCCAACATTACCAACTCTTGACGTATGTCTCCCCGTTACCAGATCCGAAGGCTTGGTCGGTAGACGCGTTCAGCATTCCTTGGGAAGGACTAAATGCGTATGCCTTTCCGCCACCAGTCTAAGTTCCCAGGGTAATACAAAAGATCAATGAGACAAAGATACTTGCTGTCACTTTGGTCTGACTTTGCTTGAGGATCAGAAGACTAAGTTCCGCCCACCGGCGTGGGATTTGAATGTGGTACTTCGAGGTTTGCGGGAGCCCCCCTTCGAGCCCCTCTATGCATCCTCTTTTTATGACCTCACCAAGAAAACTGTTTCTTTTGGCATTTCTCACGAGTGAGCGAACTACATGCGATCGACATCACCTGGGTTCGTTTTGAGCATGGGACGCACAGAGCCAATATCAACGATTGTGGGTAGTGAAGATGAGGGTGAACTTCTATTATGTCCGGTACAGGCACTGCATATTTTCATCCTCCGTTCCAAGACTAGGCATGGCTCCAGGAAGCGATTATTTATACTTCCACAACCGAAGTCAGTCGCAACACCATATCTCTATGGTTACGCGCAGTCATCCTTCAGGCCTATTCCATCGCCAATTTGCATCCGCCAAGAGTGAATAATCCTCATGAGATTAGGGCACTAGCCTCTACCATGGCCTTACACAGCAATTGTACTATTAAAACAATCATGGAAGGATGTTTTTGGAGGTCCGATACAATTTTCGCCAGTCATTATCTTCGCGATGTGACTCTTGAGGACGTTGAAGGTGTACAGAGTTTTGGGCTGTAGGCAAGTTACCAACCCCGATGCAAATAATAAACTCGCCCTATACAGAGCCTTTCCCTTTCCCTTGGTGCAGTCGACCAGATTTCGCCAGTGGAAGAATATGAGACAAGCAATTGTCCACAGGGCTCCATTTTTCTACTAAGTAAAGATTTGGCTGTTGAGTTATTTGTCTTTATTACTAAAGATGTATAGGAAACTACTCTTTAATTCCTATGTTCAATGTTTTCACATTGATAGAACCCTACCGTAACAGCGTTGGTCTGAACTTTTCTGCTTCATGGTTTACCAACCAATCAATGTCGTACCTTCAGGGTGTGAATTATTGAGGTTTCTGTATTCTGAAGGTTTACCCACCTCCAAACCGTCCAATACAAATGCATTAAGGAGTAATGCAGGAGAAGTAAACATTTAGTAAAATCTAAGTATTTTTTACATTTGTATACTTATCCTGCATTACTACGTTTAAGACCCACCAGTCGAAGACTTGCCTCCCCACGTTGGCTTCAGAAACCTCAAAAGTATGGGGGGTTTTAAGCTCGGGCAGTGATGTGAAATGGTGACCTAGGTCAGGAACGGCGTCGGCATGGTATAAAAGAGGAACAGTTAATTTATCTTCATCTAGGACCATCGCCCGTACTCTGTCCTAGTTTTTTTGTCGCAAGGGAAGCAGTGAATGCAGAGAAATGCAGGATAAGTAAACAATGTAAAAAATATTAAGATTTTACTGATATTGTAATTTCATATGAAAGGTAAATGAATAGCTAAAACTGAATATATTACTTTTTAAAGAAAGGATAATATTTTTTGTTAAAATATATGAACATATTTTTAGAAGAATTGTCTTGGTCTTGGAATTGTTTGTTTTCTTGCCTTTTGATTGACAGATAGGTGATGTCTAAGTATTCGTCAGGGGTGTGTTAGCCACAAATGATTTAGGAATTATTCCGTTCGTTTTGTATTATATAATCAGTGGGTCCAACCATTTTAAAATGATTTTTATCACAAGATATTAAACTGTTTACTCTATTTCACCAAGAATTGTAAAAAGTATATGCACCATGACTTGTATCCCGTTCGTCAGACCTTATACGATTATCCTGATAATTCCATACCAAAGGAACTTTCTTCGCAGCTCTTATTATATAATTCTGAGATGAGATAAAGAGAGAAAAATCACATAATAATGAACAAATACATGTCCAATTTTGAATATTTGTTTGATTTGAAATATTTTTGGGTTAAGTGATTACATAAAATAATTGCCAGATGGGTAATATTAAAATAATTTTTTGCCTATGTATGATGTTATATATGTTTCCCACAACTTTCACCTTGGAGAGCTGCTCACGGTAGTCGCATGCAGTGTACCTGCTGTGGCAAGCTGGTGTGGTCATCTAGTGTGGTCATCCAGCCCCTTTCTCTGCAAAATGCACTCAAGTTAGTGGATGAAACGTCTGCCTGGATAGCAGAAGTTTGGTGTCTCAAACCCCTGAACGTGTCATAAAAAAGACATTAAAAGTTGGTACTTGTTGTTGCCATGCCTTGGTATATAGGGGATAAAACAAGGACTAACCTGTGTGGAGTCAGTGTACTGTGTCTGAGTGGGCTATGACTTTGTCATTATTCATTCTAAAAACGCTTACACAAACTGTTCAATTTTTTTGGATGAAAATATGGTATGAAGTTATTGGTTATGAATAACAATATATTTAGCACATCCTCAGCATTTAAGAGTTTTGTTCTTGAATAAAGGTGAGCTCCTGTGCCTTGGTATTTTTGCATATTCTAGTTTAAACTTCTTATCAGGTGAGCTACGGGGCGGTCGGGTAGCCTAGTGGTTAAAGTGTTTGCTCGTCACACCGAAGACCCGGGTTCAATTCCCGACATGGGTACAATGTGTGAAGCCCATTTCTGGTGTCCCCAGCCGTGATATTGCTGGAACATTGCTAAAAGCAACATAAACCAAACTCATTCACTCACTCACTCAGGTGAGCTACAGAATTTGTGGCTCTATTTTGTTTGTAGTTTAAGCAATTCTGTGTTCCAGCTGTATAGTGATGTGGTGCCAAAGACAGCCGAGAACTTCCGGGCTCTATGCACCATGGAAAAAGGCTTCGGCTACAAAGGGAGCAGCTTCCATCGTATCATCCCCCAGTTTATGTGTCAGGGCGGGGACTATGAAAAACATAACGGAACTGGAGGAAAGAGCATCTACGGCGGCAAGTTCGCTGATGAGAACTTTCAAATGAAGCACACAAAGCCAGGTAATGAGTATTTGGTTAATACAACACTGTTGTAGCTATATGATTGTAAATAATCACATCTGGACCAGACAAACCTGGGAATGATACTGTCAATTGGGTACAATGACGCTAAGTCAACCAAGTCCATGAGTCATCACCGATATATTTAGTCGTTGTAAGACAAAGGTTACTGGTGACCTATTCTATCACAGAGTTGCAATGGGATCGGCTGTCGGTGGCTAATGTTATGATTGACTGTTGCTGGTCTACTATCGATGGCTAATGTTTTGATTGACTGTTCCAGGTCTACTGTCGATGGCTAATGTTTTCATTGACTGTTGATGGTCTACTGTTGATGGCTAATGTTATGATTGACTGTTCCAGGTCTGCTGTCAATGGCTAATGTTATGATTGACTGTTGCAGGTGTGCTGTCAATGGCTAATGTTATGATTGACTGTTGCAGGTCTGCTGTCGATGGCTAATGTTATGATTGACTGTTGCAGGTCTTCTGTCGATGGCTAATGTTATGATTGACTGTTGCTGGTCTGCTGTCGATGGCTAATGTTATGATTGACTGTTGCAGGTCTTCTGTCGATGGCTAATGTTATGATTTACTGTTGCAGGTCTTCTGTCGATGGCTAATGTTATGATTGACTGTTGCAGGTCTGCTGTCGATGGCTAATGTTATGATTGACTGTTGCAGGTGTGCTGTCAAGGGGCTTATGTCTTGATTGACTGTTGCAGGTGTGCTGTCGATGGCTAATGTTATGATTGACTGTTGCAGGTTTGCTGTCGATGGCTAATGTTATGATTGACTGTTGCAGGTCTACTGTCAATGGCTAATGTTATGATTTACTGTTACTGGTCTGATGTCGATGGTTAATGTTATGATTGACTGTTCCAGGTCTAGTGTCGATGGCTAATGTTTTGATTGACTGTTCCAGGTCTAGTGTCGATGGCTAATGTTTTGATTGACTGTTGCAGGTTTGCTCTCGATGGCTAATGTTATGATTGACTGTTCCAGGTCTAGTGTCGATGGCTAATGTTTTGATTGACTGTTGCAGGTTTGCTGTCGATGGCTAATGTTATGATTGACTGTTGCAAGTGTGCTGTCGATGGCTAATGTTTTGATTGACTGTTGCAGGTTTGCTGTCGATGGCTAATGTTATGATTGACTGTTCCAGGTCTGCTGTCGATGGCTAATGTTTTGATTGACTGTTGCAGGTTTGCTCTCGATGGCTAATGTTATGATTGACTGTTCCAGGTCTTCTGTCGATGGCTAATGTTTTGATTGACTGTTGCAGGTTTGCTGTCGATGGCTAATGTTATGATTGACTGTTCCAGGTCTAGTGTCGATGGCTAATGTTTTGATTGACTGTTGCAGGTTTGCTCTCGATGGCTAATGTTATGATTGACTGTTGCAGGTGTGCTGTCGATGGCTAATGTTTTGATTGACTGTTGCAGGTTTGCTGTCGATGGCTAATGTTATGATTGACTGTTCCAGGTCTGCTGTCGATGGCTAATGTTTTGATTGACTGTTGCAGGTTTGCTGTCGATGGCTAATGTTATGATTGACTGTTGCAGGTTTGCTGTCGATGGCTAATGTTATGATTGACTGTTCCAGGTCTGCTGTCGATGGCTAATGTTTTGATTGACTGTTGCAGGTTTGCTGTCGATGGCTAATGCTGGACCCAACACCAATGGCTCTCAGTTCTTCATTACAGTTGCCGAGACTTCATGGTAAGTAACTTTCAGGCACTGCACTGGTGTTTTCTGTCAAAGTAAATATCTTATTTTTAATTCATGTTGTTTGAAAGCCACTGTTAAGCTTCTACCTCTCATATCACTTGCATTTGCTTCAAACAAAACGGCATCCCCCAGTCAAGACGATCTGATCAATAATCATGATAATCAAAACCTACATTTTGATAAAGCGGGTCCTACTTTGCGATGTGCATCAAATCACGTGAACTCCTTGATTAAAAACATCAGAAGAGTTGGAAAATCTATTCACACCAATGTGGCGGTACACATGGTTTGCAAATCCTGCAATCCACCAAATCTGCATGGCAGTTTTTTTAACCGGATGTTGATTTCGTTAGGCGATTGTGATTGGCCAATGCAGAGACTCGTTAGTTCAGCCAAAATATAGCCCTGAAATTCAAGCCTCGTTCGGCCAGGGTGGGAACTGAACTTTATATGCCTCAGGAAGATGATTGCTGTGTTTTATGCTTATAATTACACACTTTCCCACTGGTGTGCTACAAAACAGTTTTAATATATATTTTTTAAGGTTTCATGTTCTTCCAGATATGGAGAATCATAATGGTGCATGTTTTGATTGCTGTATTGTTTAGAGTTTTAATGACAAACTCTTTTGTACACATGCTGTCGATCATTGTGGTGACCAGTTGTTGACCTGTGATCTATGCTAACTCGTAGAAATATGGTTTTCAAACTTCTCTCGAAGAGAAATGCATTGTATTTCTGAAATAGCCAATTTTTCAAAACAAGACATAACGTAAACATGTCACACAAAAATGTTTACAACTGATGATGATTGTAATGAAAGGTTGATTATGAGCCTGCCAGGGGTCGTTGTCATGCTGAAGACCCGGGGTCGATTCCCGACATGGGTACAATGTGTGTAGCCCATTTCTGGTGATCCCCGCCGTGATGTTGCTAGGAGATTGCTAAAAGCGGCGTCAAATCAGACACACTCACTCACCCAGAGGTATATTCAGCAGTGAGTTGACAAGAATCTCTACGACCTCTGTTTGTTGTTAAACGCAGCACTCGGCAATATTCCAGCTATATGACGTGTAAATAATCAAGTCTGGACCAGATAATCCAGTGATTGACATCATGAGCATCGATCCACACAATTGGGATCGATGACATGCATCAACCAAGTCAGCGAGTCTGACCACCCGATCCCGTTAGTCATCAACCAAGTCAGTGAGTCTGACCACCCATTCCCGTTAGTCGCCTCATGACAAGCATGGTCGCCTTTTCCTGCAGGCATGGGTTGCTGGAGACCTACTCTACCCCGGCTCATGGTGGCCTTTTACTGCAGGCATGGGTTGCTGGAGACCTACTCTACCCCGGCTCATAGTCGCCTTTTACTGCAGGCATGGGTTGCTGGAGACCTACTCTACCCCGGCTCATGGTAGCATTTTACTGTAGCATTTTAGTGCAGGCATGGGTTGCTGGAGACCTACTCTACCCCGGCTCATAGTCGCCTTTTACTGCAGGCATGGGTTGCTGGAGACCTACTCTACCCCGGCTCATGGTCGCCTTTTACTGCAGGCATGGGTTGCTGAAGACCTACTCTACCCCGGCTCATGGTCGCCTTTTACTGCAGGCATGGGTTGCTGAAGACCTACTCTACCCCGGCTCATGGTCGCCTTTTACTGCAGGCATGGGTTGCTGAAGATCTACTCTACCCCGGCTCATGGTCGCCTTTTACTGCAGGCATGGGTTGCTGAAGACCTACTCTACCCCGGCTCATGGTCGCCTTTTACTGCAGGCATGGGTTGCTGAAGACCTACTCTACCCCGGCTCATGGTCGCCTTTTACTGCAGGCATGGGTTGCTGAAGACCTACTCTACCTCGGCTCATGGTGGCCTTTTACTGCAGGCAGGGGTTGCTGAAGACCTACTCTACCCCGGCTCATGGTCGCCTTTTACTGCAGGCAGGGGTTGCTGAAGACCTACTCTACCCCGGCTCATGGTCGCCTTTTACTGCAGGCATGGGTTGCTGAAGACCTACTCTACCCCGGCTCATGGTCGCCTTTTACTGCAGGCATGGGTTGCTGAAGACCTTCACGGGTTGGAATCTCAATCATATATTCTGTGGCAAGTGAATGATGATTGACCAGGTGTGCTCAAAAAAAAGTAAAAAAGTTCTAAAACAAGGAGGATTAGGTAACTTACTCAAGCTTGCACTATTTTTCAATTGCAAAGTGCAAATGACATTCACACTTTGTGAAATTCCATGGGAATTCGCCCTAAACAATCTTGATTTGTTACTGTACGCCACATGGTGGCACGATACTACACATTTTGGCTTGAAAAGGAGCGTCACTCTGCACAGAAACATGAACTGGGATGTTTCCCTTAATTGTGATTCTAGTGGATCTGACCTCCTAGAATTTGACAAACAGCAGGCAAAGGCCAGAACGGACATCGATATTTTTTTTTTTTCTTTTATTGGTTTTAGAAAGACGCACCTGTTACATAAATGGGCTTCCGCCCAGGGTAGCAGAAAGCCCATGACATAAAGCACAACTTATCAGTACATCTTACTTTTGTTTTACAGAAAATAACATACTTCTCACTCACACATTCACTCTTGTTTATATATCATATTGCAGTTTAGGAAAGAACATGGTGTCAAACATTAAAATCTTAAGTACAAAACTAAAATTGAAAGCTGCTCCTCATTTTCGAAAAGTTGATGATACAGCATCCAAGCACCATAGAATTTCTGTTGATTACCTGCCTTGAAAGCAATATCTTTTTCAATGTTGTATCGTGAAAAAGCTTCCTTTTTATAAACATGAAAATAAGGTTTTGTATTTTGGAATTTGCATCTATAAATATAGTATTTTGCAATTAGTAAAAGTAAATCAAACACTTTATCTGTTTTTATGTTCTCTTTAACTCCAAAAAGTATCAATTCTGCACAAAATGTCATGTTATAAACATGAAAGCACTGGTCGATCCACAATGACACTTCATCCCAAAATTGTTTTATTACATCACTTCCCAAAACAAGTGAGTAATTGTTTCCTTTTCATTGTGACAGAAGGAGCACAAATAATTTTCTGAGCATAATTGATTAAATACAGAAAAGTATTAGTGGTGAGAATTCTGTGAGTAATTTTGTATTGAAACCATCGCAGTTTGACATCCTGTGTTGTACTAAAAAAATTATTGCAAATATTGTTCCAGTTTAAGTTTTCAAATTGTAATTCCCACTTTTCCTGCCCTTTAGTTTTTACTTCTGTAGAAACCAATGAAAAATAAATATGCTTTGAACCGGACTTGGAACTACAAATAGTTTTTACCACACAGCGCTGATCCTCCACAGAATCTGTTGGAACTCTAACTACATTTAGAGCTCCAAGGTATTGTTTAACGCTTCTAACAACACCATAAAACTCCAAATAGGATGAACAAATACCATACATATCATTAAATTCCTCATATGACAGAAAGTCTATAATTTGGGAGACGCCCTTCTCAAACCAGTATTTCAAGAAAAATGATTTCCTATTAATTTTAATATTAGGGTTATAAAAAATTGGTTCAGTTAAAAAACTACTGAAAGATTCTGGCTTGATTTTCTTATCAAGCACTATAAATGACTGAAAACAACTTTTCCAAAACTCATTACTTATCAAAGATAATTTTCTCTCAAAAAACGTCACACCAAACTCACCAAGTTTACACAAATAAGGATATGTAGATTTGAATAGATGCTTCCATTTTTGATCACCTGAGGACACAAGTCTCCTTATCCATGTGGCCTTAAGAGATGTTACATATGAAAAGATATTCACCATACCTAAGCCCCCTTGCTTAACAGGTTGACAAACTTTAATCCTCTTTACTTTGTCTCGTTTATCACTCCAAAGAAATTTAATAAGCATAGACATCAATATTTGTAATGTTCACACTGCAGTGGTAGAAACATTTTTAGTCCACTTGTACTTTTAATGATAACATGTAGCAAACACTTAAAAATGGCAAATTTCTACTAGTCCTTCTGATACCTTAACTATATAGGCTAGTGCCAATTTCTAACGCTGCACAGTTGTCCCCCAAAAGCCTGGGCTGAAGGTGACAAGCATTAACAATTATCCCAAACTTCAGAAACCCTGCACAGAAACGTCAGCAATTTGATAAACATGCTGAGCGAGGCGGGTTGCACTGCCAACCTTGACCTTGTGACACTTGCATCCGACTATCTTCATGAGGCAAGGGAGGTAACTGACTATAAAAGTTCAGTTTTGACCCTTCTTAACTAGGCTGGAATTTTAGGGGTATATTTTGGCGCGACTACTGAGTCTATGCATTGTCCAAATTAAAATCGCATAACAATATCAACATCCTGTTTGGAAACAACATACTGACTGCCATCCAGATTTCAGTCGATTACATGATTTAATTAGCATGTGTGCCTTCAACTGGGGTCAGTTAACTCCCTTACCTCAGGAAGATGGTATCCGAAACGCAACTCGTTGTCACGTCAAATTAAAAAAACTGTCAATTTGTCCTCTTCTCAGTCCCAAAGTCCTGGTTCTCTTCAACAGTCCAGTCAACAATTGTGTTGTTCACATGAGCTTCTATTCTCAGAGCACTGTGCAGTCTCACAGAACATTTCCAACTGGCCAAAATAGAGTGACATGCCAGCTGGCTTTCGAATTCCCCCGACACGTGACATTGTGCGAAGTTACCATCAAACTTAATTTCAAACAGATACTCGATGATGTTGTTATCAAAATGAAATCATTGTTACGAATTTATTTGTCTGATGTATTAACATTTTATTGTCTTCATAATGAACATTTGTGTCTGAATTAATTAAGGGGTTTCTATAAGTTGTGGATCTTTCCGTACTACTGATGAAGATCCAGGGTAGAATAGGTCTTCAGCAACCCATGCGTGCCGTAAAAGGCGACTACGCTTGTCGTAAAAAGCGATTAACGGGAACGGGTGGTCAGGCTCGCTGACTTGGTTGATGCATGCCATTGATCCCAATTGCGTGGATCGATGCTCATGATATCAATCACTGGATTGTCTGGTCCAGATTCGATTATTTACAAACCGCTGTCATTTAGCTGGAATATTGCTGAGAGCGGCGTTAAACAACAAACCAACGTTTTTAAGAGGCCGTGATCAGGTGGCCTATTCACTTTTATCTCTGTATTCACCAGAAGTAAGACCCTATTCAGGTGACTGTAAGTCACCATTATTTTGACTTCACTTCTGCAAGTGGTGTGTAAGTAATAAGTAACATACAAAACCAGTCCGTGAAGACCCGGGTAGGTATAGTTCATCGCCAGCCCGTGCTTGTCGTAAGAGGTGACTAACGGGATTGTATGACTAGGTTTATGCATGTCATCCTGTCCCAATTGCATAGATCGATGCTCTTGATATCAGTCACTGGATTGTCTGGTCAAGACTCGATTATTTACAGAGAGCTGTCATATAACCAGAATACTGCTGAGGGCGTTAAACAACAATCAAACTAACAAACAAAAAATACAAAACCATTTCCAGAGTTTTAACAAGTTTCCTAAAAGTGGCCTGATACAGCAGCTGGGTTAGAAATCTGTGTCCTTTACACACACACACAGCTTGTAAATATATGGAAGACATGAGTCCTGTCCAAAAACATTATCTCATGACTGACCTAACAATGGTACTTTCACGAATGTTTTATTTTACCATGGAAATGTTACCTGCAAAATCTTGGTAAAGAGAAGTCAGAATGACTTTGGTTGAAATTGACAGGCCTGAGTAAAAGATGGACAATGTCATGTGAGCTGAAATAACAACAGCTTCATGCCTTCATTCCCACATCAGCACATTCAGCATCGTGTCAAGTGAAAGTGAGACCTATTTCTGTTGCAGGCTGGATGGCAAGCATGTGGTGTTTGGGGAGGTGAAGGAAGGGTACGAAAGTGTCGTCAAAGAGTTGGAGACTCTTGGAGGTCAAAGTGGGAAGGTGGGGAAGAAAGTCATCGTAGCCAATTGTGGTCAGCTCTGAGGTCAGACAGGTGGTCCACAATGGTTCCTCCAGCACATCACAACAGCTGCCCAGAGAAACAGACCTCCATCGTGTAACATGTTTTGGACTTTTATGCTACTCACAGGGATTTATCTAGGATTCAAAACTCAGTTCCATTGCCAGGCAAGTTGCGAAAAATTGGGATTTTTAAGAGTTATTTTCTTAAATTGAGAGGTATTTTATCATTCCAAGGAATTCAATAAAATAAAATATTTTGGACGTTCTACCTTACCTGACGCTACAGCTATAGGCACTGTGTAGCATCAGGTAAGTATAAAAAACATTGCATTTAATCAGAAATGCTCATTTTTATTATTCCAGGATGGGATTTTTTCTGCAGATTTGGCACCGAATATTGGCCTCTGTGCAGCTATAGAGAAATCCTTCACTCAACTTTTGATAGGGATAGATTTGTTACCATGGTTACAGCTGCTTGTATACGTAATCAGTTGGATGCATCATTGAATGCTGGAGGTATCCCTATCAAGAGATGTGTAGTATATCATGACATAGGTCATTGTAATGCCCGTGTGGTTATACTCTCACGGGACAATTTGATGATACGCTTGGCAAATACTTAAAATTATACACCCCTCTCTGTCAAGTTGGAGGTTTGATATGTTATGTGATGTGCTTAAGGAATTAGTAGATAGTTACTCTGTATCTCAATCTCTTGTTTCTTGCATATTAACAAATAAGGCTCAAACAGTGCCACCATTCAATATCAGGATACAATGGTCATGGTAGAATATGTGTCAGGAAGTTCAGTGGGGAATGCAGAATTAGAATAAAACAAACAACCACTTTCGAAAATCAGTGTTTTATGTCAGACGTTCCTCGTCATCACAAAGAATTGATCTGATCAGATAAGGGACATATACTTCCTATGATAAATCTGAAGATGTTGATCAGTACGATTGTAAATATCAAACGTCAACTCCAGAGAATAACTATGCAGATTATCGGCTGAAACAGATTCCACTGAGCGTTACCTGCAAAAGAGCAGTGAAAATGATCACTGAATATCGGGGACACCATTGATGACGGTTATTGAAAGTATTTGCTAAATGACACATATACTGAATGAAGCATGGGTCCGGTTTGTGGTGCAGTGCTGAGTCAGCTTTATTATCATACAGCTTTTGAATTAGAACCTCGTCCTTACTTTGAAAATGTTAACGTTGAAGTTTCTGAACCATGGTATAAACGAGTAATCCCCATAGAAAGGTGATAGCCATGAATTCAGCTGTAAAATACAATACATTCTCATGGGATATGCAATACAAAAACACCATTTGTGTCGAAAATGAATTGTTCCATGTTCCATGTAACCAATTTTTCCATGTTATGAATTATTTGGTGGCTAATGGGTATTTGACACAGTTTTACACATTTGTTGAATTTTTATATGTTTTGTTAATTTTACTGTATTGGCATGAATATGGCATTCAACATTCAACAGTGCCACTTGGAATATAAATGTATGCATTGGTAGGCATGTGTATTCCGAAGTATACATTTCAAAGTGATGATGTTGCGGACATACTTGGTTCAGCTTCGTAAGTGATTATTTTTGGAAATTTGTCAGCCATCCAAAGGAAGGCCTACCACCATTCAAATTCAGAATCTGTGACACTTGTTGATGATACTGTTTACTCACTTTTTTTGTCAAAGCTATAACACTGTTCAAACATTTCTATTTCACAGCAGCTCTTTATTTTTGGAATGAACCATAACCAATTATGCTATTAAAGATATTCTTCTCTAATGGTCTGTTTTCTGTATTCATCTGAATGTCTCATGGCCGCAGCAGTTGGAATCCCAGATCGTTGGTTTGTCAGCACCAGCTCATGGGGTCATGAAAGTGGTAAACATTTACTACCTGGGTCATACAACCAGTTTAATACCTTGCAGCTGGACATCCACTTTCAGTTCATCAAAATATGTTAAATGATGGTACTTGTTACAAGGACAAGTCGTCACACACACACACACACACACACACACACACACACACACACACACAATGTCAGTTATACAAAGGGGGAGTCTGCAGTATTGGAATATTAGTGACATGTGTCTGTAGTGAGATTATACAATCTGAACTTTTGTGTACACCCCTCAATGTCTGCTGGCGTGGAGCTCGATTACAAGCTAATTGGACTTAACACCACAAGACCGTGTCACGATTTCTGATTCCAATATGATTTTGTGTTAATGGCATTACCGTGAAAACTGATGTGCACACTGTGTGAATATGTCAAGCAAGTGACGTCACATAAAACATTAGACAGACACATGCAAGAAGTGTGTGCCGGTGTCACCTTTTGGGGAGAACTTGGCCACAGCCTACACTACTCAGCCTTCAAATGACATGACCCGACTAGGGCCCTACACCGAGTCCTGTCGTGGAATGTCTGTCGACCTACACACAACATGACCCGACTAGGGCCCTACACCGAGTCCTGTTGTGGAATGTCTGTAAGCCTAGCCACATGACCCGACTAGGGCCCTACACCGAGTCCTGTCGTGGAATGTCTGTCGACCTACACACAACATGACCCAACTAGGGCCCTACACCGAGTCCTGTCGTGGAATGCCTGTCGACCTACACACAACATGACCCGACTAGGGCCCTACACCTAGTCCTGTTGTGGAATGTCTGTAAGCCTAGCCACATGACCAGACTAGGGCCCTACACCGAGTCCTGTCGTGGAATGTCTGTCGACCTACACACAACATGACCCGACTAGGGCCCTACACCGAGTCCTGTTGTGGAATGTCTGTCGATCTACACACAACATGACCTGACTAGGGCCCTACACCGAGTCCTGTCGTGGAATGTCTGTCGACCTACACACAACATGACCCGACTAGGGCCCTACACCGAGTCCTGTTGTGGAATGTCTGTAAGCCTAGCCACATGACCAGACTAGGGCCCTACACCGAGTCCTGTCGTGGAATGTCTGTCGACCTACACACAACATGACCCGACTAGGGCCCTACACCGAGTCCTGTCGTGGAATGTCTGTCGACCTACACACAACATGACCCGACTAGGGCCCTACACCGAGTCCTGTCGTGGAATGTCTGTAAGCCTAGCCACATGACCCGACTAGGGCCCTACACCGAGTCCTGTCGTGGAATGTCTGTAAGCCTAGCCACATGACCCTACTAGGGCCCTACACCGAGTCCTGTTGTGGAATGTCTGTCGACCTACACACAACATGACCCGTCTAGGGACCTACACCGAGTCCTGTTGTGGAATGTCTGTCGACCTACACACAACATGACCCGACAAGGGCCCTACAACGAGTCCTGTCATGGAATGTATGTCGACCTACACACAACATGACCCGACAAGGGCCCTACAACGAGTCCTGTCATGGAATGTATGTCGATCTACACACAACATGACCCGACTAGGGCCCTACACCGAGTCCTGTCGTGGAATGTCTGTCGACCTACACACAACATGACCCGACTAGGGCCCTACACCGAGTCCTGTCGTGGAATTTCTGTCGACCTACACACAACATGACCCGACTAGGGCCCTACACCGAGTCCTGTCGTGGAATGTATGTCGACCTACACACAACATGACCCGACTAGGGCCCTACACCGAGTCCTGTCGTGGAATCTCTGTCGATCTACACACAACATGACCCTACTAGGGCCCTACACTGAGTCCTGTCGTGGAATGTCTGTCGATCTACACACAACATGACCCGACTAGGGCCCTACACCGAGTCCTGTCGTGGAATGTCTGTCGACCTACACACAACATGACCCGACTAGGGCCCTACACCGAGTCCTTAATGTCTGTCTGGCTACACACATGACCAGACAAGGGCCCTACACCGAGTCCTATGACATGGGCAAGTGACACCATGAGTCAAGGTCACTGCCATGATGACACCAATGGTTATCATATCCGATACCCTGCAGAGGAAGCCATACCTATCATCCAGCATTGATGCAGGGTGAATTTACAACAATTTCTTTATTTCACATTTTTATTTTGAATTCAGCACCCGGTATACAAAGTATGAACAATTATTGGACAAGAACTTCTTTATTTTACTGATACAGCAATGTTTGGGTATAGATCCCTATATATATTCTGTGTCATGCTCATTAATACATTATTCAGCCTTGCTTGACAATGGTATAAGGATCTATAACAAAACATCACATTACAGTAAAATAAAGAAGTTGTTATCCATGAATTGTTCATACTTTGTCATCCCTCAACTTCTAAGAAATGCCTATCAAACAAAGCACCTGGGATACATCCTTAAATTCAACAGAACTTGCTTTACATGAGGAGACTGTCCTATCTCGCACAGGTTAACATAGATTTACAATAGTTGGAATAACATAATTGCTCGTTTCAAGGGGTAAGTGAGTGATGTTTTGGTTTAAGGCTGTTTTAAACTGTAATTTAGTTAATTTTATTAAATTATGAATTTGTATAGCACACTTTTTGAATTAATAACTTCTCAAATGCACATAGGCCATGAGAGATGTTAACATGACCCCAGTTACTGGATCAGTGTACTATCAATTTTCATTCTCAACTCCCTGAGGAGTATACAACATAAGCAGGCTGTGAAGTGCTAGAATCTGGATAGTCAACCTACCATCTCATCCTACCTGGTACCCATTCACTGCTGGGTGAACAGATGCATAGTTCAAACAAAGTCACTTGCCTCAGGAGACACCAGGTGTGCAACATGTGCCATTTATGGTTGCATCCCAAGGTGTCAGCTTCATGTACAAAACAGTGAGTGAGTGAGGGAGTTCGGTGTATCAGCTGGCTGCGAGAAGAAAGCCCAACGTGATGCAGGTCTTGGACATTTACCACTTTGGTGAAACCAACGAGCACGGTTATGGTCCTGACAAACCATGAAACCAAGATTCGAACCCATATGTCAAAAACAAGCAGGCAGGAAACGAGGCTCCAGGAGGCTAAAGGATGTTACCATATCTAGAACGTCTTGTATTACAGCTTCATACAAACTGAAGCCCTTGTGGTGTTCTGGGGCAGACTTGGTCCCCAGTACAGAAAGCTTGTTATAGCATGCTATATAAGCTTGCTGACAGAGTGAGTGAGTGAGTATGGTTTTATGCCGCTTTTAGCAATATTCCAGCAATATCACGGCTTCACACATTGTACCCATGTCTGGAATCGAACCCGGGTTTTCGGCGTGACGAGGCTTGCTGACAGTAGTGAGGATGAGGTGTTTTCAACAGGTGACATCATTCTCCTGATTTGTAAAACAAAACTTCAAACAAAAGCACTAATGAAAGTTTGGAATGAAACACAGAATGTATCATGACGGTATTGATAAACATATACTACTCAAAACAAGTCAAAGAACACCTACAACTGGATGGCCATGACAGATAAACTAGTCATATGAGTGAGTTGGGTTAAACGCCGCTTTTAACATTATTTCAGTTATATCACGGCGAGTCAGCTTAATGTGGGAGGAAAGCACGAAATGATGCAGGTCTCAGATGTTTACCACTTCGGTGAAACCCACGAGCACGGGTATGGTGCTGACAAACCTAGAAACACACCAGGGTGAACAGGGATTCGAACCCACAATCATAGGTTTCTTGCGTGCCCAAGAGACGCAACTCTGCATAGCAAATCGCGGCGCCTTAAATGACTGGGTCACCCATGCCCCTACACTCATATGAAGAAATCGGGTACTCTTTAACTTCTTCTGAGTAGCAGATATATTTATCAACACCTTCAGATAATCGAGCAACCACCAAGAGTAGACAGTGACACAGGGTAGAGACAACAATACAACAAAATACTACCATTTCACTTTGATAACTTTATTCATGTCTGTTTTCATTTTCAAAAACAAAGTAAACAGATAAATTCTTCCAACACATTATCATGAACAAACAACAATACATTCACAGTTCCCTTAATGTCCAAATGGCATAAGCAATCAGTAGTATTCACAGTTACCGTAATGGCCAAATGGCACAAGCTATCAATATGATTCACAGCTCCCTTATAGACCAAATGGCATAAGCTATCAATATGATTAACAGTTACCTTAATGTCCAAATGGCATAAGCTATTGATATGATTCACAGTTCCCTTAATGTCCAAATGGCATAAGCGATTGATACGATTCAGTTCCCTTAATGTCCAAATGGCATGAGCTATTGATACAATTCAGTTCCCATAATGTCCAAATGGCATGAGCTATTGATACAATTCAGTTCCCTTAATGTCCAAATGGCATATGTTATCGATACAACTCGTAGCTCCCTACATCGCAAGTTGAGATGAACCACTGTACCCCAGAAGTTCAACTCAGATAGCCCTCGTCCTCCTCATCTCAGCATGGTTCATCCTGGTACTCCGTAAACCTGGAAGGTATTGCCAGGAAATAATGCGAAAACTGAGAGTGGCAATTCCGAAATTTCCGAATTGTTTGAAGAAGTAGCATTAAACACTTAGATTCTTCACCAGAAGCGTTGCACTCAGAACACTTCGAAACAATGGATCACTGAAAGCCTAAACAAACTAAACACTACATAGCTGCTGTTAATCTGCTACTTTACATGTAGGTCTTAGGGCTGGGACGAGTCCAAGTTTACTACCCCGGTACCCACCCCTCTAATACCCGACCCTACCCTAGTACCCGCTATAGGTGTCAAAAGATGGGTACAAAATGGTAACAGTTTTACCGTAGCCCTGGCCAGATGTATTTAGATACCCATGTTAAACGATCTAGTCATGCATACACTGAAGTTTTATCTTTATTCAAACCCATAAAGGTCAAAAGGAATGGATGCATAGTCAGAGAGAAATGTAAACATTAACGACATTAATGGTCCGGGTAGTCCTGTGGGTACCCAGGTCCAACTCAGTACCCACCCGACCTGGGTACCCGAGCTACCTGTCCCAGCCCTAGTCTTAGTTATCTCATCAATGTAGTGAGGCAATACATCTAGATGCAGGCTCTGAGTTACCACTCTCAATACATCCAAGATACCATACATACCAGACTTACAATACCATTAACACTGGGGGGATAACTTAGTAATCATCTTGAGTTATGCTCTATGAAGGACAGGCTTGTCTCGAGAAAGAAAAACCTCTGGTGCTACCCACCTACGACAGCCTCATTTACCCATCCGTCAGTCTGGTGTAACTAAGGGAGAATTCAGACGTGATTTGAAACCTAGTAGAAGCAGTATGTCATGTCCACAGCAAAGTGGCACCTTGCACAGGTAAGAAGGGAATGAGCCAGCAGGATCTATATCCACAACAAGCACCTGCTATGTGGATGTGCTATGTCCAGTGCAGAGTTTAACTTCAGGAACAGCATTTAGGTCCTGTATGGCCCTGTGTCTGCATCCATATGTTCTGTCATATCATTACTGACCCTCAGCCATGTTGAGTGTTCATGTTATCAGGAAAACCGCCAGAGTCAGACCTATACTTGCAAGACCAGAAAAGAATATCTGCATGTGGGTCTGTTCTTCTTAAGGTCAGAACAGAACATCTGCATAAGTTGATCAAATTTTCGGCAAGACCAGAACAACATGTGCATGTGAAAGTCCATCATTGCCAAGGTCAGACCAGAACATGTGCATGTGGCTCTGTCCTCGATAAGATCAGACCAGAACATGTGGCTCTGTCCTCGATAAGATTAGACCAGAACATGTGCATGTGGCTCTGTCATCGATAAGATCAGACCACAACATGTGCATGTGGCTCTGTCCTCGATAAGATCAGACCAGAACATGTGGCTCGGTCCTCGATAAGATCAGACCAGAACATGTGCATGTGGCTCTGTCCTCGATAAGATCAGACCAGAACATGTGCATGTGGCTCTGCCCTCGATAAGATCAGACCAGAACATGTGCATGTGGCTCTGTCCTCGATAAGATCAGAACAGAACATGTGGCTCGATCCTTGATAATATCAGACCTGAACATGTGCATGTGGCTCTGTCCTCGATAAGATTAGAACAGAACATGTGTCTTGGTCCTCAATAAGATCAGACCACAACATGTGCATGTGGCTCTGTCCTCGATAAGATCAGACCAGAACATGTGCATGTGGCTCAGTCATCGATAAGATCAGACCAGAACATGTGCATGTGGCTCGGTCCTCGATAAGATCAGACAAGAACATGTGCATGTGGCTCTGTCATCGATAAGATCAGACCACAACATGTGCATGTGGCTCTGTCCTCGATAAGATTAGAACAGAACATGTGTCTTGGTCCTCAATAAGATCAGACCACAACATGTGCATGTGGCTCTGTCCTCGATAAGATCAGACCACAACATGTGCATGTGGCTCAGTCATCGATAAGATCAGACCAGAACATGTGCATGTGGCTCGGTCCTCGATAAGATCAGACCAGAACATGTGCATGTGGCTCTGTCATCGATAAGATCAGACCACAACATGTGCATGTGGCTCTGTCCTCGATAAGATCAGAACAGAACATGTGGCTCGATCCTCGATAAGATCAGACCAGAACATGTGCATGTGGCTCTGTCATCAATAAGATCAGACCACAACATGTGCATGTGGCTCTGTCCTCGATAAGATCAGAACAGAACATGTGGGTCGATCCTCGATAAGATCAGAACAGAACATGTGGCTCTGTCATCAATAAGATCAGACCAGAACATGTTCATGTGGCTCGGTCCAAAATATAATCTTGATAAAGAAAGTAGTACAGGTGTCTACTGGACACTTAGCTTGGACAATAGCATATATGATAACTATAGGCTATGGGGACTAATTCTAGCCTAGAATTCCCACTGGGTCTTCTATATCATGGAGACATACATGTGAATGCTGAGCTTTACTCTTAGTATAGGTCCCCAGTGCCCTAGACAAGATTTGGCTGATAATGTGTCATGGTACCTGAAGATGCAGTGCATAACTCAGAGGTTGCCTGCCCAGACTTGACTATTTATACGTTGTCATGATGTAGCTGGAATATTGTTGACTACAACAAACAGCAGCAAGGGGGCTGCATTGAACTCACATATAAATTATGGTTCAGATATGTGGACAATTTGCTTTGAAAGAAGTTAATCTACAAACCTAATGTGAGATGAGCCATCAGTTGAGGTAGGTGGACCATACAGTCAGGTGTCACCATCCCCATGGATGTGAATGGGTTGCAACCTTTGCATAAAGTCCAATCAGTCCTCAATCAATTTAACCACAAACAGTTCTGAGATAACAATGTGAGGTGGAAAATAACATAGAGATTGAAAATAAAAGCACTCCATGACATGACAGTCACAAGCAGGTGCCCTCTCACACAGAACGTGTCTAGCAGTCTATGACATGACAGTCACAAGCAGGTGTCCTCTCACACAGGACGTGTCTAGCACTCCATGACATGACAGTCACAAGCAGCTGTCCTCTCACACAGGACGTGTCTAGCACTCCATGAAATGACAGTCATGAGCAGGTGTCCTCTCACACAGGAAGTGTCTTGCAGTCTATGACATGACAGTCACAAGTAGGTGCCCTCTCACACAGGACGTGTCTTGCAGTCTATGACATGACAGTCACAAGTAGGTGCCCTCTCACACAGGACGTGTCGAGCAGTCCATGACATGACAGTCACAAGTAGGTGCCCTCTCACACAGGACGTGTCTTGCAGTCTATGACATGACAGTCACAAGTAGGTGCCCTCTCACACAGGACGTGTCTTGCAGTCTATGACATGACAGTCACAAGTAGGTGCCCTCTCACACAGGACGTGTCGAGCAGTCCATGACATGACAGTCACAAGTAGGTGCCCTCTCACACAGGAAGTGTCTTGCAGTCTATGACATGACAGTCACAAGTAGGTGCCCTCTCACACAGGACGTGTCGAGCAGTCCATGACATGACAGTCACAAGTAGGTGTCCTCTCACACAGGTCGTGTCTAGCAGTCCATGACATGACAGTCACAAGTAGGTGTCCTCTCACACAAGACGTGTCTAGCACTCTATGATATGACAGTCACTACATATATTCTTGGGAAGGGAAGTTTGAATTAAGAGAAATCTAAACTTACGAAAATAAATAATCTGCAATTAGACAGCATGATGTAAATATATGATGCACTGTATGAACACTTTTCATAAATCACTATAGGCTTGAAAACTGTTGACATTCAGAATGACTCAGGCTAAACTTAACAAATTGCTTAAGCATCTATCTGCATGTTTCATACCATCGAGTATTCAAAATCCTCCACATGCATAATCTTTTTTACCAACACCATTGAAGACAGAACACTACTGTAGCTCACCTGCTTTGTACAGCTTACAATGTTAGCAGACAAAAGTCAACTAAGACAGTGGTCAGCATTACTGTTTTCCAACCAGGTTTACAGAGGAATATATATAATTCCCAAGTCTAGAATGCAATGACATAAAAGGTAATGTCAATATCTAATGACCAGAACATGTCTTTGCAAAACAGTTCAATCATTGGTTGGAACAAGCCTAATTTCTAAGGAGTTGCTTTGACCACATCAGGTGAGCTAACAGTACATCTGATGTTTCTTAAATTCTAAATAAACACCCCATTCCTTATCATGGATGAGATAATATATTGCATATTTACCACGCTGAGAGCAGGGAAGGAGGGCGTGGCTGAGAGCTGTGTGATGTATTCATTAATAGCTTCAAATAGTGTGCCATGGCACTGTAGCTCCACTGCAGTCAACAAAGACAGCCACATAACGAGGTTGCTGTCAGTGTTGATATTCAAGTGTTTCTGCATACATAGAGAGAAAAAGCCAAAATTATGGCATTATATGTTGAATCCCAAAACAAACTGAATAAATACCAAATTTTGAACAATACTGACAAATATGAGTTACGGCCATTTTTATAGTTTTTCAATATGGCTGCCATGGTGGCTGTATTGAAAATCTTATTCGAACCTCTTGCACAATTGTGGTGTCATCATTGGTTGTAACAAACATGGGAAGTTGCAACTTCATTGGTTGAATGGTTTGAGGAGAGGAGGTTTACAGTGTGCAGAAACAAATTTTGAGTGCACTTTGGCCCATGATCAAGGAGCAAAGGTCATGTCAAGGTCAAATTTCAAAATATCGCGAACAACAGAACATTCATGTTGAGCCCCACTTTTAACTACACATCTACCATAAGTTGCAGCTTCATTGTCATAAGCTCACTAAACATTCAGTTAGGTGAGCTAAAATGTGTTGAAGGGCTCACCTGATACTATGTGGCACAAATTGGCCTCTCCCCCCATCCAATGAAAAGCCTCTTGGGCTGCTATACAGAACATAGTGTGTGCAACCATTTTCCTACATTACCTATTCATCAGAGTGACTATTGTTGAACCTTTGACTACGTAGTCTTTCCCGTAGTCTCTAATGTTTCAATAACTCCATTCCCAGGCGATGACATGAGTCCCGTCTCCGTCCACACAATTTCTCATACTCACACACAAATAATGCAACAATTAGGGACAGTGATAAACAAGCTAGGCAGCTCTTGACCTTGACCTTGCTACACAATAATGATATCCTGACAGTTGTAACAAAGATGCAGGCACGCTCTACAGCCAGGTGAGCTGAGGGGGGGGCCAGGATATATCACAAGTATGCTGCACACAGCAACATACATTCACAACCAAGTACTGTATCCTGCAAAATATGCCATGCTACTCTTCTGCCAAGAGTGCTCTCCCCTTAACTGGTAATCTCCCATTAGCTGATGTGACACTGCGTCCTTCAGTGGCTGGGCGGATAATGATCAGTGTAACAATGAATAGAAATATAAGCTCTCTTCTTAAGTACAGCATGAAAGCATGAGATCACCCCTTGGAAAAATATTGGTTGAAAATAAGTTGAAACACTTTGCTTATAGACAAATTGATCTTAACAAAAATCTGCAAACATTTATCTTGTGCCCTCATAGGTCGAACAAATATCTTCAGTTATTGCAAAAGTTATGGAACTTTCATGTCATGATTTTCCTGAAATGCTTAACGTCATATCGCAGACTGATATTCCAAATAGAAGTGAGGCCTCACCACGAGCAGTCCCCGTCACCCTGGAATGTGAAAGTGTGATGTCCTGCCACTCGTGACAGAAACACTACTGTCCCTATGCAGGCCTGTACACCGACAGTGAACACAAGTTGAACAAGCTCAGGAAGTCATAATAATGTCACAGACATAGAAGCACAATTATTCAATCACTCTAAAGTTTGCTACATCCTATCATGTCTCAGTCTTCATCTTCCTCTTGTGATGATGACAACCTCTCACCTGTGATGACCTCTCACCTATGCCTCACCGTGGAATCAAAACCTTATCTGACACAGTCTCAACATTTTGGTGTGAGATGCACTCATCTCTGACCAAAAAATTTCAAATGACTAATTTAATCATGGATGTCAAAAGTTTATCAAACAAAATTATTATTCTCCAAACACTGGTTAAAAAATCTGTTTTAATTTTACTCCAATCAATCAGCAGACAATGTCTCAGTCTTATATATGCCATCAGACCAAAGCCAGACAGTGGCACTGGATTGAACGACGAGCCCATCGTCGAGACCGACGTCCCCCAATCACACATGGCCATGCATGTAATGCATGTTTGCGGTACATTAAAGCACATATTGGTGTAATGCACTGAGGCTTAACAAATGGCGATTTCAACAAAATGGCAGACTGATGTGGGTGGATATCTTCCTCATAATTGCACAAACCATTAAAAACCTGTGGCAAAAACATACATTGTGATAGGGCCCAGGTAGTACAAACCGTCGGACAACACTGTCAGCACTCTGATGGGGGCAGTATAAGGGTTTAACAACAATGTCGACATTATCTGGCAAGGGCAGTACATAAGGTTTGACAACAATGTTGGCATTACCTAATGGAGATTGAAGAAAAAATTGACAAGCGGAAAGGACATTCAGTATCACCACACTCAAGACGAGATCTGTTGCACAGTAAATAGTCCATTCACAACTGTGCTTAGTTTCAGGGTTAACGTGAACATGTAGTCGGTGTACTGGGACTCTGCCACCCTCTGCTTGTAAGGCAGGTTCCTGTGTGTATGGATCAGTATTCTACCATATTTGTGTTTCTATTACTACAAAATATAATGGCCAAGTAATTAGTTGTTAGGAAATCAACACTTTTGTGCACACATAATTACAACTGCAGAATTCTTGAGATACTATCCCTATCCACTTGTAACAGGGGCACTATGGAAGCCTTGGTCAGCAACATCGCACTAATCAGTAATCAGCTGGACAGCTATAAACATGAAAAGAAAAATCTATTTTCAGAAACTTGAACACTAAGTAGGTCATCTTCTAGTGTTTATAGGCTCCAGGATGTACGAGACCCTGAAGAACATCACTGTCAACACGCGACAATGAAGGGATGCACGACTCCACCGAAAGCAGAACTGTGACAAAAGCAAAAGTGAAAGCGCCTGGAATGATTCAACATTATCGATCGGACAGTCTGTTTCATCGCACGATGAAGGCACTTCGTCCTGGAATACCTTGGTCTATTCCTCCTGAAGTCAATAACTCCACACTAGTGCATCTTTAGTCCATTTTGATGGCTTCAACACAAAGTGAATCCCCGCTACGGGGGCATCAACAGAGGTCACTTGGAAAAGCAGAAAGTCAGATTGTGAGATACCTGTCCACATTCCTGTCTCACCACTCTCTACCTCATAAATAGTCATATCCTATCACAGTGGTCACCTGACTTGAATCCACCAATCACAGTTGAGATAAACTGACCAATGGCATACAGTCAGTGTAGGCAGAGAGCCAATCACATGCACACAGCAGACACCCAAACTGGCTTTTTCTGCTCTGATGCAATCACAGTCTTGATGTGCATACACATTTCAGCCAGGTTGCCTCCTTGGATTGTGGCTGAAAGGGAATAATAACAGGACATTACACAAAAAGTACTAGAATCTGTACTTCACTAAGATGGTGTTACCCCAAATATAACATTTGTTACATTTTACCCTTTTCTAAATGGAACTGTGTGTTCATAGCTTTCGGCCATGGGAGCCATGCCAGTTTACACTTGTCAAAGTATGTGATCTAGACTATCAGGTGTTGGACTTTCGTTTTTGTGGAAGCCTCGGTGGCTGAGTGGGTTAGATCGCTGACTTTTGTGCTGGAGTTTAGGTGCATCACTCTGGCAGAGTGGGTTCGAATCCTGGATGGGACTCAGTACTAGAATCTGTACTTTACAAAGAAAGTGTTATCCCAAATATAACATTTGTTACATCTGACCACTTTCTAAATGGCATTGTGTGTTCATTATACAATACATTGGCTCAGGAAATGCCACATTCAGCAATATTCCAGCTATGACAGTGGCCTGTAAATAATGGAGTCCAGACGAAACAACCGGGTGACAACCGGGTGATATTATGAGCAACGATCCACGCCATCAGGGTATGCTGACACACAAACCAATTTAGCAGTCTGGCCACAGGAGTCAATAAGTCACATGACGCACAAGCATAGGTTGTACAGGCGCAGCTAACCCGGAAAGCCACAGGGGTCAATAAGTCACATGACACAACAAGCATAGGTTGTACAGGCGAAGCCAACCCGGAATTCCACAGGGGTCAAGACAAGTGTGTAATAAAGGGACTTTCACAGATTATCAGCCAAATGAATTTTGAAATATCTAATTTCAGAAACAAAAATCATGCCTTCTCCCTTTTGGGGGAATGTCAAAGAAAAGATTATTAGCATAAATGCGTATCTGAGCTTATGAAAAGTACTATCTGATACGTGACCTCATTTCCATAATTATCAGATCGTGATACCAAATGTAACTAAGCTGTTTATCGCATTGAAAGCACCATCCATCATATGATAACAAAACATTTATACAAAACACCTGTGAGTGAGTGAGTATGGGTCTTGGGTGTGACAAGCGACTGTTCAGTATTTTCAGAAAACAATTTTATTATGAAATTTGCAGACAGCAGATCGATTGTCATATTGAAATTCAAATTTGACCTCAGTCCATTGAAGAGTTTCACGAGGAACTATGCAAAATGTTTACGGAAGACACAAGTGACCTTGACCTTGATAAAGTACAGTAAACTACGGTTATAACTCAAAAGGACCACTAATTTTAGTTTGTTATAAATGTTCCTCGTTATAAGCAATCATATAGCATGTACGCAGCAAATGGCTGAGAAAAAAAAAAGTTTGTTACATCCGTCAGTTTGTTATAATAAACGTAGTTTACTCTACAACATCAGGATGAGAACATGCTATCAAGGCTTACATCAAATCTTCGTGCATGTAACATTTGGATTAAATGACCTTCATCTTGACAGGTGTTCAGTACACTCAAAAACCTGTCTTACCTGAAAATAAATTGTGGTGTTCTTGCTCAATCTTCAGGTGCTGCTCATATATATCTTTGGATGCTTTGTTGGACAACTTCTCTGGCAGAAACTGGACATCTCGTATTTCCCTGCAAGGATTGTGGGTAATTTAATTAAAATAAGTGAATCATGCTTAGTTTCAAGAGAGAGAACAGCCCATGTGATGCAAGCCATTTCTACAGCATCAGTGAATCTTATGAACAAAGGTAAAGGGCCATCTCTAGTGGTGAATCTGGACTTGGAACCCATGGCCACGAGACCCTGGCACGGCATGCTGTATTGAGACCCATAGACCACCCTTCTCACTTGGCAATCCATGAAGAAAGGAGCATTTCTGATTAACTGCAATGTTTATATACCTACCTGACGCTACACAGCGCTGTAGGTATAGCGTTAGGTAAGGTAAAACATATATAGTCCTCACATATTGAAATATCAAAATACATCATAATAGGCCATTTATATTACACATATTTCCACACCACTCAGGAGTATGCTCAAAGCGCTATTATTACCCCTGTCACAGGATTCGGGAGCACTCAGCACTCATTCTAGGCTCCCTGGGGAGTATACAACTCAAGCTAGCTGTTAGGCGGTAGAAGGGTAACAACCACCATCTCATCCTACCGGGTACCCATTCACTGCTGGGTGAACAGAGGCACATTTCGAACAAAGTCACCTGCCCAAGGGACACCACATGTGTTACATGTGATTCAGTGTGGGGCAGAATGGAAGCCCCAGATACTCTCAGGAGCCAAGCTGCCAAAGCGGTCTCCCATTCAAGGACTCCCCGTGAGTGACGTTGCTTAACTTTACTTGATTTGTGATCTGTGGGCTGAGCACAGGACCGCATGGCTTTAACTTGAGTTACTACAACAACCCCTATCATGTGGACATGCTGTACTTTACCTGATTTGTTTCCAGTTTTTATGCCTGACGAAAATAACAATGGGGTATATTTTGAGATGGTGCAGTCTTTCTACAGCAGCCGGACTGACTTTCAGTAAACAGTGGACTCTCTGTCAACAAAACAAGTAAACAAACATAAAATTAAACAGTGGTCTAAGATTTAAGAAAATAAAAGAATTTGTTCTCAGGAAATGGTTTTTGAAAATACAGTGCATGCAGGCATTGGTTTTTTTTGGAGGGGGGGTGTCAAAATGTTATGTAACCATATAAACAGTTGTGTACCCAAATAAACAGTTATGTACAATCAACCTGGGAAAGGGCCTCCCTCCATAACTGCATTCTTTGATGAGTAAAATACAGGAGTTCTGTATTTGACTATCGCTGGACTTGGAATATTTAAGGATTCTTTTGGGTTTTTTTAAAATAGAAATATAAACAAAAACTGCGGCAACTTTATGATGATGCAGGGGTGCCTGAGACCCGAGACTATTATTTCTTTTAGCCTAAGCAAAACATTTGTATACCTCGAACATAATTTCACCTTACTGATAAATTTGAGACCTTAATCCATGCTGTTGTTTCCTATTGTTATATCATTAAAGTCATACAAATTCGCATATTTTAACTTGTTTTTAGGACTGTTAAGTCATACAGGGTCATCTATCAATGCTGACCTTGAAACACAACACATACTGACCTTATCACAGATTTCTTCTATAGTTGTGACACGGACACATTCAAAGTGGTCGTCACGCCGCCAGTAGTCGATCACCACGCCTTTCGACATATTCTGATTCAACTGGTTTTGTGTGTAGCCACCCGCTGTAATGACAAAAACAATCTCTTATTCGCTGTCCACATAACAACACCGAGTCGCAGAGATGCAAAGTTGGTTTAATGTTGCTTCGACCAGCATTTCAGTTATATCACAGTGTGTCGGCTTGATGTTGGAGTACACCACCCCAAGATATCCAGGTCTTAGATATTTACACGTGAAGATCCGGGGTAGAACAGGTCTTAAGAAACCCATGTTTGTCGTAAAAGACGACTATGCTTGTCCTACTAACAGGATCGGGTGGTCAGACTCGCTGACTTGGTTGATGCATGTCATTGTATCCCAATTGCGTGGATCGATGCTTATGATGTCATCACTGGATTGTCTGGTCCAGACTCAATTGTTTACAGACCGCCGTCATATAGCTGGAATATTGCTGTGTGCGGCGTAAACAACAAAGAAAGGAGAAAGATATTTACTACACTTTGCAACCAACGAGCATAGGTATGATGCTGACAAACCAAGAATTATTATCGTGGTTAATTTGATTTCAAACACAAGATCACAAAATCCTGGCATGCCTAAGGGACACAACTCTGCAAAGGCACTTCCAACCACCTTTACACAACAGGTTTGTTTCTAACACCACACTCAGCAATAATCCAGCTGGATGGTGGCCTGTCTTTATTCAAGTCTGGACCAGACAATCCAGTGATATTACAACGATCCACATCATCAGGATTCAGTATCCATCAGGATACAATCAACACCAAATCACAGAGTCTGACCACCCGATCCAATAAGTTGCCTTGTATGACCAACACAAGCCCACAGTGACTTTATACACAAGAAAATACTGAGACAACATGAAAGGTTCTATATATAGAGGGCTTGCACAGATTCTATATTTAGAGTGCTTGCATGGATACTATATTTACAGGGCTTGCACCGATTCTATATTTACAGTTCTTGCACCGATTCTATATTTACAGGACTTGCCTGGATACAATATTTACAGTTCGTGCACCGATTCTATATTTACAGGGCTTACACAGATTCTATATTTACAGGGCTTGCACGGATTCTATATTTACAGGGCTTGCACTGGTAGCATAACTATTACAAGTACTGAAAGAGCATCAATGGTTCTATATTTACAGGGCTTGCACTGGTGGTACTTGTCGGGAGACTCCGACTCCAGTTTGCGGATCAGAGGTTCGGCCAGTGGCGCCAGCAGGACAACAGGTCGCGTCTTCTTGCCTGGAACACAAAGTCAAGGTCAGCCAATGGATGAGACACATATGGACATTGGGCAACACCAACAGCTAGATCTGTTTGTTTGTTATTAAACACCGCACTCAGCAATATTTCAGCTAATTGACAGCGATCTGTAAATAATTGGGTCTGGACTAGACAATCCAGTTATTGATATCATGAGCATCGATCAACATGATCGGGATACGATGACCTTACTTGGTTCCGCACAAGAAGATCTTGAAGTAGTATGAGGGGCTTGCGGCCACATATATTTATATGGCTATATTTTCCAATGTTAACCACATTCTGTACGTGCTGTGCCGCATTCTGTACGTGCTGTGCCACATCATTGTTGTTTATGCCGCAGCCAGCAATATTCCAGCTATATCAATGAGGCCTGCACATGATTGATGGGGAAGACAAGCCAGTGGATGATACCACGAGCAAGGTGTTTGCAAGAGAAGATGGCTGCCCTATCCAGTCTTGTGGTGACCACGTAGTTCAAGCATCCAATACTCACACTCAATTCTCTCCATGATTGTGTAGCCATAGATGGAATCTGTCAATAGAACAAATATCATGTAATGTTTCTGAACAAGCTAATCTCAAGCAAGGAACTGTCATTAACAATGAAAGCTGTCAGTTACTGTAGGTGAGAGTCGATGTTCCAAATCAAACTGCTGATCAATTATTTTACCAAAAGGGCACATAGCTTGAAGTCATAGAAACTAGAAGTTTGAATACCACTAGACAAATATGCAAAACATGATCATTGTGAGAATTGGTATAAGCACCGATTGAAACTGTTGAATCTCTGTTACCATGCATAGATGTTATTTACAGGTTGTCTTACTGTCTTATGAAAAGTTTGGTTGACATTGTTTGTCTCTCTCAGTGTTTACAGTCGACAGTGGTCACAAGTCTATTTATCCACTCTTTGTTTCAGCTCGAAAATTAACCAGTAAGTAAGGTTGTTTTCATGTTAGTTTGTGGTCAGTATTCACTGCCCTCGTCACCTGGTCCCTATGTCCTGCCCTCGTCACCTGGTCCCTATGTCCTGCCCTCGTCACCTGGTCCCTATGTCCTGCCCTCGTCACCTGGTCCCTATGTCCTGCCCTCGTCACCTGGTCCCTATGTCCTGCCCTCGTCACTAGGTCCCTATGTCCTGCCCTCGTCACTAGGTCCCTATGTCCTGCCCTCGTCACCTGGTCCCTATGTCCTGCCCTCGTCACCTGGTCCCTATGTCCTGCCCTCGTCACCTGGTCCCTATGTCCTGCCCTCGTCACCTGGCCCCAATGTCCTGCCCTCGTCACTAGGTCCCTATGTCCTGCCCTCGTCACCAGGTCCCTATGTCCTGCCCTCGTCACCTGGTCCCTATGTCCTGCCCTCGTCACTAGGTCCCTATGTCCCGCCCTCGTCACCTGGTCTCTATGTCCTGCCCTCGTCACCTGGTCCCTATGTCCTGCCCTCGTCACTAGGTCCCTATGTCCTGCCCTCGTCACCTGGTCCCTATGTGCCGCCCTCGTCACTAGGTCCCTATGTCCTGCCCTCGTCACCTGGTCCCTATGTCCTGCCCTCGTCACTAGGTCCCTATGTCCCGCCCTCGTCACCTGGTCCCTATGTCCTGCCCTCGTCACCTGGTCCCTATGTCCTGCCCTCGTCACATGGCCCCAATGTCCTGCCCTCGTCACTAGGTCCCTATGTCCTGCCCTCGTCACCTGGTCCCTATGTCCTGCCCTCGTCACTAGGTCCCTATGTCCTGCCCTCGTCACCTGGTCCCTATGTCCCGCCCTCGTCACCTGGTCCCTATGTTCCGCCCTCGTCACCTGGTCCCTTGACACCAGGGCCAGGAGAAAAGGGCCAGGAGAAACACACATGACATCCAGGACTCCATTCCGTATGTCAGGTTTCACAGTGTACTGATTGTACACTGGGGTGCTATAAGATATATATCCTTGGCCTCACCATCAAGCAGTGGAACGGAATCACTGTTGAGAGAAGCATCGGAGAAGGAACTCAACTCGCGACTCTCCTTAGAGTTGTTTCGCTGGTGTCGTTTCTTGCGGAAAAAGCTTCTTCTGTATGTGCCTGAGCCTCGGCGTGAGCCCTTGAGGTCGTCTGACTCATGGAGACTGACGCTCTCCGACAGACTGCGGCGGAGCACCATATCATCCTCCAGCCTGCAGATAGAGATAGACGTCATGTGTATACAGTGAGTGAGTGAGTATGGTTTTACGCGGCTTTTTTGCAATATTCCAGCAATATCACGGCAGGGACACCTGAAATAGGCTTCACACATTGTACCCATGTGAGGCATCGGACTCGGGTCATGTGCGTGACTAGCGAACACTTGGCTACCACACTGCCCCTCATGTGTACACACAGGCCCGTATGATGCACACTGTATCGATAGTATCACGTCACAGTGGTACTGTCTTAATTAGCCTCACAACAGACACAGGTACTCATCAGCATTTAGCTTTTGGTCACAATAAGTAATTTATTAGATTTTCATTAAAATGATATTTTGAAAATGTTTGGTAGGATAATATGGTGGATGGGAGGGAGTGAGTGAGTGAGTGAGTTGGGTTTAATGCCACTTTGAACAGTATTCCAGTTATTCAAGTCATCAAGGTTTCAGTCATTGACCATGTTGGTGAAACACATGAAATCATAGGACGAACTGGGATCATCGGTCTCCGGCGCAGCAAATTGCTGAGCCTGACACCACTGGGCCACCCAAGCCCCTGGTACCACTGGCGTGAGTGTGAGTGAGTGAGTGAGTGAGTGAGTGAGTGAGTTGTGTTTAACGCCCCTGGTACCACTGGTGTGAGTGAGTGAGTGAGTTGGGTTTAAAGCCCCTGGTACCACTGGCGTGAGTGAGTGAGTGAGTGAGTGAGTTGTGTTTAACGCCCCTGGTACCACTGGCATGAGTGAGTGAGTGAGTGAGTTGGATTTAACGCCCCTGGTACCACTGGTGTGAGTGAGTGAAGGAGTGAGTGAGTTGGCTTTAACGCCCCTGGTACCACTGGCGTGAGTGAGTGAGTCAGTTGGGTTTAACGCCCCTTGTACCACTGGTTGAGTGAGTGAGTGAGTGAGCTGGGTTTAATGCCCCTTGTACCACTGGTTGAGTGAGTGAGTGAGTGAGTGAGTGAGAGTGAGTTGGGTTTAACGGCCCTGGTACCACTGGTGTGAGTGAGTGAGTGAGTGAGTGAGTCAGTTGGGTTTAACGCCCCTGGTACCACTGGCGTGAGTGAGTGAGTGAGTGAGTCAGTTGGGTTTAACGCCCCTTGTACCACTGGTTGAGTGAGTGAGCTGGGTTTAATGCCCCTTGTACCACTGGTTGAGTGAGTGAGTGAGTGAGAGTGAGTTGGGTTTAACGGCCCTGGTACCACTGGTGTGAGTGAGTGAGTCAGTCAGTCAGTCAGTTGGGTTTAACGGCCCTGGTACCACTGGTTGAGTGAGTGAGTGAGTGAGCTGGATTTAACGCCCCAGGTACCACTGCAAGCTTACCTCATTCTGCTTGGAATGGTGCCTCCCTTCAGCTTCTTGCCATCATCATTGACAAGCCAGGCAAACCACAGTCCCATCCCTCCCCCGTGCAAGGTGTTCTCAACTAGCATGATGTCATCTCTGCGAAAAGCTAGTTCGGTCTCACTCTCTGCGACTCGCTCAAAGTTTGCCCGGATGTAGACTGAATCTCCTGGCAGGTTCTGGACCTTGTTGTATTCTGCAAGGAAAGGTTACAATCATGACAACAATGGGCTCATACGCACATTCTACAACTAGAGGTGTTAGCAAGTTATAATCCTAGCAACAGACATACAGTGAAGTGAAATGGGGTTAACGTCGCATCCAAGAGTATTACACTTAGATAGCGACGTGCATGCACATGTGTGTGTATGTGGCTGCTTGTACTAGTCCGCACTACTGCCGATTTTATAGTGCTAGCCCACTGAGATACCATGCTGCAGTTTATACTGACTCTGAGCCGAACAGTTATTTTAAGGTCCTTAATCCGAGCACCAGGCAGGGTAACAACAAGTATCATATTTTAACGTCTTTTGGTACGATGCCGCCTGGGGATCGAACCCTGGACCTTCTGCTCTGCGGGCGGACGCTCTACCACCAGACCATGCAGGAAGTCAACAACATACAACCAATACCAACACATCCACAGTGTTTAACATTAAGGGAGTTATTAGGTCGAGTTTGCTTCTATAGTATTTTAAAGAAAGAACATTTTGGTTGTGACAAGGCCCCCTTGACTTCAACGCATATTTTAGAACACAACATCCAGGAACATCTGAACATACGGGAAGGCAAAACATTCATCGCACGTCAGGACCACTCATTAATCTTTAGAGATTTGATCTTAATGTGTATACATACAATAAGGTTTCCCATAAAAGGTGACTGTGCTTGTCGTAAAAGGCGACTAACAGGATCGGGTGGTCAGGCTCGCTGACTTGGTTGATTCAAGTCATTGATCCCAATTGCGTGGATCGATGTTCATGATGTCAATCACTGGATTGTCTGGTCCAGACTCGATTATTTACAGACTGCCGTCATATGGCTGGAATATTGCTGAGTACGGCGTAAAACAGCAAACCAACAATAAAGTTTCATGGGCTCACCCTCCCCAAGAAGCTGAATTTCTTTAAAACCATGCAAATTTTCATATCACAGCATACTTTTTGTTTCAACCCTCTCCAATAATATGTAATAATATGCAAGTTTTGAACATGTTCTGTGTATTCTAGAAAATCGCCTACTTCTCCCTGGACAAGGCATCCTTCAGGGTGGATCGGACATATGGAAATGGAAAATTCATAGTCTGGATGAATACGATCTGGTATCATGAATGAGATATAGTAAACTTGTTCACTTGTGCAGTGTTAGAAATTGGCACTAGTCCTGTAGTCCTTGCCAAACTGCCCAATAGTTATGGTATCCTAAGGACTAGTAGAAATTTGCCCTTTTTAGGGGTTTTGCTATATGTTATCATTATAAGAACTAGTGGGATAGTGTTAGTTTCTATCGCTGTTGTGACTGACCCCACTATAGAAAACAACGCGGTATCTAGATGAGAAGGTGCCATGGGTATCCTACATCTACATGTGTAACTAGGACATTGAACTTGGTTCCTCTGATCTAACTTGCTGCAAACAGAAAACATCCAACCTACTTCAGAACTCTCATCAATGAAACCATGCATCTCAAAGCAGAACAACATAGTTGTCAGGTGGGCCTGACCACACACAGCAATGTACAACAATGTGTACAACACAAGTCAGGTGGGCCTGACCACACACAGCAATGTACAACAATGTGTACAACACAAGTCAGGTGGGCCTGACCACACACAAAAATGTACAACAATGTGCACAACACAATAGTCAGGTGGGCCTGACCACACAGAGCAATGTACAACAATGTGTACAACACAATAGTCAGGTGGGCCTGACCACACAGAGCAATGAACAACAATGTGTACAACACAGTAGTCAGGTGGGCCTGACCACACACAGCAATGTACAACAATGTGCACAATGCAATTGTCAGGTGGGCCTGGCCACACACAGCAATGTACAACAATGTGCACAACACAATAGTCAGGTGGGCCTGGCCACACAGAGCAATGTACAACAATGTGCACAACACAATAGTCACTGTACACTGCATGCAGCAGGGGCTGGGGACACTCACAGCAGAATACAACACAACGTGATATAGAGAAAGGGCTGGAGAGGGGTGTTCAGTAAAGGCTGGAGATGTTCAAGAGGCCTGCAGGGGGTGTCCAGTTAGGCCTGCAGGGGGTGTTCAGTTAGGCCTGCAGGGGGGGTCCAGTTAGGCCTGAGAAGGGTGTTCAGTTAGGCCTGCAGGGGGTGTTCAGTTAGGCCTGCAAAGCGTGTTCAGTTAGGCCTGCACGGGGGGTCAGTAGGCCTGCAGGGGGTGTCCAGTTAGGCTACAAAGGGTGTTCAGTAAGGCCTGCAGTGGGGGTCAGTAGGCCTGCAGGGGGTGTCCAGTAAGTCATGCAGGTTTTTTTTCCAGTAAGACCTGCAGTGGGTGTTTAGTAAAGCATGAAGAGTTTTTTTTTTCAGCAAGGCCTGCAGGGGTGATTAGCAAGTCCTGGAGAGGGTATCAGTAAGGCCTGGAGAGGGTGTTCAGTAAGGCCTGCAGGGGTGTCCAATAAGGTCTGCCTAGCAAGTCCTGGAGAGGGTATCAGTAAGGCCTGGAGAGGGTGTTCAGTAAGGCCTGGAGAGGGTGTTCAGCAAGTCCTGGAGAGGGTATTCAGTAAGGCCTGGAGAGGGTGTTTAGTAAGGCCTGCAGGGGTGTTCAATAAGGCCTGCTGGGGGTGTTTAGCAAGGCCTGGAGAGGGTATCAGTAAGGCCTGGAGAGGGTATTCAGTAAGGCCTGGAGAGGGTGTTCAGTAAGGCCTGAAGAGGGTGTTCAGTAAGGCCTGGAGAGGGTGTTCCGTAAGGCCTGGAGAGGGTATTCAGTAAGGCCTGGAGAGGGTATTCAGTAAGGCCTGGAGAGGGTATTCAGTAAGGCCTGGAGAGGGTGTTCAGTAAGGCCTGGAGAGGGTGTTCAGTAAGGCCTGGAGAGGGTGTTCAGTAAGTCCTGGAGAGGGTGTTCAGTAAGGCCTGGAGAGGGTGTTCAGTAAGTCCTGGAGAGGGTGTTCAGCAAGGCCTGGAGAGGGTGTTCAGTAAGGCCTGGAGAGGGTGTTCAGTAAGGCCTGGAGAGGGTGTTCAGTAAGGCCTGGAGAGGTTGTTCAGCAAGGCCTGGAGAGGGTGTTCAGTAAGGCCTGGAGAGGGTGTTCAGTAAGGCCTGCAGGGGCTGTTTAGTAACAGGTACCAGGAAGATGGGTGTCTGGGTATACTCACTAGGGAGGTTTAGTTGGGCCCTGATTCTCATGGTGGAGCAAGGTTTAGACAGCTCGAGGACGGCCTGCTCTGCTGTTATGCCGCGAAAGTCCAAGCCATTGTACTGAAATGGGAAGGTCAAAGCTCAACACTCAAGGGACATGCAAATCCAATAAACTGCGGCAGTACAAACTGTTCACTGCAACACTAGGCACAGCAGCACATGTGGGGGTGGGAATCATATTCATGCCAGGAAATTTAAATCAGAAGGTAAAACTCAACAAAATTGTCATAAAAAGGTTGGTACTTTTCAGTGAAAATAGACATAACTTTGTTCACATCTGAGGAAATTATGTGAGAGCAAAACTTGTAAAACCCTGACTCAGCAATATTTCAGCTACTAGCAGTGAATATTTCAGGCTGACAACTGATGCTCGCTATGAGAACACTATTACAGCTGTGCAGTCTATCCACTGTATGTCCTCGGTCTGTCCACAGTCTGTATAGGGTCTGTACAGGATCTGTCCACTGTCTGTACAGAGTCTGTATACGGCCTGTATCGGGTCTGTCCATGTTCTGTATCGGGTCTGTCCATGTTCTGTTTCGGGTCTGTCCGTGTTCTGTATACGGTCTGTCCACAGTATGCATACACTCTGTACATTGTCTGTATAGGGTCTTTACAGGGTCTCTACATGGTCTGTACAGGGTCTGTCCACGGTCTCTCCTTTGTCTGTCCACGGTCTCTCCTTGGTCTGTATACGGTCTGTTAATTGTCCTCGATCTGTCCATGTTCTGTATACGGTCTGTCCACAGTTTGCATACAGTCTGTACATTGTCTGTATAGGGTCTGTACACGGTCTGTACATGGTCTTTACAGGGTCTGTCCACGGTCTCTCCTTTGTCTGTCCATGGTCTCTCCTTGGTCTGTATACGGTCTGTCCTCTGTCCACAGTCTGTCCAAGGTCTGCACAGGGTCTGTACATGGTCTGTACAGGATCTGTCCACGGTCTCTCCTTGGTCTGTATACGGTCTGTCCATGGTCTATCCACAGCCAGTCTACGGTCTGTCCTCTGTCCACAGTCTGTCCAAGGTCTGCACAGGGTCTGTACATGGTCTGTACAGGATCTGTCCATGGTCTCTCCTTGGTCTGTATACGGTCTGTCCATGGTCTATCCACAGTCAGTCTACGGTCTGTCCTCTGTCCAAGATCTGCACAGGGTCTGTACATGGTCTGTACAGGATCTGTCCATGGTCTCTCCTTGGTCTGTATAGGGTCTATCAGTGGTCTCTCTTTGGTCTGTATACAGTCTGTCCACGAGGCTGGTACGAACAAGTGGGTAACAGAACAAGTACTGAACCATGCAGTCTGGGTAGCAGGACACAAACTTGGGCTGGTAACACTGCACAGCCACATGATCCACATGTTAGCTGGCTCATACAAGCATTCAGTACTGGGATCTACATGCATGTAGTTTATTTGTACAACACCAAGATGGAAATTTGACTGAGAAACATGCTCATTTCCTGTAAGCAAAGCCATGTGTAAATTCCATCACAGTACTCAGTAGCCATGCTCATCATCGAGCTTGTGATATGATATTAATAATAATGATTATAATAGGCCCTTTATGTTGCGCATGTTTCCACACCACTCAGGGGCATACTTAGAGCGTTATTATTATTACAGAACTCATAAACAACCGATGCTTCACCCTTTGTGTAGAATGCGTACCTCGAGGATCTGGTCTCCACGCTGAAGTGAGTTGTTCACGTCGTTGGTGTTGGTCTGCGGTGGCTCATGTACAAAGATGCCGGTAGCGTTGCCGCCCACAATACTGAAGCCAATACTGGTGTTCCTCTTCTTCAGAGTGAGGTATCGAGGCCGCTCACACATGTTGTCCGAGCTGAAAATTCATGCGCTACATTAGTAACAAACATGTCGCTTCCTTGATCTCAGCGCTTCTTATTGACACCACAAAAACTCTATACCTATCCTATGTTATTTTACCATCATATGGTATCATTCTTCTATGCAATCTCATCAAAATCAGACCTAATACGCCGATACCATACCTCTCTCTACCAAGATTTAAAGTCATGTGAGGTGAACTTTCTAATCAGCGTCACAGCTTCTAAATTCCCGGTACAAGTGAGCAATGCATTCAGAGAAACATATCTGATTTCTGCATCTCAAAAACGATTATACATGAAATTGGGAAAATTGCACAAGAATATATCCTTGTCATTCTACTGTAATCACCATGGCATCTATAACCATAAGACTATCAAGGGCGTATTTGTGTTCTGTGATTTATTTCGCTAAGATCAAAATTTATGAAACCAATTCATTTTAGAAGTCTGATGGGCCAGGAATCCCATCACTTGGATTGTAGGTTCAGAGTTCATTTACTTATGCGATCTCCTGTGGAGGTGTCCTAAGATCCTGATGCAGGAAGGTATAGTGATCTGATGAGATTGCTACTATAGAGTTACTGGTCTTGGAATGTAGGTGAAGGTGTGTGACATGGACGTACCTGCTTGTCTTTCCGTGTGAGGGTGACATGTGGGTGATGGTCAGTGGAGACTTGTCTCCCTCTAAAGAGCTGGTGATCGTCCCGGCAACTGATGGCATCGACCCCGTGCTGGACGACTCATGTGGCTCACGATATTCTGGAGGCAAAATAAACTCAACTTTATCCAGGTTGATATCAATTCACAGATATGTCAGTATGAGAAACAAGTATCTATCTGGCGGTAACTGTATGGATAACTGAAGTCAACCTGGTGGTAACTGTATGGATAACTGAAGTCAATCTGGTGGTAACTGTATTGATAATTGAAGTCAACCTGGTGGTAACTGTATGGAAAATTGAAGTCAATCTGGTGGTAACTGTATGGATAATTGAAGTCAACCTGGTGGTAACTGTATGGATAATTGAAGTCAATCTGGTGGTAACTGTATGGGTAACTGAAGTCAATCTGGTGGTAACTGTATGGATAATTGAAGTCAATCAGAGGGTAACTGTATGATTAACTGAAGTCAATCTTGTGGTAACCGAATGGATAACCAAAGTCAATCTGGTAGTAACTGTATGGATAACCAAAGTCAACCTGGTGGTAACTGTATGGTTACCAAAGTCAACCTGGTAGTAACTGAATGGATAACCAAAGTCAACCTGGTGGTAACTGTATGGATAACCAAAGTCAACCTGGTAGTAACTGTATGGATAATTGAAGTCAATCTGGTCATAACTGTATGGATTACTGAAGTCAATCTGGTGGTAACTGTGTGGATAACTGAAGTCAATCTGGTGGTAACTGTATGGATAACCAAAGTCAATCTGTTGGTAACTTATGGATAACCAAAGTCAATCTGTTGGTAACTGTATGGATAATTGAAGTCAATCAGGGGGTGGCTGTATGGATAACTCATGTGAACCTGGTGAAAAACTTAAGTCAATCTGGTGGTGCCTGAATGGATAGCTAAATGATTTCAGATAAAAGTGCTGAACTTACTGTCTGGATTGTACTGGACCCTCATGATGAGGTTATCTCCGCACTGCTTCAGCACGGTCAGAGCGTGGGCGTAGGAGGCTGTTCTCATGTTGATACCGCAAACCTGAGAATGGTGCACAAAGGAGTACAGAGATCTACACACAAGTGAGTTCAGCCCTACATCTCCCCAGTTTCTTTGGGAACTACAGGTGGGTGGCAACCATCACATCGTGTTCAATATAACGAACTTTGGATGACTCGCACCAGGTGATGCCAGTGATAAATGTACTTTCGTAATTTGGACAGACACAAGGAGAATAAACATAAGTCCAGGGGGGGGAAATTGGGGCTGTTTTCACTATTGCAATAGTATTGCCATGGTAGTGAACCAACTTAAAGGCTTGATTATGATATTATTGAATGTAATAGAAATGAATAAAGTAATGCTGACAATCCCAAAATTGGACATTTTCCTCCCTGGAAGCTACTCAAACCAAAGGGAGGTAACTCTTATCTGAAGTTGGCATAATCCTTCCTTACAAACACATGCAGGTTTCAACTTTGCATAATTTATGTTTTATTTATAACAAATTGCAACTATTAAAACTATCCTTTGTTATACATACTATTGACAATACTATTGGTATTTTTACATTCCTGTCAAAATGGTACAATCTTAGGGCACACAACTGCAATACATCGATAGTGTGATACATTGTTACACTCCTTGCGCTTACTTCACTAAACAGTAGAGTGCCACATATAACTCCCACGAACACATCTAGACATCCATAGGAGGAACTGTGGCACACTTGAAAGAAAACACATTTGTGACATTTCTATTCCTCAGAGAGCGAACTGAGGCAGTTAAGACTCAAAAACATCTCTGTCACCTTCCATTTGTTTGTTTTGTTTGTTGTTTAACGTCGCACTTAGCAATATTCCAGCTATATGACGGAGGTCTGTAAATAATCCAGTGAATGATATCATGGGCAACAATCCATGCAAGCCTGACCACCTGATCCCATTAGTCGCCTCCTACGACAAGCAAAGTCGCCTCTTACGGCAAGCATGGGTTGCTGAAGACCTATTCTACCACGGATCTTCACGTCTTCCAGTTCTCCGAAGATCCTGCTGTGTTTGTGCCGGTCTCACTCACCTCTAGGAGTTGATCACCAGGAACCAGACCCGCCTGGGCAGCAAGACTCTTCTCATTCACGGAGGAAATAAATATTCCACCAGACGGACCCGCATTGATTTGAATGCCAAATTGTTCTGCAGTCTTCTGAATGGTAATTGTCCTCATGTCTAGAGGCCGTGGTCTACAGGCAAAAGAACATGTTGTTAACCCTACAAAAACATTGTGTAAAGCAAAGACATTTAAAAGTTATCACACACAATACACACAATCACCATCTACAGGATCAGCTGTGAGTGAGTCAACATGGGACCTGCACATCACAAAAATTTGGGGAAACCAAAAGTCAGACAGGTCGTTGATGTCGACCAATTTGTTACAACAGAAGAGGTCAGAATTCATGATTCAAACCCACAACAAGAGCTTGAGCAGGGATTTATCTAGACCTGATATTCGGCCCCCAGTCGGCAGTAAATCACAGTAAACATTTCCAATTTAAATAAAGAAAATCCTTGTTGCTTACTTTTTGCGTCTTGGAAACTCCTCTGACAACCAGGGTTCAAACTTGAGTAGAGACGACCCTGGACTGCTTGGTCCGGACACTGAAACACAGACAGGACACACAACTATCAGTTACAGAGCACTTCAAACACAGATTCTCTAACAGAGGCAGGACACACAACTATTAGTAACACACCACTTCAAACACAGATTCTCTAACAGAGGCAGGACACACAACTATTAGTAACACACCACTTCAAACACAGTCTCTCTAACAGAGGCAGGACACACAACTATCAGTAACACACCACTTCAAACACAGTCTCTCTAACACAGGCAGGACACACAACTATCAGTAACACACCACTTCAAATACAGTCTCTCTAACACAGGCAGGACACACAACTATCAGTAACACACCACTTCAAATACAGTCTCTCTAACACAGGGAGGACACACAATCATTACACAGAAAGATCAGCTGTATATATGTCTGTATCATTTTTAACTATGGCCATATTACCACTAAATATTTAACTCATTTCAGCACAAATTCACAGGCTGTGTATGTTGTTGAGAAAACTAGAAACATAAAAGGGGCGAGCCGGGATTCAATCTCACAATCAAAGGATTCTTGTGTGCCAAGGGAGGCAACTCTGCACAGGGAATTGCAGTGCCTTAAACTGTGAACATTTATGTGAACAGAGATAAACTCTGTTAATCAGAACGAAACCACCCCAAAGAAAAAGTGCATACAAACAACTTTCCAGTTTTCCTAATAAACTGTTACAGAATAATATTACTTTCCCAGCATTTCCAGATTAAGAGGGTCCAGACAAATAAGGTTTCAGTGTATACAACTGACGTGAATACTGTGAAGACGTACTCCCATACTTTATCAAAGACCTACGATGAAGGTAGCACTAAGACCGCTTTGTGGAACGGGGCCCTGGACAACTTACCGATTTCCACAGAGCCCTGGTTCTGGCCGTGGGTGTGGCGGCCATAGTGGGAGTAGCGCGGTGGGACGTCCTCGCTGAAGGTTGGTGTGATGCGGTCAATTGTTGAGTTGCTCTAAATGGAAGAGGGAAACATCATTGTCTCAGTGGATCCTGGCATGGAAAGGGCAGTAATTCTGCATGGGAAGATGCTGAGGTTTGAGACACCTGGCCACTTTAACCATTATTGAACAGGTCCAACATCTGATCACTGATAGGAAATCACAATTTGTGATACCGGGTAGTAAATTTGGACTTTCCCAGCCCCACCAGACAGTTTTAATATTTACAGGATTCAGCAGCTGTGATATTATAAATGGAGGCATAAAACATCATTCACTTTCACCTTCAGTTAAAGGTCAACAGCTTTTCAAACAATTAGTAAACTAGGATCTCATTCTGATGTAGGATGGTACCCAACCCCTATTACCAGAAACTACCCAGGTACCCACTGTAGGTCTCAAGAGTGGGGTAAAAATTGTCTGATTGGGAATTGTTTTATGGGAGCAATGGCAAAAACTCTTAAGATACACATAAAACATGATACATACTGAAGTTTTATATTTACTCAAACATATTAAAGTCAGGAGAGATGTGTGCACGGTCAGAAAGAAATGCGAACATTAGCAATTTGTAGAGTAACCACGAAGTTTTAATTTAACTGTCATTGAATAATATATCATGTGACAAACCACGGGTACAGGTGGTCCTGTGGGTACCGGGGTCCTACTCAGGACCCACCTGACCCGAGTACCCGAGTAACCCGTCCCAGCCCTACTGTGGGGCCTAGACAAGCCAGGAAGCTCCCAGTTGGATGTAATCCACCCACCTGTTGTGAAATGCTGGGCGAGCTGTAGTCCACCGGGCAGAAGTGAAATGGCTGGAAGTCAGGAGGCATGGTGTATCTGTAGTGGGCTGGGTAGGAGCTGTGGGAGGAACCAGGGGGATACGGGGGAGGCGTGTACGCCGACACTTGGTTCCCCGACCGATAGGGTGGCTGAGCTGGCGGTTGGCTGCAAGGACACAGTGTAACTGGGGTAACAGTTTCACATCTATAGCAACTAACAAAAAAGCTAAAAAACAAGAGGAGTAATAAAGTTTATAAAATAAGCAACACCGCAATATCATCTCATTTCTGGTCCATTTGAGGCTCACAGACAAACATGGACTCAACCTACAGAAAAACATACCAAATGTCATCCACCTCAACATGTCTGTAGCAGTCAACCACAGGTCAGCAGACAGGAGCATCACTAAGCAGAGGTCAGCAGGCTGGAGCATTACTGAGCACAGGTCTGCAGACAGGAGCATCACTGAGCACAGGTCTGCAGACAGGAGCATCACTGAGCACAGGTCTGCAGACAGGCGCATCACTGAGCACAGGTCTGCAGACAGGAGCATCACTGAGCACAGGTCAGCAGACAGGAGCTTCACTGAGCACAGGTAAGCAGACAGGAGCATCACTGAGCACAGGTCAGCAGACAGGAGCTTCACTGAGCACAGGTCTGCAGACAGGCGCATTGCTGAGCACAGGTCAGCAGACAGGAGCATCACTGAGCACAGGTCAGCAGACAGGAGCATTGCTGAGCACAGATCAGCAGACAGGAGCACCATTGAGCATCACTGAGCATAGGTCAGCAGACAGGAGCATCACTGAGCACAGGTCAGCAGACAGGAGCTTCACTGAGCACAGGTCAGCAGACAGGAGCATCACTGAGCACAGGTCTGCAGACAGGAGCATCACTGAGCACAGGTCTGCAGACAGGCGCATCACTGAGCACAGGTCAGCAGACAGGAGCTTCACTGAGCACAGGTCAGCAGACAGGGAGCATTGCTGAGCACAGGTCAGCAGACAGGAGCACCATTGAGCATCACTGAGCATAGGTCAGCAGACAGGAGCACCATTGAGCATCACTGAGCATAGGTCAGCAGACAGGAGCATCACTGAGCACAGGTCAGCAGACAGGAGCTTCACTGAGCACAAGTCAGCAGAAAGGAGCATCAATGAGCACAGGTCAGCAGACAGGAGCATCACTGAGCACAGGTCAGCAGACAGGAGCATCATTGAGCATCACTGAGCATAGGTCAGTAGACAGGAGCATCACTGAGCACAGATCTGCAGACAGGAGCATCACTAAGCACAGGTCTGCAGACAGGAGCATCACTTTGTCGCATGGATTGATGCTCATGGTGCCAATCACTGGACTATTTACAGACAGCTATCACATTGCTGAATGTGGCATTGCACAACAACCAATCACATATCACCCACTCATGTTCATATATTACAAAAATACACCTGATATAACCAACCCCCCCCCCCCGCAGTGTTATTGAACATCGTGAATGTTGTCATGTCTCACCTGTTTGGATGATGTGAGTTTCTGGGAGGAACTCTTGTTATCGGGGACGGAATTCTGTTTTCAAAGAGTCGTTCCGACGGAATGTCTCCTATTGGGAAGTCTATAGAAGTGGGTCTGCTGCTCCCCCCTGGTCCTGGCTGGCGCCTCTGTGGATAGCTAGACTGACTAGGGGGTTTGCCATTGTTTATAGGGTACACATTCTTTGGTTGGGAGGATCCAGAGTCAAACTCGGAGTGTGTGTGAGATGGTGGGGGAGAGGAGAGCAGCTTTGAGTTGGCATTGTTGAGAGGACTATGAACATACACCTTGTCTATCTCGGGCTGGCCGTTGTAGAAGGAATAGGGAGCCATAGGCGGGCACACGGGGGATTTCCTCCGTGGTGGCGTGAACAGTGACCTGGGTTCTTCTTGTCCGTATCGAATACTGGAATCTGAGTTCTGACTGAAGTGTCTCCCAGGGGAGTTCTTGTCATCGTAAAATGAAGGCTGGATGTAAGAGTCTGGTCTCAATGGAGGTCTTTCCTTCCCTGGGTGTGGACGAATTACAACTGTGTTTTTCCCAGGGAGAAAAGCAGGTCGAGGCTGGTGACTGGATTTCGGCCAAGTCCCGCTATTGCTGTCTATTTCAAATTCCGTTTTCCGTGATTTGGGTTTTGAATTTTCTTTCACTCTCTCATCTTTGTTATGATTTGAAACAGGATCAAATTCAGCAATGATCTTTTCCTGAGTTCCTAAATTGCAGTTCGACATATACGGGTGACTGCCCCTCTCATCCACATCTAACTGGCTCTCATTGGATCTCTGAACCTGGCGGAACAGTCCGCGGATTACTTCCTTGACACCATGTTGCCGATCACGGCTCTTCCGTGACGCACCAGAACTGTCAAGACTGTCCGTCTGTGAGCTGTGACTGCGTGATGTCTTGTTCCCTCCGTGAGAGTAATTGTGGCTGGTCATTGGGTCGTCCATGAGGAAGCCATGTTGTGGGATGGTGTCCGATTGGCTGCGCTGGTTGGAATGATACGAATGGTCCGGAAGTGTTGACATGATAGCTTGGCTGGTGGGGGTGGGGGAGGACCCCGCGGAGTGCACGGGGGACACCTGTCTCAGCACCTGCAGCTGCACAGGGTCATTTGACTTCTCCAGGACCTTCATGGCCTCGCGGGCCGACATTCCTGTCGACACTGGCTTGCTGTTCACCTGGAAAACAACAAGATTCTGTAAACCTTTCCCATATCATTGAGAGTATTCATCCTTAATTTGTTACACTTGGTCAGTGTTGAAGTCTTACATAAAGATAGCTTATGAACTAAATGACATGAAATTTTTACAGATTACAAAGCTTTACTAATACAAGAGAGAACTTGCTAATCATAATTTCCTCATTTCGAACACTTTTAATTTTCTAGTAATCATCTCTGGAGATACTATGCAAATTGTACAATTTCCAACAAACTTTACCTACATCAAACAAAGTGGCTGTTAACCAATATCCTTCATCAGGGATTTATCCAGGATTTTAAGCCAGGTGCCTTTGTCAGGCAAACTGGGAAATGTTGTTTTTTTTAATTCAAAATTGAGATTTTTCTTTTTTCAAAATATATTTGCTGCAGTCTCTGAGCACGCCTAGATACATCCTTGTTAATTCACCATTATCAACAGTGTGTTTGTGGCGTGAGTTGATTCTAGGTAAAGGTGACTACCACCCACCTGCACAATCCGATCCCCGATGCTAGGCAGCATGCCATCCTTGGCGATGATTCCCCCTTGATACATCCGAGAGATGAACAAGCCATGTTCTATCTGCATACCAGGATCTGGGAATATCAGACACTCGTCAAACATCTTACCAAGAAGACAGAGTCTACTGTGATAGTGATACATAGTCATTGTCAACATTATGACTAACCTTAAATTTGGACCTTTTTTTAAGGCGTATGACCTCAATTCAGAACCAGAGTAGTTGGTGGTCCTCTTTCTAACATCATATATCCCAACCTCTATTAAACCTCTTTCTGACATCATATAACTCAACCACTATTGAGCCTCTTTCTGACATCATATAATCCAACCTCTATTGAGCTTCTTTCTGACATCATATAACCCAACCTCTACAGGGCCTCTTTCTAACATCATATAACCCAACCTCTACTGGGCCTCTTTCTGACATATGTCCCAACCTCTAGTGGGCCTCTTTCTAACATCATATATCCCAACCTCTACTGGACCTCTTTCTAACGTCATGTAACCGAACCTCCACTGGGCCTCTTTCTAACATCATTTAATCCAACACTTCTCAAAAGAGGACCTGCAGAGTTTAGTCATCACCTGCAGCCTCTAAAGTCTGTGGGTCCTGATGGCAGCCTAGCAATTTTATTTATTTCAAACACTGGCTGAGAGACACAAAGACAGAACACACATGATTCCAGAGCCTACCTTTGTGACATGACAACAGCAGCTGAAGGGGCTGCCAGATCCGGGCACTGGTCCATTTTCTTCGCTTTACAACCTGCAATGCAAATCAAACAAGCATGAAATACTCATATCGCCAGCTAATATGACATGTCCAGTTGTGTGCAAGGCAAGAAATATTTTAGAGTTTTCAAGATCTCCTCCGGAAACGAGCGCTCCTGCCATTTTCAGTCTAAGTCAAAGTCGTTGCTATGGAAACTCGAAAAATGAAGTTTAAAAACATCCCAAACTATCAAAGGCACCAGTTTACCACTAGACCTACCTATGTGGCAAGTTTGGTGGAGAAATATTGTACAATTTTCAAGAACAGCTCCAGAAAGGAGCATTACCGCCATTTTCAGTCCACGTCAAAGTTGTTGCCATGGCAACTGGAAAAATAATTTTTTCAACAATCCTAAACTATCAAAAGGCACCAGTTTACCAGACCTATCTAAATGCCAAGTTTGGTAAACATATCTCAAGGTTTTTGAGTTCTACTCCGGAAACAAAACATGACAGACCGAAGTACGGACGGATTGACGGACGGACAGCACCCATTCCAACAACCCCCTTCCACTTCAAGGCAGGGGATCATTAATCCAATACACTTTACAGTAGAAAACACACGATGTGATCTGCACTGCAGCATTACTTCACCGTTTCCACCAATGTACCATCTGACCACATTGACAACTGTACAACAACTCACCAAAGTGATGGTTCCAGAATGTTCTCTCATGGCCTGGGAAGCCAGTCGTTTCTCTACGCTAGTCACATCTCTACCATTGACTTTCAACACAATGTCATTCAGTCTGCAACAGAAACAATCTCATTATCAAAACACATGGTTCCAGATAGTACCTGCCAGTGATGGCTGTTCTCAGAGCTACAGATAACATTTTGAGCAATTGAGTTTTTACTCTAGGGTTTCTATTTAAATTGGGTTATTACATTTTCATTGGGTAACCAATATTTTTTCACCCATCTATTCATCTCTCTATTGGGTTTTTCCCAAAATAAGCGAACATTTTAAGATTTAAAAAAAATGAAACAATGTTTTAGATGTATATAACTGTTCTAAATATATAGGCTTGACTCGGAAAGTAAATTAGCTTGTAATTGTGTTTCGGAAATTAGCTGAAAAAGCTTCATTGGGTATTTACGCGAGCTGTCTTTATACATATGAGTTTTTCATATAATGTATACATTTCTGTATGCAAGTTAATTGAAAGTAATTGTGTTTTGAATATTTTGGGGGATATTTTACGCAAATACGCTGCTTATCTGTAGCTCTGTTCTACATGCTGGTCTCACCACAGCAGCCTCGAAACACAACTATCAATATATTTGCCTTGAAGGAGTATTTGGTACAGGATACCAAATCTACCCCAGGATCCCCCCAGAGCTGCCTGATCTACCTACCCCATCCCCGCCCCCCCTCTCCCAGGGCTGCCTTGTTCTACAAGTACAGGATAGGGTCATAATGATGCTATTGGAGGATTGACACAAACAGATTTTGTTTTGTTTATCACCATACTCATAAATACTCCTGTTATATGACGGTGGCTTGTAAAATAATCAATCTGGACAAGTCATCCCAGTGATTGATATAATGTGCAACAATCAGAATACATTTACACTTAATCAACCAAGTCACTGAGCCTGAAGATCGATTAAGTCGCCTCGAACAGCAAGCATAGGTTGTTGAGGACCAATCCTAAACCGGAATCTGCACAACAAGCACCAAGTTGCACCTACCTGAGTTTGCCGTCGGCAACGCCTCCCTTCATCACGTTGTACACAAAGAGGGAGGGGTCGTTCTGGAACTGGGGGTCGTCCTTGCCCCCGATGAGGTCAAACCCCAGGTTGTCTCCATTCATCATCTCCTGGGAAAGTTTTTGAAAACAAATTTTGTTTATCTAACAATTTTGGTGCTTATTAAATTGATTTCTTCACTTAATTTTGACAGACACCTTTAATAGTAGGGTGAAACGATACAGCTAGGTCACGATAAAATACGTATTGCGATACGCATATTTACGCCAAATTGGATGGAAACTTCTTGACAATAAATATTTCAGAGCAATTTCAAAAGGAAAACCTAGCTGTAGACACATGTTCATAGCAGCTATTTTTAGTAGTGAACTTGAAACGCTTATTACAACACATATTGCGAAATCTGACTCACAAAAACGTCTGCGATCATTTAACAAGTAGTAAGTGATTTATGTCAGCAAGTGTATCGTCTTGTATCGATAAAAAAAAAAGAAGGTATCGTGAATCGCATTGTCACATGGAAACTCCTGATGCACCCGTCCACCAATGTATCGTTTCACCCCTGTCTCATAGGTCCTCTAAAACATAGTTCAGTCTACGGGTAGATGTGGCTGCCCAGATTTTTCTCCTTTGTTCTGCGACATCCACATGGGCCATGTTGCTTCCTTCATGGAGTATCCATGGCCAGATCAAGAACTGGGTTTTCCAGTCACCACTTGAATATATGTGTAATAACTTTTCTGTTCAAATTAAAGAGTATGAATCTAATCGTGTGAATCAATTACATTTGGAAACATTTAGTTTTTGTGTAGAAAAGTAGTACCCAGCACAAATTGTGTAAGTGACCTGTCCTGTGCTACAGTGCTTGATCGGGAGAGTTTTGTAAAAAAACACCCTACTTTACAGAAACACACGTTCCCATCATCATACCAAACACACCCTGCCTCGCAGTAAGCACGTGCTTTCCGTGACGACCTTGTTAACAATTGGGACATGGGAGTTTCTGAGAGTGAGTGAGACAAGTCAGTTTGGACAGTGAAGAGGTGTAGTGGGATACTCTCACAACAAGAGTACACCTTATATTATATTGTACCATATCTGAATGTAAGCATTGTTTGCAGTTCATTGTGCAACCTGCACATGTGAAATATAATGGAACAGTAGTTTGTGTTATTTATACAAAGTTTGGGGTATATAAATGGGCTGAGTTTTCATTGTTTTATTCAATATTTTGGACATTCCTTGATATCAGTGCTAGTGAAGAGATATTGGTCTCTCTGGCAAGTAGCACATTGTTGTTGTTGCAAAGACTGCATGTAAACTTTGTGTGACTGTAACAGTGTGTGTAACTATTTTTGAACAGGCGTACGGCCGAGGTGAATATGAGTAAGACTGTAATGTGTAAATGTGTATGACAGTAACAACGTGTGAATATGTGTATGACTGTAACATGCGAATATGTGTATGGCTGTAACATACGAATATGTGTATGGATGTAACATGTGAATATGTGTATGACAGTGACAACATGTGTATATGTGTATGACAGTGACGTGAATATGTGTATGACAGTGACGTGAATATGTGTATGACAGTGACATGTCAATATGTGTATGACAGTGACGTGGATATGTGTATTACAGTTGGTTGGTTTGTTGTTTAACGCCGCACTCAGCAATATTCCAGCTATATGACGGCGGTCTGTAAATAATCGAGTCTGGACCAGACAATCCAGTGATTGACATCATGAGCATCGATCCACGCAATTGGGATAGATGACATGCATCAATCAAATCAGCGAGCCTGACCACCCGATCCCGTTAGTCGCCTTTTACGACAAGCCTAGTCACCTTTTACGGCAAGCATGGGTTGCTGAAGACCTATTCTACCCCGGATCTTCACGGGTTAACTAGTAGTGACTTTGGCACTTTGTCTGTGTGACTTTGTCTTGAGTCTATGTCTGTGACTGTGACTGTGTCTGTGACTGTGTCTGTGACTTTGTCGTGTGTCTTATGTCTGTGACTTTGTGACTTTGTCTGTGTCTGTCTTGTGTCTATGTCTGTGACTTTGACTGTGACTGTGTGTAACTATCTTTGACAGTGTGTCTGTGTCTGTGTCTGTGACTGTGTGTAACTATCTTTGACAGTGTGCCTACCAGTTCTACATCAATCATTTCGCATTCCCACTCCTGCAGGTCTGCGTCGATGGCGGAGTCGCGGGAGTGGTTGTGTCCGATGGAGTTGAGCTGCCCCTTCCCAGCTTCCCGCTCCACCACGGCCTCGTACTTCTCCCTGTGTAATGACAGAGTATTAGTATTCAGGTGGCAAATTAGGGGCAATTACTGCATCAGTCACTGCCATTCTTAATTGATGTCTTGCTGTGTTTTACACACAGTTTGCTTAATCGTAGTAAATCGTAACAGTGCGTCCAGACTGTTAACATGGTTAATGTAGTTTATCAATGCCTCAGCAGACATCACATATTTTTGTGAACCCTGTTAAATTCTGCTTCCTTCCTGATACGTAGTTTCCTGGTGACAACAGCTTTTACCTGAACTTAACGACAGGTAGACAGGACTTATGTGGAATTTCTTCACTAATCTTTGATGTATCTTTTCTTCTCACCGACCAAACACTGCCTATAATTAGCTACTGACGGATTATTTTTGTCATCAGCACTGAATGTCTGCTCTTGTTACCATAGTAATGATACTATCTTTTAAAACAAATTCAAAACATCAAAGAAACCATGTCAGCAATGGTTGACATGGGTTTTACTGTATCATTGTTGAAAAGAATCAAAAACATTTCAATGGAAAAAAATGTAATGGGGATGTCAAAAACATCTACACAGCAAAATGCATCTGGTGTACTTCAGTGATGTTTCATGGCTTAATTAGGGTGATGCTGCATATGAAACAGTTTCTAGGAGATGCTTTAGAAACAAGTTGACAGGGAGACAAGATCTGTATCCATGGTAACAGTGACGTGCAACACAACATCACATTTATACAGTGTTTGAAATGAATACTAGCCTACTAATCTGAGGCAAGTAAATGTTTCAAGGACTTGAGAAAAAAGAATGCTTAGTCATGCAGACTCAGCACAAATTCATGGTTTACCAGTAAGTAAAGTAAGGGCTAAGTATTTGACTGAGACAAGAAGTTGGGTGGGTGATTACGCTGCATGACAGCATGGTTATCCTCACTGCTGCAGTGTTGCCCAGCAGACACTAACACCCTTTTCAAGCAGGTAATAAAAAATTAACATGTGTGATAACGCATGCACAGGCCAACGACAACAGTATTAATAAGAAGTTGACACAAATACAGCTGCTTGTTATTAAAGAAACTAGCTTCACTACTAGGCTACATAGCTAATGAAATCTCATTACTCTACCGCTAATATCAGAGTTGCAAATAATAGCCCATCCCACTTCCGTGACAGGTTAATTACACGAAGGACAGGTGAAAAACAAAGGACGGTCGTATGTTGTCTGTCAGTTAGTAACATGTCTCCATGATGTCTATTGTGTACAAAAACTAAACAACCCTAATTCAAGTTCGAAGTAATAAACAACAGAACAAGATATGCATACAGTTAGCTTTTGACAAGGACTGGTAAGATTTTCAAGTAGCCAGTCATATGGTCAGGGGGAAGTTAATTTGAACATGTAATGTACATATTTTGTCAATTTCTCATGCTGCATTCTCTAAACTGTCTGAGAGCACCAGTGTACAGGGATGACACATGCCTACCTCAACTTGCCACCAGGGGAAAACAAATACGTCTTTGTAAAGTTCTAAATTCATGTGACTAAATGCACCCTGGGCAGTGAAGCTCTCGTTGCAAACCTTTGTGTACAAACCACACACGAATCCTACACACGGGCAGGTTTACTACGCTGATGTTATGTAAGAGATGTGACCACAGCGATTTGCCAGCTACATTGAGACTGCCAAGCTCACTGAACCATGACCTTTGTTCAATCACATACATTTCACACACACTAACCTGGTGCAGCCAGGCTTCATGGGAACAGCTGGGGCCAAATGTACTCAAGCCTTAGCTCTTATTCATAGCGTATATTTCAAAAGGATTAAACTCTCACAGGCTGCGGTTGACTCATGGTGCAAAGTATCCAATGTTATGTCTGCATGTCACATATAGGAGTTTGCCTCCCCATAACACTCCTCCATGGTCCAACACTGGACTGTCCACTCTCTACCTTCCATCCCACCCCTCCATGGTCCAACACTGGACTGTCCACTCTCTACCTTCCATCCCACCCCATCCAACTCCTCCATGGTCCAACACTGGACTGTCCACACTCTACCTTCCATCCCACCCCATCTCACTCCTCCATGGTCCAACACTGGACTGTCCACACTCTACTGTCCACACTCTACTGTCCATCCCACCCCATCTCACTCCTCCATGGTCCAACACTGGACTGTCCACTCTCTACCTTCCATCCCACCCCATCCCACTCCTCCATGGTCCAACACTGGACTGTCCACTCTCTACCTTCCATCCCACCCCATCTCACTCCTCCATGGTCCAACACTGGACTGTCCACTCTCTACCTTCCATCCCACCCCATCTCACTCCTCCATGGTCCAACACTGGACTGTCCACTCTCTACCTTCCATCCCACCCCATCTCACTCCTCCATGGTCCAACACTGGACTGTCCACTCTCTACCTTCCATCCCACCCCATCCCACTCCTCCATGGTCCAACACTGGACTGTCCACTCTCTACCTTCCATCCCACCCCATCTCACTCCTCCATGGTCCAACACTGGACTGTCCACTCTCTACTGTCCATCCCACCCCATCTCACTCCTCCATGGTCCAACACTGGACTGTCCACTCTCTACCTTCCATCCCACCCCATCCAACTCCTCCATGGTCCAACACTGGACTGTCCACATTGGACTGTCCACTCTCTACCTTCCATCCCACCCCATCCCACTCCTCCATGGTCCAACACTGGACTGTCCACTCTCTACCTTCCATCCCACCCCATCCCACTCCTCCATGGTCCAACACTGGACTGTCCACTCTCTACTGTCCATCCCACCCCATCTCACTCCTCCATGGTCCAACACTGGACTGTCCACTCTCTACCTTCCATCCACCCCATCCAACTCCTCCATGGTCCAACACTGGACTGTCCACTCTCTACTGTCCATCCCACCCCATCCCACTCCTCCATGGTCCAACACTGGACTGTCCACTCTCTACTGTCCATCCCACCCCATCCAACTCCTCCATGGTCCAACACTGGACTGTCCACTCTCTACCTTCCATCCCACCCCATCTCACTCCTCCATGGTCCAACACTGGACTGTCCACTCTCTACTGTCCATTCCACCCCATCCAACTCCTCCATGGTCCAACACTGGACTGTCCACTCTCTACTGTCCATCCCACCCCATCTCACTCCTCCATTGTCCAACACTGGACTGTCCACTCTCTACTGTCCATCCCACCCCATCCAACTCCTCCATGGTCCAACACTGGACTGTCCACTCTCTACTGTCCATCCCACCCCATCTCACTCCTCCATGGTCCAACACTGGACTGTCCACTCTCTACTGTCCATCCCACCCCATCCAACTCCTCCATGGTCCAACACTGGACTGTCCACTCTCTACTGTCCATCCCACCCCATCTCACTCCTCCATTGTCCAACACTGGACTGTCCACTCTCTACCTTCCATCCCACCCCATCCCACTCCTCCATGGTCCAACACTGAACTGTCCACTCTCTACCTTCCATCCCACCCCATCCCACTCCTCCATGGTCCAACACTGGACTGTCCACTCTCTACCTTCCATCCCACCCCATCCCACTCCTCCATGGTCCAACACTGGACTGTCCACTCTCTACCTTCCATCCCACCCCATCCCACTCCTCCATGGTCCAACACTGGACTGTCCATCCCACCCCATCTCACTCCTCCATGGTCCAACACTGGACTGTCCACACTCTACCTTCCATCCCACCCCATCTCACTCCTCCATGGTCCAACACTGGACTGTCCATCCCACCCCATCTCACTTCTCCATGGTCCAACACTGGACTGTCCACACTCTACCTTCCATCCCACCCCATCTCACTCCTCCATGGTCCAACACTGGACTGTCCACACTCTACCTTCCATCCCACCCCATCTCACTCCTCCATGGTCCAACACTGAACTGTCCACATTGGACTGTCCACACTCTACTGTCCACACTCTATTGTCCATCCCGACCCATCCCACTCCTCCATGGTCCAATTAGGTTGTGTCCCAGATCACACATCACTCTCACCACACACAGTTCGGCCAAGTCCCAGAACAATCTCATTGTTTAAACAGGTTGTAGTAAAGTACAGACTTTAAAAACCTCGCACTCAGTAAATGGTTTGCAACAAGCTAGCTTACATTATCTGTTCTTCCAGTAATGAGGTGTTATCACTGACACAACAGCTGGACTGGAGGAAGTACCAGCACACACAACCAAGCTATGAGTGCAATATAATAAAAGAGCATATATAACAACACTACACATGTTTTACAACTGATACGACATAAACAGTGAGATTCCTGATAATGGTATGAACAGTCTGGTTCACATTCACTGTCCTCACTTATCATGCTTATCTAAAGGGCTACACTCTATCTTGAAACACACCAGGAAAACTTTAAAGGTAAACACAAATTTATCCCAGTGTTCAGTGGATAGTTGTTGCATTAGATTCATTCATACACAAGAGCCATCATGAGATGACATAATCCCCCTTTCTGGTGCAGAAATGGAGTATGGCTACTTATACCCCACTAGTACTCCATTTATACCTCAGCCAATGGATACATTCAGTTCAGTGAAGAAAAGATATAACGCTGTTTAGTATTTTTCAACATCCCAAATTATCAAAAGGCACCAGTTCACCACTAGACTGATCTGTATAGCAAGTTTCATCTAGAAATATTCAACGGTTTTTGAGTTCTGCTCCCGAAACAAGGACACTTCCTTCGTTTTCAGTACAAGTCGAAAATGTCGTCATGAAAACACAAAATATATTCAAAATACAAATCCCAAATTATCAAAAGGCACCAGTTCATCACTAGACTGATCTGTATACTAAGTTTCATCCATAAATATTCAACAGTTTTGGCGTTCTGCTCTGGAAATTGATGACGGACAGATGGACATGCTGATGGCTATATCCATGGGCATGGGTATGGTGCTGACAAACCTAGAAACCAACCTAGGGCCAACCAGGATTCGAACCCACAATCACAGGTTTCTGGCGTGCCCACGACACGCAATTCTGCCCTGCGAATTACAGTGCCTTAGACGACTTGTCCATCAGGTGCCTGCGTTCTCGACAATAGAGCATGATTGCATCATATCGCTTCAACTGACCAATCAACATTGAGAATCACTAAAAGGCACATGTGCAAAATATCCGAAAGTTTTTTGGCATAATGGGTAATATTAAAACAAATATGTGTTTGATGCTTAGGTATCTGAAATCCATTATTTGAACAGCTTAATTGGTATATAATTATGCATATGTCAAGACAATTCTTGTGGCAAACAAAACAGTCATGAGCATAATTTGCAGGTATTTAGTGACATATCTCCTGAAATATTTTGTTCTACACTTTTACATCCTATTAATACCAACAACATTGAATATTGTCAGAGAAGAAAAGACAATATGTGGTCTTACCACAACATCAAGTGTATCATGACAATTCGAGAACTGATAATTCTTAACTAAAATGCATATCCATCATCTGTAACTTACTTGACTTCCTTGAGTTCCTTAAATGCTTCATTTTTCTGTTTTTTCAACTCATCAGAGTCTCGGAGGGCCTGAGCCAGATCCGACACTGCGCGGTCCCGCTCACGACGCAGGTTGTCACACAGCGTGCGGATACTCTCTCGCTCCTGCACAATCTTGTCACGTTCACCAAACGCCCAATCACGTCGTTTCTTAGCTATCTCAGCCTCCTGGGCAGCATCTGAAGTAACAAAGGCAAAGATGTTTGTTTGTTTGTTGTGTAATGACGCACTCAGCAATATTCCAGCTATGATATGATGGTGGTCTGTAAATAAATGAGTCTGGACCAGACAATCCAGTGAGTGCCATCATGAGCATAGATCCAAGCAATTGGGATCAATGACATGCATCAACCAAGTCAGCGAGCCTGACCACCCGATCCTGTTAGTCGCCTTTTACGACAATGCTTTAGTGAAGAGAATCAGAGCTTTCGTGTGTCATCAGATCTGGTACTTTTAACATGTTTAACACAATGCCATCTTATTATCACAAATCTATGTTGGGAGGTACGACAGTTGTTTCACTAAGATTGCTGTGTGTACTGAGCCCTGGAGCATTGCCAGACAATACTGCACGGTTGCCTTGGAAATAACGTGAAGCCTACTTTCCTGCAGCCAGGAACTTGTAGAATATGTCTTTTGATATCAAATATATATATCATGGGTCGATATTATGCTTTCCGAGGAGTCTTAAACTTTTATCAACGAGTGTTGATATGTTTATTATTAAAAGACAAAAGGGTAAGATTCTATTTATCATCCAAAATCATTTTTTAATTTGTAAACAGTAATTACCAGTGTCTTGAGCTACTGCTTCAATGGCAGAGAGAATAGGAATATCATTTGATTTTGATGTCATGGTAACCAATGATGTCACAATGGGCAAAGCATTGTGATGCAATTTCATTGTAGCTGTATCTCATAGGAGATATTGCTTTGATCTAACCCAAGTGATATCACATGTGGTAGCCAGCTTGGGATAATAAAATGTGTGAATATGGTTTTTGGTACATTCAGAATAGCTTTGAAGAAGGGTTTTAGGTTCAGAGCTAACAGAGAGACTGATAGACAACAAAGACCCATGATGTAACAGGTCAAGGCCAGCTGAAAACTTAGCATTAGCAAGTTACTGAATGTTGTTTTATGCCCTACTCAGCAACCATTGGAACACCGCTAGAGCATGCGAGGAGGGGTGTTTGTGTGGGTGGGTGGGGGGTGGGGGTTAAGAGATATGGGTGTGGGGTATATGTGGGGGGTGGGATGGGGTGACATTAGCCAGTAAGACTGGGTGGAGAGAGCAATGTGAGCAGATAGGAATCTCATGATTCGGGGAATTGATGATCAAATTCATCAACTGAAAGGAAGGACAGTGCTGTTGGTCAGGCCTGGGAAAACGAAACCAGTGGTTGCCAGGCAACCATATCATGACCATGCAACCTGGTGAAAACATGTATCATCCATGTTTAGGGCCAACTGCCACTGAGTGCAACTGTTATCTGCACGTCTGTGTATGTACACAAGGGTCTCCGATAACTTCACATTTCAACATATTTCACGTCAGAAATGTATGTCATGATATGACATGCACTAAGTACCTAGAGTGAGTTAAGTTAAAATTTAACATTGCATCAATTGTCATTATTTCAATCATATATATTGTTAAGTACCTAGAGCAGGTATGGTGACACAGTTGCTGCCTGTCCTTACTATAGCACTGTACAGAAGAGATCCAGCTGGCAGACCCTTCCCAATCAGAGTCCGAAATAACCGCCGGCCCGCCTGCCCGTGGCAGCTAACTTTTCTGCTGGGCTGAATGAAATTTTCCTCAACCTGCCTGACTTTTGGGAGGTAATTTTAAGACTACCATATTTTCTTACATTTCAGTTTTATTGTAACTCCTTGTTGATTCTAAATAATTGTTTGCATTATTTCAACAGAATCAAGACTTGATTTGTCTCTTAGTTTTTTCAATTTTTCAATATTTATAATGTCTGAGTGGGGGCAGGTAATTTTGAAGATGGGCAGGCAACACTTGGGGTCACCATGGTCACCTCCCCGACTGTCTTGTTGGGGTGCTAAATTACTTCAAACACAGGTCCCAATCACATTAAACACCTGTACACCAGCGGAGTAGGAGGGGGGATCACACCATTATGTAAACATGTCAAGCTCCCTTTCACACGCTACCTGAAGAAGTACAATCCTGTCGGTGCCTCACAAACACTCAATGAGAGAATTATTACACTCTAAACATATCCGGGGGTAAGATCACAAACACGCCTGTTTCATGTTGCCTTGTGGGTACGTTTATGGTATCTCCAGTACCCAGTGTGAGAGGGATGAGTGTATCCTTGTTTCATGATGGAAGGGACAATTCTGTCAAACAAGCCTCAAGTTTAAACAAAGTCAGTCACTCATTCAATGCCTACTGGAAACACTGAAATTATATCTGGTGTTTGTTTGTTGTTTAACGCCGCACTCCGCAATATTCCAGCTATATGACAGCAGTCTGTAAATAATCAAGTCTGGACCAGACAATCCAGTGATTGACATCATGAGCATCAATCCACGCAATTGGGATAAGATGACATGCATCAACCAAGTCAGCGAGCCTGACCACACGATCCCTTTAGTCGCCTTGTACGACAAGCATGATCACTTTTTACGGCAAGCATGGGTTGCTGAAGCCCTATTCTCCACGGGTATATTGCCCATGTGGTTCCTGGGGACCAGCACCAGCAAGCAGACATGCCCTGGTGACTTGCCAAGTGACCCAGTGACAGGTCGCCCCTGGGCGTTGTGCCTGACTGTGTACAAGGTCACTGAACTGTGAACAGTGCAGGTGTACCAGACAGGCAGTGTTGTACATCAGGGGGCCTCAGGGTCATTAGTCCTGCACCATGACTGTGGAACATATTTATTTTAAGAAAAAACAAACAATTGAAAAATGTATACAAAAGCAAGTCTAGCCAGCTCTAGCCAGCTCTAGCCAGCTCCAACTAGCTCTATTCCACAGTCAATGAAATCAGAATAGGGAAAATTATTTCTTTTGTATTTAGAGTCAAGAAGGGTATTGTGTAATATAAGATTTCATAGTCTAAATGTTAGTAAAGAGGATCTTTAAAACATGCTTTCTAACTTCTAATGTAAATGTTCAGACAAAAATCTCACAAATTTCATCCCTAATTTCTGAAACATTGCAAGGCTGAGAAACAACCGTCCTTCATCATAACAAAATACTAAAATGACAGATTGGCAATGTCCATAATCAACAGAGGTGGAGCAACTTATCAATTCATGGGTGAAACTTCAATTTTGACATCCAAAACAATTATCCATTGCAAAAACAACTAATGTATGATAGAGTAAGTCCATAACTAAAGTTTGCTGCCACCCAGGTGTACACCATTACATCATGCTCAGTCGGTCATCTGAGGCAGCCTGTCAGTTTCAAACAATCATCGTGTACAGTTGCCATCAATAAAACAACAAGTATCTCTTTAGTTTCGTGAGGAAAAGATCTATGATTATAATCAGTTTCTTAATATACTTCAGTTATGATTATCAATAAAGATTTTCACATGTTTCACTTTCAGGGAGACAACCAGCAGAAAACTTCACGTTGTTAGGCATGTTTCGAGTCCAATGACAACTACAGAATATGACCGTAGATAAGTCAAACTTTGAGGACCAGAAAAAAGAGTCTGTAGAAAAGGGTAGGCCCATGTAAAGGTTACAGTTTCATCCAACTATTTTTATGTTGGTTAAAAAACTACATCATATTGCTTCAGGTGAACAACAATGCTACAACAAACTTTGTCCACGAAAATGAGAAATTTCGATTCTAAACATCAATAGATATGATAATTTACTCTTTCTATTTTGTTTCTTGTTATGGTAGGCATTGTTTTATATGCAAGGATTAAGATTTTCAAGTGTATTGTCTCGTAAACTAAGCCGGAAACAGCAATCAGTTGCACACACGGTTTCTCCCAATCTACCGGTGATTAAGTTAAAACATACCCAATAATATAAAGTAAAAGAATTTTGATGCAATGATTAAAAAAAACAGAATTGTAAACTAATATTTTACTAAAAATAATATATTCTGATATCATGTTATTTAATAATTGCAGGTCTCACTATATATCTATGATAATAACAAAACCCAGGGTTATGAGGTAGCACTTTGGATGTTTATTGTCAGATACCTTTACGCTGGTAACCGTTCAGGTTTTGCACGATCCTGCTATTTCATACATATACTCACAAATTTGTATCAATCCATGATCTACATTACAAACAAATCGATTAGGGCTGGACAAAAGGATAGATAATCAGAATGTTTGTTGATGGGAAGAAATATTAACGATTATTGAAATGCAGTTGTTGTCATCGATAACAACTTACATAAACTATTGTGATGAAATAAAGCTTAGATTTACCAAAACAGACTTGTTATTGTCAATCATGTCAATTGTCAAAGACAAAAAGCATCTGAATTGTTATATCTCAAACGTCCACAAATTAATCTATGCATAGATATACCACTGCTCATCAGTGGTGGAAAATATGTTGATTTCTTTCCGGATTTTCTTGGATATTTGCTTAAAGTTATTTCTCCATATTGATAATTGATCAATATTTAGTTAGCGATTATCAATCTCTATGATCTATATCGATAGCCAGCCCTAGTATTGATACATTCACATCATGACATCCCTATCAGTAGTGCATCATGGGTATTCTGGTTGCAAACTCCAATATTTCTGTACCATGCAGTATACAAGATACATGATTGGTTCCAGGTAAGTAGTGTGTAACTGTAAGCAAGCATTGCATGGTAAGGGTGTTAAAATGTTATTACGCTTCAGGGTTGCAAGTAAAATGATAGCCCAGTCTGTGGTCTGGTATCTGGTTTAGGCAGTAGTACACCTAGGGATGTGTATCATGATATCGATAAATTGATATTGTCTATACTGTATCGATACAAATCTATGAACATCAATACTAAATTAATAATTCAGTGCCCCAGAAATGATTACATTTATTAAGATTACCATGGTAAAGGTGGAAAATGAGAAGACAGAAATCTTAATTTTAACATTTGAAGGATCAGCGTAGTTCATAGTTAGCATTACATGGATCAACTGCAGGTCTACATAATTAATAATCATCAATACATATACAAAATAATTAATTTTAAAATTAATTGATATATCATGATAAATAGAGTAGATACAGAGCTCCAGATAAGCTGCGTATCTGCGTGAAATACGCATCAGAAATGCAGAAATACACAGTAAAATATAATCCAAGCGTATCAAATACGCAACGAACATAACAGATACGCTACAAAAATAAAACTTGTACGTATCATCAAAATATTGTGAAGTAACCCTGCATATTCGATTAGCAAATCAGCAACTTATTTTTAAATTATAAACGGGCATTCCGTCAACCTTGCCAAACTCCACGATGACAGTTACATCATGATCATTTGCCATCACACTTTCTTGTGGAAGTATCGTGGTATTTTTGAGTCCTATAAAGCTCTCGAACCCACACGACACCAGTTTGCAGGGACTAGAGGAATAGTGTTTTTAAATATTTAACTTAAATACCCACATGTGTAAAAACTAGTGGGTAACAGAAATTTGAATACGCAGATAGAATTACTGATACCCAATGATTTTAAAATGCATGGGTAAAATACCCACAACACCAAAAGCTTATCTGGAGCTCTGAGATATATATTGATACTAATATTTCCTATCAATGACGCCTCCAACTGACACTGACAGGGACCATCTAGAGCTGTGGCCTTGTATGTGACACTCGTTTGATGGGATCTTGAGGCACGGGCTCGTCAAATCCAAAATCATCGTTAGAAGCTAACAGTTTTAGTCTACTAGTCCTCATAATGATAACACCTAGTAAAACCCACAAAAAAAGGACAATGTCTACTAGTCCTTTTGATACATTAACTATTAGGCAGTTTGGCAAGGACTATAGGAATAGTGTCAATTTCTAACACTGAACATTTGCAGGACAAGAAGTTCAACTGGGCCAACAGTCACAGACCCCAGCATATTTGACAGGATTGGGTGAGGGCCATCCTCAGTGGTGCAGGGTACTGTATCTCCATTTAATTCAGATAAAATCCCTGGACCCAGTCGCACGACTGAGAGGACTACAGTCTTGTGTGTACATGCAGTAGAAACTGTTGTAAATTTATTTGTAGTAATTTTCAGTGGCAGCAAACAATTGAAGTTCTAGTAAAATGTCAAGTGTAGGCGGCGGCAGCGAATGTTACGAGTTATCGCTCTTGTGTAAACACTAAGAGGAAGGCTGGGTCATTGAAGAAGTTTCAGGATAAAACAGTTTCAAGAAGACTGGCTGTACATATATGAGCAACAAGAGGAAGATTTGTGGCCTTTAAACTTGCATCTTATCTCCTTACCAAGTGTAGAATGGTACCCATTTGACAAAACCAAATTCCTGCCAACTTCCAACACTATTCTGGGCTCAACAACAAAGACAGCCCGGGTCCTAGACGATCAACAGTGGAACAACGTGTGAGAGCACTTACATTGATTCTAGGGGACTACTATTTATTGCTGCTGCCACTAATTGGACCCCTTGTATTGCCATGGTGATTGTAAACCTAAAACTGTGTGTTAAGATATAATATACTGAGTACTCCTTGATTTCATGTGGTCATTTACTGATTTCACAACTTTGTTCTATGAGAACCGATTTCTGGGTCAACCTCAATTTAAATTTGGAAATCACCTCGTCATGCTCGTAGCACTGGAAACTAAAAATATACTCACCACTCAAGTCTTGCTTCAATTTTTCAATCTGCTTCTTCAGAGATTCTGTCTCCTTGGCAACATGATCCATCTCTTCTGCTTTCTTCTTCTGAGTGATTTCATAATTCTCCTTAATGATGTGGTCCATGCGCTCAAGAGCCTGATGCCGTTCCTGGCGCGCAATGTCGCGTTCTTGTGTCAACAGACTAAATTCCTTCTGAATCACATCACGCTCTTGCTCCAGTTCGTGTTTCATACCTGATATATCATTGCACTCACGTCTGCACTTGTCCCGATCCTGCAGAGCAGACGCAACCTCACGTTTCAGCGTTTCCGCCTGGTCCTCCGCACTCTTCTTGTCCTTCTCCAGCACAGTTACCTTCTTTGTCACCTCCACGAGCTTGTCGTGGAGCTGTTCTATCTCCTTATGCACAGTGTCCCGCTCGGACATTATCAGACGATATTCGCTGTAACAGGCATCCCGTTCATTCTGCAGGCTGTCCTTCTCTTTCCGCAGATTTATTTGTTTGGCGAGTGCCTGGTTATAATCTAACACATACTTATCTCGTTGTTGAGTCATAAATGCTAAAGATTCGTTCAACTGTTTCCGTTCATTCAGCACCTGGTTCCAATTCCGAATGGCAGACGTACACTGCTGTTTGAAGCCATTCCTGTCTGTAATAGCCATGTCTCGCTCGATGCGCATCTCCTCATACTTTTTAAGAACACTCTCATTTTCCTCGGACAGTTTTTCCAGTCGGCTGTTGTTTGAACCGTGGGATGATGCGACATCATCATACTGTTCACGAAGACGATCATAGTTGTTCTTCAGAGTCTCATACTTATCTAACAGCGTGTCATACATTTCATTTAGCACCTCACTGGAACCGCTTTCGCTCAAAACTTTACGATACTGGATGCGTAGCTCAGCGATTTCTTGTTTGTCTTCTTCACGTAATTTGTGTAAGTTGCCGACCTCCTGTTCGAGCTTCTTGCTTCTGCTCAACACATCCAAGTTCTCTGATTTCAGAGAATGTATTTCATCTGTCAGTTGGGTCTGCCTCGTGAGAGACGTCTTGTAAAGGTTACGGTAATGGTCAGCTTCCTTCGTAGCTTGGTCATACCGCGTGACCGTCTGAGCGTGTTGGCCTTTCATGGACTGCAGTTCCTTGATTGCATGTTCACACTGTTCCTTGAGCCAGTCATAGTCCCGCGACTTCTCCGACACCTTGATCTCCACGGGAGACTGCAGACTGTGGTGGAGGGGACTCTGGGAGAGGGTAGGGTAGCTGCTGCTGCTGGTGGTGCTGTCGATCTCATACTGACTGGAGGGAATGATCTTCAGGCGGGCATCTCGGATCTCCTGGGACCGACTTGGATCTGAATGGAAGCAGAGAGTATGGTGAGTGAGTGAGTGTCACTTTTAGCTATGTCAGGGGATACCAAGAATGGGTTAACATTTGTAAGTCAGCGTTAAAAATTAACTGAATAGAAGCAGATGTTATTGTCTGTGACTGAGTGGGTGTCAATTTTACCAATGTTAACAACAGGTGGGGCTAACAAGAATTGGTTTAACATATTGTACCACAGTGCTAAAAAATAAGGAAAGTCCTCAGATCCTTCATGCTTTCCAATGTGGTCCCTTATCTGGGCGTCTCCTCATTCCCCAAGTATAGGGTTATGATATAAAGGACCAACACTTTCCAAAGATGAATCAAAAGCTGCATGACATGTGAACACCTTAACCACAGACAACCTCTCCCCAAAACATCCATGTAACTTTCAGTGTTCAAAATCTACTGGCCTCCTTTGGCCTTGGATCTTTCCAAAGCAAGGGCGCTAAACTGACTTTAAAAGTCCAGTTTCCATCCTTACCGAACTAGGATGCCTTTGGATACAGCATTCTGAACTAAGGTTCCCATTACAGGTACTTCATTTTCAGTACTAGTATAATGACCAGGACCCCTTAGCTTCAACATGTGTGAAATGCTTTAGCAAATGGATGAAAGGAGCTTGAACAAGTTGTTCGCTCAAAGTGATGAAGCAGAGGACAAACATTACCCAAGATATCGGTGACCAACCTACCCAAACCCTAGAGAATAAAATTGAAAAAGGAGTCCAGCTCAAGTCTAGAATGCTTTGGCAAGTCTAGATTGCCTCTAGCTCCTGATATTAAGGATTGTTCTGGGCTCCATTTGGATTATATTTTTTTCATTTTTTAGACATATATTTTTAAATAAGATAACTATATTTCTGGGACTAAATGTCAGTCTAAACATAATATGCTTAACCGGATGCCATCAAACTGAAAAGACGTCAGAAGTACCCATCTGGCTCCATGTGGTGTCATCACATAAACAGAACGGGGCTGACAAACTGGCAACACAACTGGCTGTAAAACATTGTCACCATGTATATGGAAGACCTGATATCATGATGACTAAAGTCCCTGAGCTTCCGTCTATTCTGTCTGTAGCCACATGTTACCACATGCTTCAGATCATTTTTGGCAGACAGATATTTTGTCAAATGTATCATTTTTCATGTCCAACAGACATCTCGAGGATATAACAGTCGTCTTGGGGGTCTAAAAGGTGTGTTAAGTGTGTATTTTACAACTGTTAAAATGACTGAGAGAGAACAACAACAAGTACCACATTTTAATGTATTTGAGGCACGCAGCTGGGAATAGAACCATCAACCTTCTCCAGGCGAACTCACCTATCTGGATGTGCTGAGGATGGCGCTGTACGTCATCTTCTGAGTCAGATGTCATCGATGTGGATCTGGAATCTGCAACAGAAACAGCATTTGTGATTGAGAGACACCAAGCATGGGCTTCACACATTGTACCCATTTGGGGAATCAAACCCTGGCTATCAGTATGACAAGCATTCACCTTACCCATGTTAACTACGAGGCTACTCAATGACCATAAGAACATGATAAGATTCTCCTATTTAGCATCATGACTATGTCTTCACCTTCTCACACGTACATTCTCCTGACAGTCTTATCTAACCACATGCATTCAATAATTCATTTACCTATTTTGGCATAAAAGAAGTCCTGGCACTGATGTAAGTCAGATTTAGTCTTTGCCTGAAATCATTTGTCCAAAATTGATGCATGTCTCAGATGTTAACCACTTTAGTGAAATCCACATGCATGGGAATGGTGCTGACAAACCTAGAAACGTAATCGGGGCAAATGACGATTGTAAACCACGATCATAGGTTCCTGGCATGACTAAGATATGAAACATGAAGGAAATACATCCTCGGTAACTCAATAGGTTTGTGTGACATAACTCGGCAAATAACTGACACTGATTCCCAACAATACTGAGTGAGTAGGTGAAGACGGGGGCACCAGAAAAGGGCTACCCTTATGGTGAATCGAACCCAGTCCGCTGCGTGACAAGCTTCAGGCTACCCACTGCCTAACATTAACATTAATATGAATGATGATCATCATGCCTAGTACACAGTAGACACAACTTGTACAACAGTAATTCTGATCTTAAATTCCCAATATGATCATGTATATCTTGTAATATCATCGATGTTGATGATATATATGTACAGTGTGTACTAAGTAATTTGTCACTTTTTATATTCATTGCACTATAAATTTTCATAAATAGTGCAAAAGTAAAATATAACATATCCTTTGATAGTTGCTAATATTCTGTAGCAGGGATGCAACATAACTTGAAACATTTACTGGCCAGAATAGATATTACATATATGGACACCCCCGAAAAATGTTTGAGATTCTGCTAGCCCTCAGGCCTCCATCAGACAAACCAACTCAATCACCCAGTGGGCTCGTGCCATGTATCATCCCACATATTGCCTAAATCAAGTAATAACAAAGAGTGTCAATCCTAATAGTTCTGTTATCAAGTCTGTCGTTTGTGACTCTAAATATTATAGACCGATAGTCTATGGCACATGATTCTAAATGTCACACACTGACATATATTATGTAGATTATCAATCAACAATCAACAGGGGGCAATTACTACAAACAACCAGAAGGCAGAGCTTGGATTATATACAACACAATTCATAATCATGATAATTTCCTTTCCAAAATCTCAATGATTGTGCACATACTGTCCAAAACCAGCAATAGCTTATGTTCATATATCCAACAGATACATAACAAACAAAAGCACCCATAGATTATTCGAAGAAAGTGTATGGATAATAACAAAACTGCACCAAACATGAAAGGATGTCCATCCGTGTTCTTTTATCAAATAATTACATCATAAAATTTTATTCACTGATCAATAACTGTAGCCTACATGGACTATTAGCATGATACATATCATAAACGCCAATCAATTGCATTAGTAATCAGAAAGATAGACAACTGATTGTTCTTTTCCTGTTTGAGTTTCAAGTAAAGTTCCGTGCGTTTCGGTATCATATTTATAAAATCTGCAATGCTAATTTTTCAACTTAACCTTAAATATATTATTTTTTATGTAATGTAAACAACACATCATCTTTGTTTGAAAATGTGTCAAAGGTGTGAAATTAGTTATTACAAAACTGGCTCCTTGGACAGAAACTACAAAACAATGTCACATGTTTTACAGTGGACTATTGTTGATATCAAGCCCTGCCTCCAACCGTCCCTGCACTTGACCTGTATCTCATCTCAGTTCACACCTAAACCCTCAATGAGGCCAGTTTAAGGTTGTGTAGGGTGGGCGTGTCCACTTTAAATCACTATATATGGCTTCATATTAAAATGTGTGGACTTATTTAACTCTCTTAAACGTTAACATGTCATTTGAAATAGAAAGTATAACAATAATATCCATTTTTTTCTCTTGATAACCCTACTTTCCGTCTGATATAGCCTATTGACACAGTGGGAAACCATCTATGCAAGCCATCATATATACTTTATGATAATCCCTATGGCTCCTAATCATTTTACAAAGAACACAAACCAGTCAGCTCATAACCAAAACATCCCCGAGTGGTGATCATGTACATGAAACTGTGCTACTCCCATTGTTTTGATGACTGTTTACAACTCTTACCTGCCAATCCTGAGCTACCTCCCATAAACAGAACGTCGAAGAAATGTGGGTAGGTATTCTTTAGAGCATGCAAAAAGTTTTCATAAGCTGGTCCACCCTTCACAGACAAAACATCCAAGAGTTTTTCAACTTTTGCCATCCGAGAGGACTGTCCTTCTATCTCGGCGACCTCGTCCGGACCTAGCACTTGCGCCCCTTTCTCCAGGTAAGGACACAACTTGTCAACTTCTACCGTCTGTATAATCTTCGACCGGTGCATCGCGACCAGTTCCTTGTGCTTATCATCCATCATTGAATCCCGTGATCAAGCCACAAAAGAAACAGATCTACAACGACCAAGACCTCGGTCCGACTTATGATCGGGGGAAGTTAATAATTGATCATTTTGTAAGAGTTCGGAGACACAAGTCGGCCATGTTTTACAAGAAATCGATTGAAAACAATACAGGCAAATTGAAAACAGGCGAGGTTCACAGCGATAGTTGCAAACCATTTGACATCTGGGGTGCAGAATAATCGTCCATGAAACTTTGGAATCAAATGCCAATTTACAAAGTCCTTTTCCATAGTTAGCCGTGAATACAGCTACATCGCTACGACTTGATAAATAAGCTATTTAGCAAGCGCCATATTGACGAGCTGCGCTGACATTCCAAAAATGGCAACAGAGTTGAGGTCAAATTAATTGAACGTTAAAATAGTAAATATAGTAGCAGTGAATAACATCTCACAACTTTTAAAGTTATTTTATAAATTGTTAGATATTTAAAACTTTAATTCACGCATTTTGACCTTGATTTTTACGACATGACGTATGGAAATCTTCTGCAAGGGAGTTAACTCTTAAAAATAGGTTAACAGGTGCGCGTTAGTTAATCCCGTCAGTCGGTAGAGCACCCGCGACATAATGAAAATGTGTTCAGTGTTCAGACACCCAAATTAATCATTTGAAACATATACATGAGTATCAATGCAGAGAGTATAACATATTATTTTTAACAAACTACACAAACTAATTGCACAAAAGTGAGTCCCACTGTGACAGGGACAATTATGTTTGTCATAACAGGAAAGATACACTCCTTGCTCACAGAAAGGCTAAAGCATTAAGTGATTAGATTAAGATGCATACATTGAATACAGCCGCAGATGAGCAAGACATTCATTCCTCCAATCATATGGGAAATTAGTCGTATTTAAAGACAATATACCCGTAGATATTTATTTCACGCCAACTATTATATACATTGGAATACCATTAATCATTTCAAGAAAGGTATGACGTGTCTTTTATCATATCAAGACAATTTTATAAAGCCAGAAATTAAGATTTCATCGAAGAAATGGGTTTTGCTTGATTTGGTTAAAGTTACACCAACTGCTATTGTGCTGTAGGATCGAGCCATAAATATGAGCACGTGAGTCACACGCGGATGACGTCACTCTCTTTACATGTGTAAGATTTATGATAATGGCCCTCCATCACGCAAACTTTTGTCAGAGTGGAACTGATTTGTTTCTTATTTGTATAAGGATACTGACTCACCTAAACAGCTCCTATACATACGTGACCTGCATCATACCAATTAGAAATCAAAGAAAACACTAAGTCTTGATTTAATCTGACTGTGTGATAAATGATAGTTATATATTTCACGCTGTTGTTTGAACACAGCATGTTACGATTCACGGTTGCCTAGCAATTGCTCTTGTGTACATACGATGAGTGAAAAAAGATGTCGAGGTTACCCATGAGTATTTACAGCACGCTCGGGTACCCATCTTACAGAGTAGATTCCGCACAACACAGGGTTGATATTACATAAGCTGCACCAGTGCTTACAGGATGTTGGTTATCGTGTACCTAAAGATTGTTCGCTTCCATGGGCTTAAGTATTGTTCGCTATCCTATGCTCAAAGATTGTTGGCTACCATCTACTCCAAGACATCGCGTTTGCCCCATTTCACGGTTACAAGATGAACTGGTTACGGGAAATTTGTCAATAGTCTCAAAATAGTTTCACGGGGTATAGCTCTATCGCCACGGTTGTAAGATTGAGTGGTTACAGGGTATAGCTCTACAGTCACGGTGGTAAGATCACGGTTGTAAGATATGATAGTTACGGGGTACAGCTCTATAGTCACGGTTGTAAGATATGATAGTTACGGGGTACAGCTCTATAGTCACGGTTGTAAGATATGATAGTTACGGGGTACAGCTCTATAGTCACGGTTGAAGGATATAATAATTACGGGGTACAGCTCTATAGTCACGGTTGTAAGATATAATAATTACGGGGTACAACTCTATAGTCACGGTTGTAAGATATAATAGTTACGGGGTACAGCTCTATAGTCACGGTTGTAAGATATAATAATTACGGAGTATAGCTCTATAGTCACGGTTGTAAGATATAATAGTTACGGGGTACAGCTTTATAGTCACGGTTGTAAGATATAATAATTACGGAGTATAGCTCTATAGTCACGGTTGTAAGATATAATAATTACTGGGTATAGCTCTATAGTCACGGTTGTAAGATATAATAATTACAGAGTATAGCTCTATAGTCACGGTTGTAAGATATAATAATTACGGGGTACAGCTCTATAGTCACGGCTGTAAGATATAATAGTTACTGGGTACAGCTCTATAGTCACGCTTGTAAGATATAATAATTACGGGGTACAACTCTATAGTCACGGTTGTAAGATATAATAGTTACGGGGTACAGCTCTATAGTCACGGTTGTAAGATATAATAATTACGGAGTATAGCTCTATAGTCACGGTTGTAAGATATAATAGTTACGGGGTACAGCTTTATAGTCACGGTTGTAAGATATAATAATTACGGAGTATAGCTCTATAGTCACGGTTGTAAGATATAATAATTACTGGGTATAGCTCTATAGTCACGGTTGTAAGATATAATAATTACGGAGTATAGCTCTATAGTCACGGTTGTAAGATATAATAATTACGGGGTACAGCTCTATAGTCACGGCTGTAAGATATAATAGTTACTGGGTACAGCTCTATAGTCACGCTTGTAAGATATAATAGTTACGGGGTACTCCCTATAGTCACGGTTGTAAGATATAATAGTTACGGGGTACAGCTCCTTAGTCACGGTTGTAAGATATAATAGTTACGGGGTACTCCCTATAGTCACGGTTGTAAGATATAATAGTTACGGGGTACAGCTCCTTAGTCACGGTTGTAAGATATAATAGTTACGGGGTACAGCTCTATAGTCACGGTTGTAAGATATGATAGTTACGGGGTACAGCTCTATAGTCTCGGTTGTGGGTGAGGTGAAATGGGATTTAACGTCGCGTCCAAGATTAATGCACTTATAGAGCGACGTGCATGCACATGCATGTGTATGTGGCTGCTTGTATTAAACCAGACTGATGCCGATTTTATAGTGCTAGCCCACTAAAATACCGAGCCGCAGTTTAACGTGAATACAGCACTCAGACACAGTATACTGAATCCGAGCAGACCAGTCATTGTTTTAGCCCCTTTAATGCCGAACGCCAGGCAGGGTAACAACAAGTACCATCCCTTAACGTTTTTTGGTATGACCGTAACCCTGAACCTGAACCCCGTGGGAAGGAAATTGGACGGCACATTAAATGTTATGTACTGATGAGTGAGTGAGTTGGACTTTACGCTGATTTTAGCAATATTCCAACAATATCACGGCGACGGACACAAGAAATGGGCTTGACGCATTGTACCCATGTGGGGAATCGAACCTGGGCATTCAGCGTGAGGAGCGAACGCTTTAACCACTAGGCTACCCCACCGTCCTCATTTACCGATGAACAGTTGTCATGTCGTATTATTCTATGCATGTAAACGTTTAAAAGTATCGGGTCCTATGTGAAGTACCCATAGCGTTCTATGCCGAACCAGTTCTCAAGCATTGCACCCTTGCTGGTCTGTTTCGTTATTCTCTGAGTGAGAATGTCTTCTCAGATTGGCAAAATCACGGGCGTATATACGTCTTTGGCAAAATGTAAACCAGGGAATTTGGCGTCTAACTTAATCCTCAAATATATCGGTGATCTGATATCGCTCAGCAATGGCCAAATATCCAATTCCCTTCAACTGATTAATCCACCTGAACTACAAATAAGAAACCAGTAAAACCTAATCGGTTTTGTATTTAAATCCGAGCATAAAGATTCAGTGATAAAACCTATCATCAAAACTGTGCGACACGAGGGATGACTTCAACTTTCGCTTTATGTCGAGCACTATTCCAGCATTTCTTGCAGCCTTTGGTGTCTACATTTCACAACTTAATTTGGAGGTACAATCGAGCATGTTCCTTCTACAAGTGAGTGAGGAAGTGAGTGAGTTGAGTTAACGCCGCTTTGAACAGTATTCCAGTTATAGGATCCCGGAAGATCCCGGTAGAATAGGTATTCAGCAACCCATGCTTGCCTAAAAGGCGTCTATGCTTGTCGTAAGAGACGACTAACAGGATCGGGTGGTCAGGCTCGCTGATTTGGTTGACACGTATCCCAATGGTGTAGATCGATGCACATGATGTCAATCACTGGATTGTCTGGTCCAGCCTCGATTATACACACACCGCCGTCATATAGCTGTAATATTGCCGAGTGCGGCGTTAAACAACAAACAATAAAAAATATATCAGGGCTTGTCAGCTTAATGTAGGAGGTATTGTGTCTCTAGCGTTTAGTACAAAGGATCGCACCTCAGCACTGTGAGTTGCGGCGCCTTTAATAAAATGAGTGAGTGAGTAAAAAAATAAAATTGCATTATTTCAGCTATATATAGCTACTCCTTTCAACAGATATCTGGGACACCTGTGTCCCCTCTTTGTACGAAGATTTCAAAGAGCTTCATACGACTCTTGTTCAACGTTGTTTCGTCAGGGTTTTGTTCAGCTGAACAATTGACTTGCCTTTGCATGTGTTTGTGACGGGTCACCATAAGGGCAGGACACGCTTACCTTTACGCGAACACCTGGTATCGTCTCTATTTGATAGTGGTTCATAAACACATGCTCATGGTGTAGTCGATACTTTGGAAGAGATTACTAATGATCATGGGAAGAGTTTTGCGTCCTAATTTGCAGTGTGAGTGGATGCTGTGTGACACTACAATCACCTATATGTGCATGCACTGTGTGTGGCTGCTTGTACTAGACCGGACTGATGCCGATTTATAGTGCTAGCCCATGCCAAAGTTTAACATCAATACCCCTCTCAGACACTCCGAGCCGACCTATCCTTGTTTTAGCCCCTTTAATGCCGAGCGCCAGACTGGGTAACAACTAACAAGTACCATCTTTTAACGTCTTTTGGTATGACCCGTCACGGAGGCGGTCCTCTTGAAACATCGGATCACTTTTCACTTTATAATAGATATTACACATACACATTCAGTTTTTCACATGTTATTTTTAATATAACAATTATGATACGATAAACTACGTCAAACATTAAAATTAGCTTTAGTTGATATCTGTAATCTGAGAATTCAGTGTACAGTGTGTTGAATATCATGAGTTTCATATCCCTTCTTTTCCATTTGATCCGATACAACCAACCCAGATACAGAGACGGGTGTATGGCACTGGTCTTTGACAGCCCAAGATCGCCTAGACTCACAATAGTCGCTAAGGCAATAATTATTAGTTTAAACAGAGACCATATAATATGGACTCTGGTTTAAAGCATAGTTTCTAGATTATGTAAATAATATGAACAAATAGTCACTATTAGAGACTGGAGTCCTTACTGTCCACATATCTTGACTTGCCTATTCGGAGGATAAAATTACCACACATCTATGGACTTACAGCCTTGGAGCAAGGCTAAAGATAGCCCTGCAGACCCTTTGAGATCCACTCTGTGGATGCACCTGGGCCTACTTGCACAAAGATCGCTTTGTGCTATGATTATTGTAAGCCTATGCTAAAGTTACGATCATCTTAGCACTAAGATCGCGTTGTGCACGTTGGCCCTGCTGCTTTAGTGAGTGAGTGAGTGAGTTGGGTTTAACGCTGCTTTTAACAGTATTCCAGTTATATCACCGCGTGCCAGCTTAATGTGGGAGGAAAGCCCGAAGTGATGCAGGTCTCAGACGTTTACCACTTCGGTGAAACCCACGAGCAAGGGTTATGGTGCTGACAAACCTAGAAACATAATCGGGGCAAAACTGGGATTCGAACCCCCAATCATAGGTTTCTGGCGTGCCCAAGGGACGCAACTCTGCACAGCGAATCTCGGCGCCTTAGACGACTGGGCCACCCGTGCCCCCTCCCTGCTGCTTTAGGACCACGTGGAAGCACCCTGACATATACTGCATCTGTACAATACTGGGCATGTGTCTGGACAATGGATGTGTGTGTCGGACAGTCAGATTAAAATAGGGCTAGCCACAACCCATATTCATTTGGTGACATGCGGTAAGAGGCGACTAGTGGGGGCCAGCCTGGCTGACTTGGTTGATGCATGTCATCGTATCCAAATTGCATGGATCGATGCTCACGACGTCAATCACTCGATTATTTACAGACCGCCGTCATATTACCTTATTTAAGCTGATATACATATTCCTGGCCTAACAGGTTATGTGAGGTCCCAGTCAGGGTATACACTTACAGAATAGTGGTGCAATCACTCAGGGACTGGTGAATGGCTGGGTTAATAGTGGGGAGACATGCACATTAACCAAACCAGATCTTGTGAGATATCCCCCAACCCTTTCGAAGCATACGGTTGTGGGAAGCCTAATAGTTGAAGCATTCACTTGTCACAAGGGACCCGTGAACATTCCGGGGTAGAATAGGTCTTCAGCAACCCATGCTTGCCGTAAAAGGTGACTATGCTTGTCGTAAAAGGCCACTAACAGGATCGGGTGGTCAGGCTCGCTGACTTGGTTGATGCATGTCATCGATCCCAACTGCATGGATCGATGCTCATGACATTAATCACTGGATTGTCTGGTCCAGACTCGATTATTTACAGACCGCTGTCATATAGCTGGAATATTGCTGAGTGCGGCGTTAAACAAATAACAAACCAACCAACTTGTCACAAAGAAGACCTGGGTTCAATTTCCCACATGGGTACAATGTGTAAAGCACATTTCTGTTGTCCCCTGCTGTGAGATTGCTGAAAGCGGCCTGAGACCCAACTCACTCACTCACTCACTCGAAGGATTCTAATAATGTTTTTACTGGATCATTTCGTGACATTTCAACAAAACTAACAATAATTATTATTTGATGACACAAATATTCCAATTATTTGCATTCATCTTGTATTTCTTAAATTTTAGTGCACCCACTGTTTCAGAAAAACATGCTTGCCATGCAATCACCACTTCATTCAACAAAGCTTCTCTTGTGATACATTCAACAGATCCAGGTAGGCATAACACAAACACAACAAAAATTTCAAAATGATCATGTAATACTATTAATACATGAACAAATATTCAACACAAATCCTCACTTCTGCTTAGCTGATCTAGCAAACTGCACCACAATTGGTTTGCCATTAAGAATGTACCCATTTGTTTGTTCCAAGGCAGGGATGGCTTTGTCTTCACTTGGAAACGTGATGAACGCCTGACCCTTCATCTTCCCCTCCTTCATGAGCCGCACGTCAAATATGTTCAACTCTTGTTCACTGGTCACATCAATGAAACGACCATAGATGAACCGCAGTTCTTTGTCTGTTACTTGTTTGGCAAGATTCTTCAAATACAATCGACAGCTTGGCTCTCCTCTCTCATACCTCCTGAAAACAGAAACTTCTTTGAGTTCCGACTTTGGTAATCTGCCTCTCTCCAGCTCCTCAAGGGAAACAAAGCCGCGTCTAACCCAGTCATCGTCTTCAGGAGGAGCACTGTCCTCAACCTCCTTCTGGACAGGTTCCATCCTCCCGAAGCCTCCTGCCTCTTCATCTGGCACCAGGCGTGAAGCTGCCACTGTGGCATCCATCTTGGCCACACCAGCTTCCTCTTGCACTGTGGCAGACACCAATGGAGGAAGCTTCAACTGGATCTTCTTCGGGGCAGGTTTGTCTTGTACTTGTTCAAAGACCTCCGATGGTTTTACGATCTGGTCGGGAGGAACAGGACATTGAGCGGTCACCTCTGATGGGGGTTGTATTATAAGCCGGGCTTTCTTGTGACTCCTCTTTCTCTTTCTTGCATAAATCTGATTTGGGACATGGACATCAAGAGATTTTTCTTCACCTCCACTCTCTATTTCTGATTCAGAGCTTGATGATCTTGTGGAAATATTGGCAGATGTCTTTTCTTGAGTTTGATTCTTCAAATCTGCAGGGATGGGTGGTGTGGTAGTGAGGACGCCAAAAGGCGCAGGGATGTTCATCTTGTTCATGAGGTGCAGCACTTGAACATAAAACTTAGGATAAGATGCTAAAGCATTAGCAATGTTGGTGAGGATGGACACTGTGGGTGGGGGGTACATGTAGTGAAGCCGTGGGTTGCGAGGGTAGTTGATGCTCCACTTGTGGAAGACATCGTCAGAGGACGGGGGAACAATGGCCTCTTTTGCTTTCAAATCATTGTCTTCTATTTTCTCTTTGGGCCAAGGCTGATCCGGTTTTACTCTGTCAGGGGCAAGGCTCTCTTTAGCAAATTCTGCTTTCAGTCTCGATCCTAGGACATCCAGCTGATGCAACCTTGTAAGAGCTTTGGCAGCTTGGGGATTGTCGGTGAATCCTGCAAATGCGGCATGTTTCATCGGACCAGTGGCCCCCATGAGCTTCACGCTGACAGCACCAAAGTGACGTAACAGATCATCCTTCTCTGTAGGCGAGAGGCTGGATGGCAGATGCCTGATCAACAATGTACTTGATACCATTGTCTGGAAGAAGAAAATACAAGGATTTCACTCCTGACAGTCTCTTTTATCATACAAGTCATACAACATTAATTTGAATAATGAGCGACTTGGATTTTGCACCGCTTTTAGCAATATTCCAGCAATATCACGGCGTGGGACACAAGAAATGGGCTTCACACATTGTCCCCATGTGGGGAGTCGAACCAGGGCCTTCAGCGTGATGAGCGAGCGCTTTAACCACTAGGCTACCCCACTGCCCCAATTTGAATAATGTACAATTAAGTCAAATCTGAGAAGATCTGTATACCCCCTACGGACAAGTTGAATACCAAGACTATTTTGTCCACATCTAAATTTAGTTATTAGCCTTCTATATAAATATGTTTCACTAACGATATAAGATATATGCAGTTTATAGAATAAGAGGGTCTGGCTGTCTAGAGATGCATGCTATCTTGAAATGAACAATCTTTAACTCTTTTGCTGAACATATGTACAAATAATTCTGTATTGCCAACGGTTTGTGCAACCCATACATCCCCCAAACCAAAATGACTTAGCAAAATTGTTTGATAGACATTATGTAGAGGGGAATGTCTAAGTAACTCTCCATTCTTTGAGAATAATGGAGCAGAGGCCCCGCACAAGCAGAGGCCCAATATTTTTACGGAATGGAGAGTTACGAGGATATTCCCCTACTTAAAACACAACTCTACTCTTACACTTCGACAAAACATTCTAAAGACCACAAAACATGCAGTGTAAAGATCAGCTCGCGACGGAGCACGTGCAGCAGCGGCAAAGAACACAATCAACTCTCCATTCCCTAAAATAATGGAACAACAGAATGACATCACGGATGTGTTTTAATTAGAAGTTGATGGATGACGAAGTAGCATTCCTTTACAGTAAATAAAGAGTAATTTTACTCTTCTCAGTATAAATATCTATACCCCATAAGAGTATGACTTTAGTAAAATCAAAATTTACATTTACATTTGTATGCTTATCACGCATTACTCCTTATTGCAATTACTTCTATTTTTTGACAGAAAGACGAAGCTGTGTGAGGTCGCTCTGAAGAAGAAATTGTTCCAACTAGTTGTGTAGCTAATACCATTAACGTCACGTATCTTCACTTTGCTGCTTGATTGTAACATCTGAAAACATCATGGGGAGTCAGCTCTGTGACGGCAGGGCCACATTAGACGAAGGAATGCAGGATAAGTATACAAATGTCAAAAATATTTAAGTCAATATTGTAACTTATCCTGCATTGCTGCTAAATGCATCTAAATTGGATGGTATGGAGAATGGCATACTTTCAGATGTGATCCTTGATGGGTCCTGGCAACCGTCACAGCATCCTTTTGCGATGATCGGAAACCATGTGACCATTCCTGCCAGAGGAAAACTTGAGGTGTGTAGGACGCCCAGGTAAAAGAACAGTCATAGAAAAAGGTGTAAGCTAAGTCTAGAACTGACCTACCAAGGCAATGCTTGCCGCATGTAAGCCTTCTGGTCTGGGGTGCAAGCACCAGAGAGTTCAAAAGGTCAGCTCTGGACTGCTGGAGAAATTAATGTTGTTTGGGCTTGGCAACGAGCAGAGGACCAAAACTGTGGAAGACCTCAACGTCCTACTAGCTGGCAAAGAGTGTGTCGTCATCTCCGTGACCCATGTTGAGCCTTACATTGTCAGATGAAACACCCATGTGCACGAACCGGACACAAGTGGAGGTCCTCATTGTCTTCGGCACCCACAATTGAAGTGAGTGGTGGAATGGCGAAGGATCTGTCAGGCTGTCCTAGGAGTTGATTCTTAGCTAGGAAGTCCCAGCACAGTCCAAGGTTAACAGCTCTATGCGCCCTGTGCTCAAACCGGACATAGGTGATGTCGAGTGCGTGGAACTTGCCTTCCCTTGCCGCGGTAGCCAGAGCCAAGAGGAACACTGTCTTCTTGGTGAGGTTAAGAGCCGAGTAAACAGGAGGTCTGAACTTGGCCTTTTGATCCTCTCGACTGAAGGAGCTCAGCAATGCTTGGAGTTCCAGAATCTTTGTCATTTTGTGATCTTCCGGAACTGACAACACTGAGTTGAGGGACACCAGGCAGGCACTAATGGTGCTGTCCTTGAGGTGTCATTTGCTGCGCAAAAACAGAAGGAATTTGGCAAGATGAGAGAAGAGTTGATGCTTCTCCTTACAAAAAGACTCAAAGGATGGCTTCTTGTCATAGAGAGCGAAGGTCTGTGTGTCCTGGCTATGGCTTTAGCTACTCTAGCCAAATAGCCCTTGGCCCCTAATGCCCTTTGAAGATGTAACAGGCTTGCAGATATCCTGGTGCGATACCCTGCTGTGAGGATGGATCAGTAGGTTTGGCCACCCTGGTAGTTCGAGTGGGTCATTTGTGGCTAAGTCTTTGAGATCAACGAACTAACCCTTTGCCGGTCACCAAGGCGAGATCAAAATCAGAGCGTGGCATTGGGTTGCTCTGATCTTTCGAAGAACCATGGGAAGAAGTACAGGTGGTGGAAAAGTCTACGCATTTAGGCCTTCCCAAGGGATGCTGAGGGCATCTACAGCCCAAGACAGTGAATCCGGAACCGGAGAAATGAAACTCCAGAGCTGGAAATTCTGGCTGTGACAAACAGGTCCATATTTGGAAAGCCGAGAAACTGAAACAGCTAGTTGAAGGCCTCGGGGTTGAGCTGGTTGGTCTTGAACAGGCCTCCTATAAGCTGGAGAGTGAAGGATGGAGTGAACTCCGACATCAGATCATTGACAATACATCCCAGCTGATGGAAAAGGTGCCTGATGAATGGTGTAGGATGAGAATCTCCTGGTGGTTCAGCAGGCAATAGTTGATGTGTGACTCGAACTGGATGTTCCTCAGATGTAGGCAGGAGGCCACATGCTTCGTGATTCACTGGGATGGATAGGCACATGCAGGTAGGCATCCTGCAAGTCAAGGCTGATTAGGGAATCATTGGCAGATCAAGGGAGGCTGACCCACGAGACTGCCACGACCAGTAACTGTAGGCAGGCTCCACAGGCAGAGAGAGCGCTTGAGGCGCTGGCGGGAGTGGAGGTGATACAGATGTAGGGATCACCTGAGGTGCCATCGATTGCTGAAACATAGACTACATAAACATCTGCATCCAAGACAGATTCATGTAGGGTGCCTGTAAAGGCTGAGGCAGCGCCTTCTGGAACAGCATCTGTGTAGATGGGAAAGTCAGGTCACTCAGGAGAAGCAGCGCTCTTAGGCGTAGAAGATGATGGCGACTTCCAGCCGGAAGAGGACGGCATGGCTATGACAATAGGTGTGGCAGGCGTCTCTTGAGAATCAGACATCCAAGGGTGTCTGTAGGCCTCCTGAGTTCGACGCTTCTGAGATACCTGAAAGTATTTGGGGAAGACTGTAGGAGAGAGGATCAGCACAGTTCAGACACAAGAGGTTGTGATCCCTGCGAGGCTTGTTACCATGGCAATGATTACAACTGGACATAAATCTGCAATTTAAGCAGAGGTCATTATCACCAAGTGTACAACCAAGCAACTCAGCGGTTAAAGGATAAAACTATGCAGTATAAAAGTGATAAAAAACACACATTAATTTCCAAATGAGAAGCATAGGTAAGACAATATAAAAGAATTACCAAGCAACAATCAAGAATAAAGGATGTATGACATGTGAACATGACCACATAGGAAATTCAAAAAGGCTAATTGGGACAACAAAATGCATGATATTTACAGTTACTTGTAGCCACCATCAAGACATGTGGTAATAAATCACAAACCAATGAATGATATAAATCCAAATGAATGCTGAAAAAATAAACAAGCAAAAGGATGCCAGTAGGACAGCTGGAGCTTCACTACACAGGACTTGTCAGTCTGATTGACAAGCAGTAATGAGAAGACATGTGACGTCATAACTTTCGTGGTCACATTGGCTGTGCGATGGTATTAGCCACAGAACTAGTTGGAACAACTTTTTCTACAGCTGGACCTCACACAGCTTCGTCTTTCTGTCAAAAAATAGCAGTAAATGCATTTAGGAGAATTCAGGATAAGTTAACAAACATAATTCATCAAAATGTTTTTGTAATTTTAAAACACTATCTGCAACAAGTTTTAAATCGTTGGCAAACAATGGGGCAATTACGTTAAACCTTTCTTCTAAGATAAAAACAACACCACCACCATGGAATTTACTTTCCAAACATATTACAAATTTGTTGATAACAGTACTTGACTAAGGGTACAACTTTGTCTTCCCAAAATACTCAGTCAAGTTCTTACCGTAATCGCATGTTACAGTTACTCAAACATCATTATACATATGCTGGATAATATGAAATAACTTGCTGTGAATACCATTTTGCAACAAAACATACATTAACATACACCATACATATTAACCACATCAAATGCTTTTCGAAAATCAGTAAAAGCACAATATACTTTTCCTTTTTTGTGAGTTATATACTTTTGTGTTATAGCTTGAAAAATGAAAATGTTATCAAAAGTGGAATGAACTTTCTTAAAACCCCATTGATATTCACCACTTTATACCTTGGTATTCTAAGAAATGTTCAAGTCTAGTGTTTCATATAACAATACATGAGTAATCGAATCACTGACTTGTGTAACCTTTTCCAACTTCCAAAAACTTTGTAGTTTATATTTTTGTGTCGTTTTTACATTCTGTACTTCATGGTTAATGCAATCTGGTTTTTCGGACATAGGGTGTGTTGCTTTAATAACTAGATCTACTTGTTACAAATGCAACAAATAGGATCCTCCAAATTTGTGTACAAGTCAGCCAAAATGGTATGTATGCCCCAAATCAGGTACAGACCACAGTAGAAATTTAGGTACGGGTCAGCCATTTTGGGTAGGTACACACACTCGGGCTGAGACGAGACCAAAGTTACTACCCGGGTACCCAACCCCCTATTACAAAACTCAACCCTGGTACCCACTGTAGGTCTAAGATATGGGTACAAAATGTCTGATTGAGAATTGTTTGAATGTAAACCCAGCAAAAAGTATTGAGATACAAGTATAAAACAATCTGGACATGTATACACTGAAGTTGACTGAAGCTTTAACTTTATTCAAACATATAAAAGTCAGAAGGAATGCGTGTACAGTCAGAAAGAATGTGTGTACAGTCAGAAAGAATGTGTGTACAGTCAGAAGGAATGCGTGTACAGTCAGAAGGAATGAGTGTACAGTCAGAAGGAATGCATGTAGTCAGAAAGAATGTGTGTACAGTCAGAAGGAATGCATATACAGTCAGAAGGAATGCGTGTACAGTCAGAAGGAATGTGTGTACAGTCAGAAGGAATGCGTGTACAGTCAGAAAGAATGTGTGTACAGTCAGAGGGAATCTGTGTACAGTCAGAAAGGAATGCCAACATCAGCGACTTTTAGTGTCACCATGGAGTTCTAGATAATTTCTGTTATTAAACAGTATGTCACGTGACTAACCATTGGTCAGAGTATTCATGTGGGTACCCTGAGAGAGTACCCGAGTTACCCGTCCCAGCCGTAACATACAGCAAAAAGCAATAACCTGATAACGAAGATCTTGTGCAGAAAGTTAAAAACACCTGAGTGAAACAATGATACGTACATACTGGAATACTGGCAGGACATTATTTATAGCTCTACGGGAATACAGTATAGACTGATGAGGAGATATAGGCAATCAATTATGTTCGAAAAGAGTTGACATAGATTCTATGGACTTCAACTGTTTACGGTGCTTGGCTTTATGCTTTCCAGGAACATGTTGAAATAATAGCCTGAAGAAAATCAACTCTGTATGTTTGCTATCAAAGTTTCTGAAATGCCATTTGAAGACATCTCTTCTATATACTTATTTCATAATATAAAACTTAAATCATCTTTCGTAAGTACCCTTTTCACTTCCAGTTACCGCAGTTATCTTCTGCGAAAGACAACCATAATCGCGCACTAATCTAAGGCCGATAACTCTAGCTTTTACCGGAAGTACAGCAAAATGGAAAATGGCGCCCTCCATGAATCGTAAGAAGTCAACATTTTAAGAATTTATTTCTTCCTCTTTTTATTTGCTTAGTAATGCCAATCATATTAACCAACATTACCAGGACATCACTGATTGATAGAAACCACCATATTGTAATGTATAATGAAAAAGAGCATGGTTTTACAGGTACTGAAATGGGGGAATGTTGAAGTTGCGAGTGAAAGTGACAGCAACTTCACCATGGACTCGCCTGGGGACAACACTGCCGTGATTCGGATGAAACGGGAGTTTGATGCCTTTGTCTCAGCCAGTAGGAAACGGCACTTGCAAAGGAGCTTCAACGTCAATCAAGCTGAAAATGATGAAGAAACCACACCCTCATCTCCTGCTGTGTCCATGAGAAACCTCCTAGGTCAGTCAGCCCTCAAAACATTATCTGAGAGTCGGTCATACAGCCCACAAAACATTATGTGAGACTAAGTCAGTCAGCAAACATAAGATTTTTTATCTGAGACTAGGTCAGATGCCAACAAAACATTATGTGAGACTTGGTCAGATGCCCACAAAACATTATGTGAGACTATGTCAGTCAGCACACCAAACATTATCTGTCCATTGTTGAACCACTTCCATCAATGCCCAGACATGGAGGTATGACAGCACAGGGAACCATCCAGCTGCAGGGCCAAGCACATGTTGTTAACCTACAAGTCCCAAGTGCTACATTGTGTTCCTGTTAGTTGAATGTTAACCCGTAAGTCCCAAGTGCTACATTGTGTTCCTGTTAGTGAATGTTAACCCATAAGTCCCAAGTGCTACATTGTGTTCCTGTTAGTTGAATGTTAACCCATAAGTCCCAAGTGCTACATTATTTGCTGTTAGTGAATGTTAACCTGTAAGTCCCAAGTGCTACATTATGTGGCTGATAGTTGAATGTTAACACGTAAGTCCCAAGTGCTACATTGTGTTCCTGTTAGTTGAATGTTAACCCATAAGTTCCAAGTGCTACATTATGTTGCTGTTAGTGAATGTTAACCTGTAAGTCCCAAGTGCTACATTATGTGGCTGATATTTGAATGTTAACCCGTAAGTCCCAAGTGCTACATTATGTTGCTGATAGTTGAATGTTAACCCGTAAGTCCCAAGTGCTACATTCTGTGGCTGATAGTTGAATGTTAACCCGTAGTCCCAAGTGCTACATTATGTGGCTGATAGTTGAATGTTAATCCGTGAGTCCCAAGTGCTACATTATGTTGCTGTTAGTTGAATGTTAACCCGTAAGTCCCAAGTGCTACATTATGTGACTGATAGTTGAATGTTAACCCATAAGTCCCAAGTGCTACATTATGTTGCTGATAGTTGAATGTTAACCCGTAAGTCCCAGGTGCTACACTATGTGGCTGATAGTTGAATGTTAACCCGTAAGTCCCAAGTGCTACATTCTGTGGCTGATAGTTGAATGTTAACCCGTAGTCCCAAGTGCTACATTATGTGGCTGATAGTTGAATGTTAACCCGTAAGTCCCAAGTGCTACATTATGTTGCTGTTAGTTGAATGTTAACTGGAAGTCCCAAGTGCTACATTATGTGACTGATAGTTGAATGTTAACCCATAAGTCCCAAGTGCTACATTATGTTGCTGATAGTTGAATGTTAACCCGTAAGTCCCAGGTGCTACACTATGTGGCTGATAGTTGAATGTTAACCCGTAAGTCCCAAGTGCTACATTCTGTGGCTGATAGTTGAATGTTAACCCGTAGTCCCAAGTGCTACATTATGTGGCTGATAGTTGAATGTTAACCCGTAGTCCCAAGTGCTACATTATGTGGCTGTTAGTTGAATGTTAACCCGTAAGTCATTATGTTGCTGTTGTAGACAAGGAGAAGGAGGAGAAACTGATGAAAGCGGAGGTTATCACGGCCAAGAGTATGATTGTGAAGCTGGAGGCAGAAGTAGATAACCTGCGTAGGTCCAACAAGAGGACCCGTATTGAGTATGATAAAGACCTGGGCAACTTGACCAGTGAAAAACAGGTGTTGCAGTCTGTTGTTATACACATTTATCACTGTATTCAGAATAAATTATGAAAAACACCAATATTGTGCAAATTTGGATGTTTAAGACATTACTAGTTACTCTATAATAATGATGTGTAGCTTAATACCATTTGAAAAAACAACTTTTTTATCATGCCAAGGATGGCAGTTTGATGTGAATGGCAAACGTATCATCTCTGGCATATGTTGTTTTGTTTACACTTGTTTCTATGGTTACAATGATCCCTCGCCACAACGCTACCTTCGGGGTCCATATAATTCATGAGCATTATAGATGATCAGTGGTTTAACCGAGGTCGAGTCGTAGGTGGTAGTTGACCAACAATACACTCTACATGCTCTGTACTTACCACGATCTACATTGCACCTTTCAGAAAAAAATAAGAATAGAAGTTGTTTATGATTCATAGAATAAAATAAGATTTATCAAGTATAATATGCGCTTTCAAAAAGACATTGTATCCCTTCAGCTAGACTAACATATAGTCTCTGAAATGAACATATCGCACAGAAAAAAACAGTTGTTCAGTTATCTTAATAAAAATCTAATAAAAAGGGAGCCCAGTGATTCTCTTCATTTTCATACTGCAGTAATCTAGACTTGCCAAACATTATAGACTTGCATGGGCTGTAGTTGATATAAATGTATCAGGGTCTGTAAGACAGACTACCCTTAGGCGAATTCAGGTGAATAAACAGGTATAACAAACTTGGTCAATAAAAGTATGAAATTAGATATAAAACATCACTAGACATGATGATTTACATTTAAAATGTATTTCCTGCTCTCCAAGGCATTGTTTTATATGCAGAGATTAAAATTACTGTGTGTATTGTCTAGTAAACCTTGCCAGAAATAGCAATCAGCTATGCACACATTTTCTCCCAATCTACCGGTGATTTAGTTGAAAAGTACCCAGTGATACAACTTCAAAGAATTTTGATGCAATGGTTGGAAGAAATTGTATCTGGATTTATTATTTTATCAGGAATAATATATTCCAATATCGTGTTATTTTAGTTGGAGCTCCCACTATATATATATATACTTAAAATTATAAGAACCATAAGCGTAGCACTTTGGTTAGGTGGTATGCAGGATATTTCTTACGTATGGAACAATTTGACCAGTCACCTTAGAGACTTCCTGTGCTACATGTATTTCGATTGCGAAAACGTTATGTTGACATTTAATAGTCAAACGGCCTCAAAGATGACTTAGCAAGTCATGGTACAGCATTTATGATATGTGTATCCATTCTCTTGCAACTAAAGTTCGTTTCAAGGCATCAATAGAGATAATCTGACTGGAGTTGCTGTAAATAACGGTGAGTTGTGCGATCTACCGATCACTTCGCCTACAATTTCGTTGAAATTATTGTAAACATTTTTGTAATTATGGAGTTAAATTTTGAATATGATTAATAAAATATATTGCAAATATTTGTCCGGATAAACAATGAACAATTTTTTTATAACCAGATATTATAAAAATAGGATTAAATTGTGTACTTCGGATTTGTTGACTGGTATTTCTGGTGTTACGTGATCGTGGTGATCAGCTGATAATGTTTTCTGAGAAGGGGGAAAACATCGTGTCATTGGAAAACTTGGAAAAATGTTAGTAAATTTTGGGAGCCATGCTTCACCGAGCGCTATAACCGAGTTAGCGCTATATTGAGGAGCGCAATAGCGAGGGAACACTGTATCGGCATGTGTACAGCAGATAGGGCTGATGTTTAACTGATGCAGCCTTCACTAAGTGTGTTGATGTTGCAGCGGGAGTTGGAGAAAGCTGGGGAGCTGAAGTCACGCTTGCAGTATCTTGCTGACAGAGAGAAGACAGCTCGAGAAGAGCTGCAGGAGCTGCGCCGGGAATCGGAGCTGAGGGCGGCAACTGCGGAGGAGAAGCAACTGGCGCTTCAGAAGGACAAGCTGCAGCTGGAAGAAGATCTACAACAGGTGGGGGTGTGGCAGATAGGCAGATCTACAACAGGTGGGGGTGTGGCAGATGGGGAGATCTACAACAGGCAGGGGGTGGTAGATAGGGATATCTGCAACAGGTGGGGGTGTGGCAGATGGGGAGATCTACAACAGATGGGGGGTGGCAGATGGGGAGATCTACAACAGGTGGGGGGGTGATAGATGGGGAGATCTACAGCAGGTAGGGGGGTGATAGATAGGGATGTCTACAACAGTTTGGGGTGTGGCAGATGGGGAGATCTACAACATCTGGGTAGGTAGGTAGGGAACAGCTAGAGGGGTTTAGTGGTAGCATTTATTAATTCAAAATAATTTGGTAATTTTGATGGTTTCTTTCTCAAAAGTGTCATAATCAAGTCCTGTCCCAGCAATGTGAGTGGTCAATTTGCAGGCCAACGAGCAGTCGTGGGAGAAGATAACGGAGCTGAGGAACCAGTCCATGAGGACGCAGATGGAGCTGCAGATCTGTCAGACGGAGCTGGAGGAGACCAAGGCGCAGCTCAAGCTGCAGCTCAAGTAGGTCGTTGCCATAGTAATGGTTGTCATGTTTCTCTTACGATAGGTACAGTTGTTGATTCTAGGTAGTCAGGAAGGGAGGTGAGGTAGTGATTAAATCATTCGTTCATAATGACATCATCTTCCCTATATCAAAGCCTAGTTTCTACCCTTGTCACATCAAAGCCACCTTTCTTGGTTCCACCCTGGTGCCACTTCGCGTAGATCACAAGTTGTGCCCCTTGTAATGAAATCGTGATACCCAATCAGATCGCTGTTCTTACAGATGGCGACTACCATAGGCGACGACCAAGTCAATCATATAATGAAAACGTGATACCCAATCAGATCGCTGTTCTTACAGATGGCGACTACCATAGGCGACGACCTAGTCGATCATCTAATGAAAACATTCGCGATTTCATTCCCAACACAAAAACATAGGCAATCGTTGGTGGGTTAAAAGATGAAAAAGACTTGTCAACAAAGACAGGCAGCAGTAAATCACTTGCACACAAAGGTGTAACAGTCGTGGATGTTGATTTTGTGAAACGTTCTCTGATTGGACTATTGATATGTGCGATAGTCCAATCATATTTAGCACAGGAAAGTGGGCTTGATGTGGCAAGGGTGGAAACAAGACTTTGACAAAAAAGCTAGTGGAAGCTCTTGCCTCGGGAAGATGTCATGACATAGGCTACGGCTTGAGTCCCCACATGTGTGAAGACTCCCAGGTATTGCTAGAATATTGCTGAGACCGATGTGATACTGTATTCAATCCCTCACTTGACTGTTAGGGTGATACATACATAATGCCTTGTGGAGGCGCGCATGATGGGACTAGAGTACTGGTGGCTGTTGTATACTGAGGTACTTTGATCTAGCTGACTGTTAATTTGGCTAAAAGCGGCCAGTCGCTGTGTAAAGAAGAAATGGGTCCAGACACTTGCTTCATACACTGTACACAGGCACTCACAAGAACAACTGACTGCAGCAATCAGACACTTGCTTCATACACTGTACACAGGCACTCACAGGAACAACTGACTGTTGTAGCAGCTTGCTTCATACACTGTACACATGCACTCACAAGAACAACTGACTGTTGTAGCAGCTACATGGATGGGTAAGGGATGTGGTTACAACTGACTGTTGTAGCAGCTACATGGATGGGTTAGGGATGTGGTTACAACTGACTGTTGTAGCAGCTACATGGATGGGTTAGGGGTGTGGTTACAACTGACTGTTGTAGCAGCTACATGGATGGGTAAGGGATGTGGTTACAACTGACTGTTGTAGCAGCTACATGGATGGGTAAGGGATGTGGTTACAACTGACTGTTGTAGCAGCTACATGGATGGGTAAGGGATGTGGTTACAACTGACTGTTGTAGCAGCTACATGGATGGGTAAGGGATGTGGTTACAACTGACTGTTGTAGCAGCTACATGGATGGGTTAGGGATGTGGTTTGTTGGAGATGGGATTCAGACAGTGCAGCAATCAGGGAAGTCAGATCTGGGGGACGGGCATGATGGGTAAACATGTGAACCACTTCTCCAATATCCCCTGTTGTTTCAGACGGTCAGCCGAAACTACTGCCCATCTCAAGGAGTTGGAGGACTTCCGCCTGCGAGCTGTACAGGCGGAACAGAAGATAAAGGTAGGGTGGTCACAGACATACACCAGATTCTGACGAAGGCAGGTTCACATCTGTTCATGAATGTAGAGTATCACAGACTGAGAACTGTGTTTGTTTGTTTGTTTGTTGTTTAACGCCACACTCAGCAATATTCCTGCTATATGAAGGTGGTCTGTAAATAATCAAGTCTGGACCTGACAATCCAGTGATTGACATCATGAGCATCAGTCTACGCAATTGGGATATGATGACATGCATCAACCAATTCAGTAAGCCAGACCACCTGATCCTGTTAGTCGCCTCCTATGACAAGCATAGTCTTTTACGGCAGGCATGGGTTGCTGAAGACCTATTCTACTCCGGATCTTCACGGGTCCTGAGAACTTTGGTGGGTCTCAAAGTATATGTTACGGTCATAAACCATTGATGCACCAGGTGAAGTAATATATTAGTTGTGTTGTGAGAACTCCCATGGCTATCTGTGTGTTCTCCAGGACCTTGAGGACCAGGAGAGTCTGCACCAAGAGGATGTCACCATCACACGTGCACTCAAGACTCAGCTGGAAAACCTCCCCGACCTTGAGAGGGAGCTGGAAAAACTGAAAGAGGATAACAAATACTACAAGTAAGTACTGTTGGTATAATTCTTGTTGTCATGGATACATACTGTAGGAGTACTTCCTGTTGTCATGGATACGTACTGTAGGAGTACTTCCTGTTGTCATGGGGACACTTGTCTGGCCAGTTGTTGATAATATCAAACTATTGCTGCTTCTCAATATGTTAAATGAAGTGGATTTCATTTTTTAATTATGTGTTGGGCAGGGAGACAGTACAATTTGTAATTATGTGTTGGGCAGGGAGACAGGGTACAATTTGTAAGTATGTGTTGGGCAGGGAGACAGTACATTTTGTAAGTATGTGTTGGGCAGGGAGACAGTACATTTTGTAAGTATGTGTCTGGCAGGGAGACAGTACATTTTGTAAGTATGTGTTGGGCAGGGAGACAGTACATTTTGTAAGTATGTGTTGGGCAGGGAGACAGTACAATTTGTAAGTATGTGTCTGGCAGGGAGACAGTACAATTTGTAAGTATGTGTTGGGCAGGGAGACAGTACAATTTGTAAGTATGTGTCTGGCAGGGAGACAGTACATTTTGTAAGTATGTGTTGGGAAGGGAGACAGTACAATATGTAAGTATGTGTCTGGCAGGGAGACAGTACATTTTGTAATTATGTGTTGGGCAGGGAGACAGTACATTTTGTAAGTATGTGTTGGGCAGGGAGACAGTACAATTTGTAAGTATGTGTCTGGCAGGGAGACAGTACAATTTGTAAGTATGTGTTGGGCAGGGAGACAGTACATTTTGTAAGTATGTGTTGGGCAGGGAGACAGTACAATTTGTAAGTATGTGTTGGGCAGGGAGACAGTACAATTTGTAATTATGTGTTGGGCAGGGAGACAGTACATTTTGTAAGTATGTGTTGGGCAGGGAGACAGTACATTTTGTAATTATGTGTTGGGCAGGGAGACAGGGTACAATTTGTAAGTATGTGTTGGGCAGGGAGACAGTACATTTTGTAAGTATGTGTTGGGCAGGGAGACAGTACAATTTGTAATTATGTGTTGGGCAGGGAGACAGGGTACAATATGTAAGTATGTGTTGGGCAGGGAGACAGTACAATTTGTAAGTATGTGTTGGGCAGGGAGACAGGGTACAATTTGTAAGTATGTGTTGGGCAGGGAGACAGGGTACAATTTGTAATTATGTGTTGGGCAGGGAGACAGTACAATTTGTAATTATGTGTTGGGCAGGGAGACAGGGTACAATTTGTAAGTATGTGTTGGGCAGGGAGACAGTACAATTTGTAATTATGTGTTGGGCAGGGAGACAGAAAAGAATACTCTACTGCTGGAGGAACAGATTGATGGCCTGACCAGGAAACTGCAGCGGGCAGAGGACAGGATGGCAGACTACACCCAGATGCAGCTGGACAATGAGGTGACCGCAGGGGTGTGGAGGTGACAGGGTAGGGGTGTGGAGGTGACAGCAGGGGTGGGGTGTGGAGGTGACAGCAGGGGTGGGGTGTGGAGGTGACAGGGGTGTGGTGTGGAGGTGACAGGGGTGGGACGTGGAGGTGACAGGGGTGGGGTGTGGAGGAGGTGACAGTGATGGGGTGTGGAGGAGGTGACAGGGGTGGGGTGTGGAGGTGACAGCAGGGATGGGGTGTGGAGGTGACAGCAGGGGTGGGGTGTGGAGGTGACAGGGGTGTTGGGTGGAGGTGACAGGGGTGTTGTGTGGAGGTGACAGCAGGGGTGTGGTGTGGAGGTGACAGGGGTGTTGGGTGGAGGTGACAGGGGTGAGGTGTGGAGGTGACAGGGGTGTTGGGTGGAGGTGACAGGGGTGTGGTGTGGAGGTGACAGGGGTGTTGGATGGAGGTGACAGGGGTGAGGTGTGGAGGTGACAGGGGTGTTGGGTGGAGGTGACAGGGGTGAGGTGTGGAGGTGACAGCAGGGATGAGGTGTGGAGGTGACAGGGGTGAGGTGTGGAGGTGACATGGGTGTTGGGTGGAGGTGACAGGGGTGTTGGGTGGAGGTGACGGGTGTGGTGTGGAGGTGACAGGGGTGGGACGTGGAGGAGGTGACAGGGATGGGGTGTGAAGTGACGGGGATGGGGTGTGGAGGTGACAGCAGGGATGGAGTGTGAAGTGACGGGGATGGGGTGTGGAGGTGACAGCAGGGATGGAGTGTGAAGTGACGGGGATGGGGTGTGGAGGTGACAGCAGGGATGGAGTGTGAAGTGACGGGGATGGGGTGTGGAGGTGACAGCAGGGATGGAGTGTGAAGTGACGGGGATGGGGTGTGGAGGTGACAGCAGGGATGGAGTGTGAAGTGACGGGGATGGGGTGTGGAGGTGACAGCAGGGATGGGGTGTGGAGGTGACAGCAGGGATGGGGTGTGGAGGTGACAGCAGGGATGGGGTGTGGAGGTGACAGCAGGGATGGAGTGTGAAGTGACGGGGATGGGGTGTGGAGGTGACAGCAGGGATGGGGTGTGAAGTGACGGGGATGGAGTGTGGAGGTGACAGCAGGGATGGGGTGTGGAGGTGACAGCAGGGATGGGGTGTGGAGGTGACAGCAGGGATGGGGTGTGGAGGTGACAGCAGGGATGGAGTGTGAAGTGACGGGGATGGGGTGTGGAGGTGACAGCAGGGATGGGGTGTGAAGTGACGGGTGGGGTGTGGAGGTGACAGCAGGGATGGGGTGTGGAGGTGACAGCAGGGATGGAGTGTGAAGTGACGGGGATGGGGTGTGGAGGTGACAGCAGGGATGGGGTGTGAAGTGACGGGTGGGGTGTGGAGGTGACAGCAGGGATGGGGTGTGAAGTGACGGGGGTGTTGGGTGGAGGTGACAGCAGGGATGGAGTGTGAAGTGACGGGGATGGGGTGTGGAGGTGACAGCAGGGATGGGGTGTGAAGTGACGGGGATGGGGTGTGGAGGTGACAGCAGGGATGGGGTGTGAAGTGACGGGGATGGGGTGTGGAGGTGACAGCAGGGATGGGGTGTGAAGTGACGGGGATGGGGTGTGGAGGTGACAGCAGGGATGGGGTGTGAAGTGACGGGGATGGGGTGTGGAGGTGACAGCAGGGATGGGGTGTGGAGTGACGGGGATGGGGTGTGGAGGTGACAGCAGGGATGGGGTGTGGAGGTGACGGGTGGGGTGTGGAGGTGACAGCAGGGATGGGGTGTGGAGGTGACAGCAGGGATGGGGTGTGGAGGTGACGGGTGGGGTGTGGAGGTGACAGCAGGGGTGGGGTGTGGAGGTGACAGCAGGGATGGGGTGTGGAGGTGACAGCAGGGATGGGGTGTGAAGTGACGGGGATGGGGTGTGGAGGTGACAGCAGGGATGGGGTGTGAAGTGACGGGGGTGTTGGGTGGAGGTGACAGCAGGGATGGGGTGTGGAGGTGACAGCAGGGATGGGGTGTGGAGGTGACGGGTGGGGTGTGGTGGGGTGTGGAGGTGACAGGGGTGGGGTGTGGAGGTGACAGCAGGGATGGGGTGTGAAGTGACGGGGATGGGGTGTGGAGGTGACAGCAGGGATGGGGTGTGAAGTGACGGGGGTGTTGGGTGGAGGTGACAGCAGGGATGGGGTGTGGAGGTGACAGCAGGGATGGGGTGTGGAGGTGACAGCAGGGGTGGGGTGTGGAGGTGACAGCAGGGGTGGGGTGTGGAGGTGACAGGGGTGGGGTGTGGAGGTGACAGCAGGGATGGGGTGTGAAGTGACGGGGGTGTTGGGTGGAGGTGACAGGGGTGGGGTGTGGAGGTGACAGCAGGGGTGGGGTGTGGAGGTGACAGGGGTGGGGTGTGGAGGTGACAGGGGTGTTGTGTGGAGGTGACAGGGGTGTTGGGTGGAGGTGACAGGGATTGGGTGTGGAGGTGACAGGGGTGGGGTATGGAAGTGACAGCAGGGGTGGGGTGTGGAGGTGACAGGGGTGGGATGTGGAGGTGTCAGCAGGGGAGGTAACTCCAGGGGTGGGATGTGGAGGTGACAGGGATGGGGTGTGGAGGTGACAGGGGTGGGATGTGGAGGTTACAGCAGGGGAGGTGACTCCAGGGGTGGGGTGAGGTGTGGAGTGAGGTGTGGAGGTAACGGGTGGGGTGTGGAGGTGACAGGGGTTGGGTGTGGATTGTAGAGGTGACAATTTCTTTTCTTTGCTTCCTTGTGGTAAAGTTAATTAAGCATGCCTTTTACATGTAATAGCTAGGTAAATTATTATGTGCCATTGTCCAACATTTCACCTCTTAAAATTTGCATGGGAAATATCCAATTGTGATTGAGTGAGCTGACAGCTGCTTTACTTCTTATACAGAGTCTGAAGATCAACCTGGAGAGATGGCAGGGGAAATCGGCAGCTGGAGTCGGGAACCCTCTGTGAGTCATGCAGCAGTCAGTGGCAGCTCCAGCTGCTTCATACAGTCATACACACACATCATCTTACTCAGCAGTCAGTGGCAGCTCCAGCTGCTTCATACAGTCATACACACACATCATCTTACTCAGCAGTCAGTGGCAGCTCCAGCTGCTTCATACAGTCATACACACACATCATCTTACTCAGCAGTCAGTAGCAGCTCCAGCTGCTTCATACAGTTATACATACACATCATCTTACTCAGCAGTCTGTGGCAGCTCCAGCTGCTTCATACAGTTATACACACACATCATCTTACTCAGCAGTCAGCGGCAGCTCCAGCTGCTTCATACAGTCATACACACACATCATCTTACTCAGCAGTCAGCGGCAGCTCCAGCTGCTTCATACAGTCATACACACACATCATCTTACTCAGCAGTCAGTAGCAGCTCCAGCTGCTTCATACAGTCATACACACACATCATCTTACTCAGCAGTCAGTGGCAGCTCCAGCTGCTTCATACAGTTATACACACACATCATCTTACTCAGCAGTCTGTGGCAGCTCCAGCTGCTTCATACAGTCATACACACACATCATCTTACTCAGCAGTCTGTGGCAGCTCCAGCTGCTTCATACAGTCATACACACACATCATCTTACTCAGCAGTCCGTGGCAGCTCCAGCTGCTTCATACAGTCATACACACTCATCATCTTACTCAGCAGTCAGTAGCAGCTCCAGCTGCTTCATACAGTCATACACACACATCATCTTACTCAGCAGTCAGCGGCAGCTCCAGCTGCTTCATACAGTCATACACACACATCATCTTACTCAGCAGTCAGTGGCAGCTCCAGCTGCTTCATACAGTTATACATACACATCATCTTACTCAGCAGTCTGTGGCAGCTCCAGCTGCTTCATACAGTTATACACACACATCATCTTACTCAGCAGTCAGTGGCAGCTCCAGCTGCTTCATACAGTCATACATACACATCATCTTACTCAGCAGTCAGTGGCAGCTCCAGCTGCTTCATACAGTCATACACACACATCATCTTACTCAGCAGTCTGTGGCAGCTCCAGCTGCTTCATACAGTCATACACACTCATCATCTTACTCAGCAGTCAGTAGCAGCTCCAGCTGCTTCATACAGTCATACACACACATCATCTTACTCAGCAGTCAGTAGCAGCTCCAGCTGCTTCATACAGTCATACACACACATCATCTTACTCAGCAGTCTGTGGCAGCTCCAGCTGCTTCATACAGTCATACACACACATCATCTTACTCAGCAGTCAGTGGCAGCTCCAGCTGCTTCATACAGTCATACACACACATCATCTTACTCAGCAGTCTGTGGCAGCTCCAGCTGCTTCATACAGTCATACACACACATCATCTTACTCAGCAGTCAGTGGCAGCTCCAGCTGCTTCATACAGTCATACACACACATCATCTTACTCAGCAGTCAGTGGCAGCTCCAGCTGCTTCATACAGTCATACACACTCATCATCTTACTCAGCAGTCAGTGGCAGCTCCAGCTGCTTCATACAGTCATACACACTCATCATCTTACTCAGCAGTCTGTGGCAGCTCCAGCTGCTTCATACAGTCATACACACACATCATCTTACTCAGCAGTCACTTACAGTTCTCCTTTGGAAGCCTGCATGTCATCTATCATGTGTTTGTGTGCATTTATAATCTGTAATTTAGGAATATCTTACTGCTGTGACATATATGGTTACCTACCGAGGTCATAAGTGTGTGCAAGTGTGTGTATGACTGTTGTGGTGTGGAAGGTGTTTACAGGGAAAGTTGCTCTGTTCTTCAGGTCACCGACAGAGTTGTCCCAGCAGGTGGTGGAGCTGCAGAGTGCCCAGATGTTGGCGCGAGACGAGTACGGCAAGCTACAGTCCAGGTGTGTAGCAGAATCATTGGTTCTGTCAGGGACACATGCTTGTTATAAACACTGATTTGTGATGGATGGACATGGCTCAAGGGAACAGAACCTGTATCATGATAGGATCAGTGGTTCTGTCAGGGACACATGCTTGTTATAAACACTGATTTGTGATGGATGGACATGGCTCAAGGGAACAGAACCTGTATCATGATAGGATCAGTGGCTACCATGTGTCACTCATGTCTCAGAACAGTTAGTACTGGAATGGTTGACGCCTTGCAGCGTCTTTACCTGATTGATTGGACCAGACCCATACCATGACGCTGCTTGTTTGTTGCAGTCATGACTCACATGGCAGCCTAGGGTCATATTGCAGTTACCCATAAAGATCAGGGGTAGCGGAAGATCTTGGGGTCGATCCCTGACACGTCATACCAAAAGATGTTAAAAGATGGTACTTGTTGTTACCCTTCTAATGCTAGGCTTCAAGGGAATAAAAGTCATAGATGTGAAATCTCTGCGAAACGTGGAAAATCGCGTTTTTTTGAAACAGTTCTCGGAAAAAAATCATCTTCCATGTAAAAATATAATCAGCTAAAAAAAAAACTCCGAAAAATGTTATCGAAAACCGGACAACCGTCATGGATTGTCCTGTTTTCGATCAGAGCTTTCAGCATCATAGGTTTTCGGACATCATACGTTTTCTATCATGAATAACGTGGGGTGTGGCGTCGCATAGAAATTATAAATACTCAGATGATGGCTTGTTTTTAAGGTAAAGTTGTCTTTTAGTCTATAAGTAAATGAGATGTTTTACAGTTGTTCATGTGATTAGCGAGAAAACTATGAATGTTTCTTCAGCATCAGAAAACCCATAACACGGGGATATATGTTGTATCAATGTCTTATGTTTGCAAATGTTTTCAACAAAAGGTAAGTAAGTACAATGTAAATTTTTTTCAATATGCTTCAACATGGGGAAAGGGTCAGACGTTGTACACTTGTGACTGTTGTCCTTGTGTCTAGGGGATGGGGGGTGAAGTTTATGTCAGGACTGCTCCCAGACCCGGCAGGTAGCCATGTGCGCGGAAACTATGCTCGATTTTTAACTGATTTAACTTAGGAATTTTACTGCATCCGCCATCTTTGTTTATTTGACTTACTGACTATTTCCATTGACTTATTACATGTTTTGGTGTGAATGTTGTACAAACTGCACAAAATTACTTAAAATGCGATCAAATTTTAAATTTTTCCTCTTTTTACTTGAAAACCTGCTCACATTCCTGAAAAGTAAAACAAGCACTGGTCAGCTCGGAGTCAGTATACTGAGTGGGGTACTCATGTTCAACTGCGGCATGGTATCTCAGTGGGCTAGCACTATAAAATCGGCAGCAATCCGGACAAGTACAAGCAGCCACACACACACATGTGCATGCACGTTGCTATGTAAGGGCAATAATCTTGTACGCGACGTTAAACCCGTTCCACCTCACCTCACCTGCACTCTGGACGTACAAAGATCAGTTGTCTGTCTCTTCAGGTTCCACTCCCTGCAGGCAGAACTTAGGGAGACAACTTCCAAGTACCAGACTGCAGTACAGGAAGCAAGTGCTGGGAAGACAGGATCGCAGCATCAGCAGGATCTCATAAAGAGGCTCCAGCGGAAGCTGCTGTTGGTCAGCAAGGTACCATCACTGTGATTGTAGCCTGGTGTTAGCTCAAAGTTAAATAAATCAGATTCAAACACAGCTATAACATCCTCTCTTCAGTGCCCTTCTGTGAGTTAACACCACATCTCTTCACAAGAGATCTCTTCACAATTTAGATGCCCCTATTCAACATTTGTTTGGCCACAAAAGTAAACTTTTAAACTGCCCAATAATTAAGGTATCATAAAAGGTATCATAGAAATTTGCCATTTTTAAGGGTTTTGCTGTAAGGACTAGTGGAGTACAAATGTGAGTTTCTAACGCTGATTTCATGTTTGGATCCAAGTTTTATTTGTTATTGCCAGGAGCGGGAGGGCTACAAACGAATCCTGGACTCGTACGAGAGTGAAGTGACGGTGAACGTGGGGGCGCTGCAGGCAAGCCGTGTTCAGCAGCTAGAGCAACTACTCCACGACTACCGCACTCAGACGGAGTCATTGGAGGCAGAGCTTGGACGCACCGCCCACGAGGTGTCACAGACCAAGACTAAGTGTTTACAGGTAAGTGCTGGGGTAAACGTTGTTAAAAGTGTCCCCCATGTGATTTGAGTGGAATATTGATACAAGTGGTGATAAACCACTCATTGTACTTTCCATAAGCAATACAATGTTAAAGAATTGTCTTAGTGCTATGACTGTCGTATGTTAAAGAATGGGACTTGTGATTGATTTAGAGCTCCGTCTCTTCTATGTTAAAAAAATGGAGTTGAAATTATCTTAGCACTAAGATTGCTTTGTGAAACGGTACCCAGATTCCTAATGTCTCTCACGTTGTGTTTGTAACTTATATAACATTTGCTGATATTGAAAGGTATTATTAGGACAGTAAAAAGTAACTGAAGTAACCGTATATTGCGAGATGAAATGATTCAAAGATTGTCTTGCATCTGCACAACATGGTACGTTTATATATATAAGGAGGACATGGTAGGAAAATGAATATGAAATTATTTCCTATCCTGATGACAACATATTGCAGATTGACCCTCTCTTTGATCCCATGACACAGTCGACTATGCCTGTCGTAAAAGACGACACCCGGGATAGGCTGGTCAGGCTTGCTGACTTGGTTGATGAATGTCATCGTATCCCAATTGCATGGATTTATGCTCATGATGTCAATCACTGGATTGTCTGGTTCAGACTTGATTATTTACAGGCCGCCGTTATATAGCTGGAATATTGCTGAGGGCGCCATGACACAGAACATAAAACATACCTCAGCAAGTCTAGCAACTATGTTTATATCATTAATGTGTGACAACTCAAGTTTCTCAGCTTTTCTAAACATTACTGAACAGATGCAAAATTTGGGATTGGTTTTATGTCCTTCATTCTGTCTTTCCCTCCCAGCTGGAGACGCAGACAGATGGGGGCGGCAGAGCGGCACAAGCAGCAAAGTGTGACCAGAGAACTATACAGGAACTAAAGTAAGTCTAGTCGTGTCTAGAGAGAGCGAAAAGGTCCCCAGAATCTGAGTCTTGTCTAGAGTCTTGTCTCCATGGATTGTTGTATGTCATTGTGCCGTGACCGCATGCGTTGTTGTTTGTCATTGTGCCGTGACCGCATGTGTTGTTGTTTGTCATTGTGCCGTGACCGCATGTGTTGTTGTTTGTCATTGTGCCGTGACCGCATGCGTTGTTGTTTGTCGTTGTGCCGTGACCGCATGCGTTGTTGTTTGTCATTGTGCCATGACCGCATGCGTTGTTGTATGTCATTGTGCTGTGACCGCATGCGTTGTTGTATGTCATAGTGCTGTGACTGCATGCGTTGTTGTATGTCATTGTGCCATGACCGCATGCGTTGTTGTTTGTCATTGTGCCGGGACCGCATGTGTTGTTGTATGTCATTGTGCCGTGACCGCATGCATTGTTGAATGTCATTGTGCCATGACCGCATGCGTTGTTGTTTGTCATTGTGCTGTGACTGCATGCGTTGTTGTATGTCATTGTGCCGTGACCGCATGCGTTGTTGTTTGTCATTGTGCCATGACCGCATGTGTTGTTGTTTGTCATTGTGCCGTGACCGCATGCGTTGTTGTTTGTCATTGTGCCGTGACCGCATGTGTTGTTGTATGTCATTGTGCCGTGACCGCATGCGTTGTTGTTTGTCATTGTGCCGTGACCGCATGCGTTGTTGTATGTCATTGTGCCGTGACCGCATGCGTTGTTGTTTGTCATTGTGCCCTATGGGCCTCTTATCTTATTGTCATTGTGCCGTGACTGCGTGCATTGTATGTCATTGTGCTTTGACGGCATGCATTGTATGTCGTGCTGTGACAGCATGCATTGTTGTCATTGTGCCGTGACTGCATGCATTGTATGTCATTGTGCTTTGACGGCATGCATTGTATGTCGTGCTGTGACAGCATGCATTGTTGTCATTGTGCTGTGACTGTGTGCATTGTATGTCATTGTGCTTTGATGGTGTGGATTGTTGTATGTCGTTGTGCTGTGACAGCATGCATTGTATGTCATTGTGCTGTGACAGCATGCATTGTATGTCATTGTGCTGTGACTGCGTGCATTGTATGTCATTGTGCTTTGATGGTGTGGATTGTTGTATGTCGTTGTGCTGTGACAGCATGCATTATTATCATTGTGCCGTGACTGCATGCATTATTATCATTGTGCTGGGACCACATGCATTGTTGTCATTGTGCTGTACCTGCATGCATTGTTGTATGTCGTTGTGCCGTGACAGCATGCATTGTAGTCATTGTGCTTTGACGGCGTGAATTGTTTAATCCTGTTGTGCCGTGACCGCATGCATTGTAGTCATTGTGCCACGACCGCGTGCATTGTTTTGTCATTGTGCCGTGACTGCATCTATTGTTGTATGTCATTGTGTCGTGACTACAAGCATTGTTTTATGTCATTGTGCTTTGACAGCATGGATTGGTGTATGGCGTTGTGCTGTGACAGCATGCATTGTTATTGTGACGTGACTGCATCTATTGTGGTATGTCATTGTGTCATGACTGCATGCATTGTTGTCAGTATTCTATGACTGCATGCGTAGTTGTATGTCATTGTGCGGTGACTGCATGCATTATTGTCATTGTGCGGGGGACCACATGCATTGTTGTCATAGTGCTGTACCTGCATGCATCGTTGTATGTCATTGTGGCTTGACTGCATGCATTGTTGTATGTCATTGTGGCTTGACTGCATGCATTGTTTTAAGTCATTCTGACGTAACCACATCCATTGTTTTATGTCATTGTGCTGTCCCTGCATGCATTGTTGTAATGTCATTGTGCTGTGACCGCATACTTTGTTGTCATTATGCTTTGACAGTGTGGATTGTTGTATGTTGCTGATTTGTTGTTAACGCCGCACTCAGCAATATTCCACCTACATGACGGTGGTCTGTAAATAATCGAGTCAGGACCCGACCATCCAGTGATTGACAACATGAAAATTGATCCACGCAATTGGGATCGATGAGATGTGTCAGCCAAGTCAGCGAGCCTGACCACCCAATCCCTTTAGTCGACTCTTACGACAAGCATAGTCTCCTTTTATAGTTGCGGGATGTGTCACCTGTATTCTGTTGTCTCTTGGTGGGGAGATGACAGCCTTCTCTCACGTTCATACACAACATCACTTAGTGACAGTTGCGGGATGTGTCACCTGGATTCTGTTGTCTCTGTAGGGAGAGAGTCATAGAGCTTGAGTTGGAGGTAGAGAAGAAGAACAGACAGGTTGATGTCCTGGAGGCCCGGATAGAACAGAGGAAACTACAGGTGAGTGTTATATTCTCTTTCAGATTAAATCCTCCTTGGGGCACTTATTGCATTTTCCTGGCTCAAGAAAATCTACATGACATAGTTGTAACCATTTTCCTTAATAAAAATTGTTACCACACAAAAAACTTTGTTTTTGTATGATATACGTCCACCCTTATGGTGCCTCACCCTCCACGGCGCGTCACGCCAAGGGAAGCAACTCTCACCCAAATCACTTTCCTTATGTCATCTGACAAAGACAGACGTGCTGTTTTTTTCAAGACAATATAAAGACAAGATTATCGTTCGTACAAGAACCATGGCAGACCAAACTGTATGTATGGTACATTTCTTTCATGCAAAGGCGTAATACCTCGCATTGTAAAGTTATAAAGTTGTAATTATGTGACACGTGTACGATACCTTTGAAATAAGGCCGTCGTAGCGTCCATTTTGTAGTGCCACGTATGATATATGTAACACCAGGGCCATCAAAAAAACGGCTTCGGTTTTTTAATCTATATCATCGGGCTTTAGCCTACAATCTTTTCCTTTAAATAAACCCAAGGTGGTGTGTTAATTATTTTAAATTACACTTACCTTTTTTACGGGTTTTCTACACCTTCGCGCGTAACACGCCCACTTTGGTGTTATAATTATACTACGACATTGGCTATTAGTATCGCGTTACCAATCGCATTCTAAATTACGCCTTTGCTTCTAGTTACACAATTTATGCACGTATCTTTCCGATCTTTCAATCGCACTGATACACTTTATTACCCTTCCCGCCAAACTCAAAAATTACGGTCTTTTTTACAGACCTTCAAACTGTGTACGGGGTGCTCGGCTTCGATTCCCCCCCAAGACAGGCATGATACCTGCATAAAGTGTTTGGCCGAAGACGGGCATGACGATGGGTCATGCCCGATCTGTGTTGCATTTACACCACGGGCGCAAAAAAAGAGAAATGTGGACCTCTTACACTTTAAGGGTCTATTGAAGGCGGGGGTGGACATTAGATCGGCAAAGACCGCCCCGCCCCCCTCAAAAAAAGTAAGAAAGGGTAAAAAGGCAGCTGAGACTGTCTCCTCCGCTCCCTCCCCGGGGGCCGGGGGAGAAGGCTCTAGGGTCCCCGTCACAATCACTGCACCCTCTCCTGCACCGTCTTTGGCAGACATCTCTGCCTTGTTGAGGTCGCAGATGGCGTCGATGATGGAGGAGGTAAAGTCTCAGCTCCGAGAGGAGTTGCGGACCGAGCCTTCCCCGTTGTCGGCGCCGGACGCGGCTTCGAGACCTTGTGATATGCCCGGCGTCGGCCGAGGCAGGCCACTTGGTCTCGGGGACGAACTCAGACCGGGCTTCGGCGCCGGCTCGAGGTCGCTCCCCAGCGGAGGGGTGGCGGGCACTGGCCCGTTCACTACCGACGCACAGTTCTCCCTAGCGGAGCCAGACGCCTCTTCCGAGGCCGAGGCTTCCTCTAGCGGATTTCTAGCCCAGAGCCAGGTGGGTTCCCTTGAACCCCCGGCACCTCGGGACCGGGACTCGGCGTCGGGCCGGGTGCAGCCCGGGGATGCGAAGGCCCAGGCCTTCGGGCGTCCCCTTCCGACTTCGTCTGCCTCTTCTCTCGGGGAAGAGTCGATTAATTTCGGCTCGGAATCGAGAGAGGAGGAGTGGATGGAGGAGGGGGGAGACGACTCGGAGACCTCGGGAATATTTTCCTTCGTTTCCTCGTTGAGGCATGTACGGGACAAAATTGTCCAGGTACTGCCTCAGGTGGCTGCGCCCATGCCCCAGTCGGATCCGACTGAGTTCCGCCTTCCGGGGGACGCTTTTGCTCCGAGCAAGGCGCCCCAGGTGCGGCTCCGTATTCTGTCTTCATTGGTGCATGAAGTCATCAACCCTCTGTTGTCGGGTGCCCGCAGGAAGTTCGACCTGCCCGAACTTATTAAGCGGTACCCGTTAGCAGAGGATGGTGATTTTGAGGTACCGGTGGTGGACGAATGCGTCTGGACCTCCGTTACCCTGGGGGGGTCTTCGACCCCCAACTTGGCTAAGGTCAAGCAGGGCCGGCGGTTGCCACCCTTTCCCGCGTGCGGTACGGAGCTGAAGGCTGCTTACGTTTGCTTCGAGGAGCAATATCGTAACGCATGTCAGCAGCTCCGGGTGTCCGTACACTCCGCTTATCTGTCGGCCGTACAGAGGGAGTTAGCGGGAGAGGGGCCGGCCGACTCTTCGGAGTTGGCCGCGCAACTGACGGAGGTACATAGTCATCTTGCGAGGGACGCTATTCGTAGCTGTGCCTCGCAGATGATGTGCGCAGTCATGGGCATGCGCAGGCTGTGGATGTCGGTATCCAAATACTCGGCTTCCACACGCCAGGATCTACTTGCTTTGCCTTATAAGATGGGTGCCACCCTCTTCCCTGGGGCTCAGCAGGTGGTCCGAGAGGCCGCACAGTTGTATGCCTCCATCAAGGATTCTAAGGCCTTGTTGGAGGTACCATGCGTTAAACCGCGTAAGCGGACCTCTCCACTTGCTTCCTCCTACGCTGACGCGCCGGGTCAGAAGTCTGCACCTGCTTGGAAGCAGCCGCTTCCTTCAGGTAAGGGCGCCGGGAGGAGCAAGAGAGGCAGGGGCCGGGGCAGGGCAGCTGGTCGAGGCCAGCAGCCTTTTCGCGGGGCCGGGAACCCATCGGGTTCCCATTAGCGCCCGAAGCGCCCCGGGCGGACCCACGGTCGCATGTTTTCGAACTGCCGACAGCCGGGGTCTGCTGCCTCAAGCCGGATGTCCCCGTAGGCGGCCGACTGGCTCTATTCCTGCAGGAATGGGAGACAGTCACATCCAATCCCTGGACCCTGTCCACTCTAAGGGATGGCCATTTGCCTCGGTGGAAACATCATCCGCCCCCCTTCTCCGGGATAAAGCACACTCCGGTGCCTGCTACCCTGGAGAGGGCGGAATTCCTCCGTGCCGAGGTCGACGCACTTCTTATGAAGGCTGCGATCGAACCGGTTCCCGTGGGACAGGAAAGCGAGGGCTTCTACTCGACATATTTCCTAGTCACCAAAAAAGACGGAGGGTTCAGGCCTATTCTCAATCTGAGAAGGCTGAACAAACTTATAGAGGTACCGTCCTTCAGGATGGAGACACTGCGCTCGGTGATCTCAGCTGTCGAGACCGGAGAATGGCTAACGTCAATAGACCTAAAAGACGCCTATCTCCACGTACCCATACACCCCGAGTTCAAGAAATACCTCAGGTTTTCTTTCGACGGGAGGTGTTATCAGTTCAGGGTTCTACCATTCGGGATCGCTACGGCCCCGAGGGTGTTCACCAAGCTGATGTTGATTCCCGCCCAAGTGGCCAGGTCAAAAGGTCGGTTCTGCCATCCGTACCTCGACGACTGGTTACTAAGAGCTCTATCACAATCCCTGAGTCAGATAGCTACACAACAAGTGATAGATATTCTGATCACTCTAGGGTGGATAGTCAATCTCAAGAAGTCAGATCTGAGCCCTACTCAGAATCTAGTCTTCCTAGGGGCGAATTTCAACACGGTGAGCGGACTTGTATCTCTGTCACAAGATCGCATTACCAAGGTCAGAAGTGTTACTTCCCAGTTCCTTCTGTCCGCCAGTCACACTGCTCGTACATGGCTCCAGTTACTGGGCAACATGGCGGCGACAGTGGATGTGGTTTGGCGGGCGCGCTTGAGAATGAGACCCATTCAACAAGCGCTCCGTCGACTTTGGGTGAACTCGGAAGATCTCGAGACTGTTCTCGAGACTCCGCAGTGGCTCAATGCACACCTTCAGTGGTGGACCGAGGTCGGGAATCTGTCCCGGGGGCTCCCCCTCGACACTCCCGTGCCGTCTCTCACAGTTCAAACAGACGCGTCACTCTCCGGCTGGGGAGGCGTTCTGAACGATCACACTGCCTCGGGACTATGGTCCCAGCAGGAGATCAAACTGCATATCAATGTGCTAGAACTGAGAGCGGTCAGGTTGGTGTTCCAACGCTTCCTGGATCTGCTTCGTGGCCAAGTGGTGCGTCTAGAGATGGACAACCAAACGGCGATGACTTACATCCGGAAGCAGGGGGGAACGGTGTCTCCGTCGCTTCTCCAAGAGACGTGGCAGTTCCTCCTATGGTGCGACTCACACGTTATCAGGGTGCTACCTGTTTATCTCCCGGGGGTAGACAACGTCCGTGCGGACGCTCTGTCTCGCCGGATCCTCGCTCCTCACGAGTGGAGGCTCGACCCGGGGATATTCGGGATTATCTCCCAGTTATACGGGTCGTTCCAGGTGGATCTGTTTGCGTCTGGGGTGAATCACCAGACACCAACGAGGTCGGTGGCACCGGACGCCTTCCAGCTAGATTGGACGGACAGAATACTGTGGGCATTCCCCCCAGTACCTCTGATTTCCAAGGTCCTGTCTCAGCTAGCCACTCAGCCTGCGCGACTACTTGTGCTCCTGGCACCCCTTTGGTCGGCGCAGAGTTGGTTTCCAGTCATACTCAGGTTTCTGGCTCAGCCTCCTGTTCTATTACCTTTACGACCGGACCTCCTATCCCAGAACGAGGCCCTCCACCCGAATCCCAGGATTCAGTGGGTGGCTTGGCCACTGTCCGGAATCGCCTCCAGGAGAGCGGTATTCCTGCACGAGTTGCAGACACAATACTGGCTTCGCGGAGGGATTCGACAAACGTTCAGTACGAGGATAGATGGGCCTGCTATGCGCGCTGGTGTGTCGATAGAAGGATTGCAGATCCCTTTTCTGCAGATCTCGTAGCCGTACTTGAGTTCCTCCAGTCGCGACTAGATGTCGGCCTGGCCGCATCGACAGTCCGGGGGTACTCTACAGCTATCGCTGCCTTTCACGTCCCCGTCGACGGGGCACTTTTGGGTGCGCACCCATTAGTGCAGCGTTTTTTAGCAGGTGTGGACAGGATCCGACCGCCTGTCCGGCGGATCAGTCCCCCTTGGGAATTGTCAATCGTTCTTGATTGGCTGTCCGGTCCTTCTTTTCGGGATCTGTCGTCTCTCTCTCTTCAGCTGTTGAGCTGGAAGACGGCGTTCCTTGTGGCGGTAACGTCCGGCAGACGGGTAGGCGACATTCACGCAATGTCAGCCGATCCCGAACTAACTGTCTTTCACCGGGACAGGGTCAGTATTCGCCTGCCGGACTCTTACCGTCCTAAGGTCGCACACGCCTTCCACGTGACGGCTCCTATTGAGCTACCTGCTCTTTCACAGCCTTCCTCGTCGGGGACCACTACAAGACATGCTCATGTATTGGATGTCCGCAGGACCCTTAAGTCCTATATCAGCAGAACTAAGGGTATCCGTAAGGATAATCAACTATTTTGCTGTTATGGCGGTAGGAAGGCTGGCTCACCTGCGAGCAAACAAACTATCTCGCGGTGGATAGTCTCTACTATATGTACGGCGTACACGCTTCAAGGCAGGGACCCCCCTACCAAGTTGAAGGCTCATTCGGTTAGAGCAGTGGCTACGACACAAGCGTATGCTGCGGCTCTGCCCATTGAGGAGATCTGCTCCGCGGCTATTTGGAGCCAGCCGAGCACGTTCATCAAACATTACCAACTCGACAAACACTCAAGCGAGCGTGCTCGGTTTGGTCAGTCAGTTCTCCGAACTGGGCAAAGTACTACATCTCTAGCCGATTGAGCCTTCGAGATTTTAGACCGCCCGGACCGGTTATAACACTGCTCAGTAACGGTCCGGATTTTATCTTCTACGGTCGATACAATACCAGCCATTACTAGTCGATAATCATCGTAATTGCACATGCACTCCTTCGATTACGGGGACCCTCTGGCCTAGCTCTGTGCGGGTTTATAGTCTCTCGTGATCTGTGCCCCCAATATCACTTGTTCAAAAAAGTGGGTGGGGTGGGGGGTGTGTGTGTCTCGAGTTCTCGATATGATGAGCCACAAAGAATGGCTCTTTTCATTGTGTATGGTCGATAACGCCCTGTCTCCAGCCCCCGCCTTTCGACGGTGGTGCCTCACGATAAGGTTGGTTCCATTTATTGAACTCTTGTTTATTCATTGAAATAATCAAAATACGATGTATTTTATGCACGCTTGTTGCTGACGGATGCCACTTCCTAGATTATCTTTAGGAGTCTATCTTGATGCAATAAGTGCCCCAAGGAGGATTTAATCTTAAAGAGAATTTTACAAACCTGTAGAGGTTATGAATTCTCTGATGAAATCCTCCTTGGGGCACGGCCACCCGCCTCCCCACATTCCGTCAGCATTAGACATATGGAAAGTGATTTGGGTGAGAGTTGCTTCCCTTGGCGTGACGCGCCGTGGAGGGTGAGGCACCATAAGGGTGGACGTATATCATACAAAAACAAAGTTTTTTGTGTGGTAACAATTTTTATTAAGGAAAATGGTTACAACTATGTCATGTAGATTTTCTTGAGCCAGGAAAATGCAATAAGTGCCCCAAGGAGGATTTCATCAGAGAATTCATAACCTCTACAGGTTTGTAAAATTCGTAGAGAAATGAAAATTGGAACTTTGGTTGAGGTTGTTGGCAATTCCTTGAGGTTGAGAATGTTGAGCTTCATACTTGATTTGTATGAGTTAAGTTTACATTCATGCTACAATTAAAAGTCCTGTCAGTGATTTTTTGAATGGCTTGGAATAGCTTAGGAGAGAAGTCTGTTGTCCCCATGACATTGTGAGCTGTGTATAGCTGAGGAGAGACATGACATTGTGAGCTGTGTATTTGCAGGGTGATTATGATCCGTCCAAGACGAAGGTCGTCCACTTTACTATGAACCCGGCTGAAATCGCTCAGAGGCACCGAGAGGAGGAGATGAAAAGGTTGCAAGACGAGAATGACAAACTAAAACAGAGGCTGAAGTTATTGGAGGAGTCTGGAGGCTCGGTGGACGATTTGACTCAGAAGGTGGAGAAGAAACTGCAGGAGCCAGATGTCAGCAAGGAGGTGGAAGGTGGGCCAACGGAGTCAGATGGTGGAGTGTGAGATGGTGGAGTGTGTGAGATGGTGGAGTGTGTGAGATGGTGGAGCGTGTGAGATGGTGGAGTGTGTGAGATGATGGAGATGATGGAGTGTGTGAGATGATGGAGTGTGTCAGATGGTGGAGTGTGTGAGATGATGGAGTGTGTGAGATGATGGTGTGTGTGAGATGATGGAGTGTGTCAGATGGTGGAGTGTGTGAGATGATGGAGTGTGTGAGATGATGGAGTGTGTGAGATGATGGAGTGTGTGAGATGATTGAGTGTGTCAGATGGTGGAGTGTGTCAGATGGTGGAGCTTGTCAGGTGGTGGAGCGTGTGAGATGATGGAGATGATGGAGCGTGTGAGATGATGGAGCGTGTCAGGTGATGGAGTGTGTGAGATGATGGAGTGTGTCAGATGGTGGAGTGTGTGAGATGGTGGAGCGTGTGAGATGGTGGAGTGTGTCAGATGGTGGAGTGTGTCAGATGGTGGAGCGTGTCAGGTGGTGGAGGGTGTCAGGTGATGGAGTGTGTCAGGTGATGGAGCGTGTCAGGTGATGGAGTGTGTCAGGTGATGGTGCGTGTCAGGTGATGGAGTGTGTGAGATGATGGAGCGTGTCAGGTGATGGTGCGTGTGAGATGATGGAGCGTGTCAGGTGATGGAGCGTGTGAGATGATGGAGCGTGTCAGGTGATGGAGCGTGTGAGATGGTGGAGCGTGTGAGATGATGGAGCAAGTCAGGTGGTGGAGCGTGTCAGGTGATGGTGCGTGTCAGGTGATGGAGTGTGTCAGGTGATGGAGTGTGTCAGGTGATGGTGCGTGTCAGGTGATGGAGTGTGTCAGGTGGTGGAGCGTGTGAGATGATGGAGCGTGTGAGATGATGGAGCGTGTGAGATGATGGAGCGTGTGAGATGATGGTGCGTGTCAGGTGATGGAGTGTGTCAGATGGTGGAGCGTGTCAGATGGTGGAGCGTGTGAGATGATGGAGCGTGTGAGATGATGGAGTGTGTGAGATGATGGTGCGTGTGAGATGATGGTGCGTGTCAGGTGATGGAGTGTGTCAGATGGTGGAGCGTGTCAGATGGTGGAGCGTGTGAGATGATGGAGCGTGTGAGATGATGGTGCGTGTGAGATGATGGTGCGTGTCAGGTGATGGAGTGTGTCAGATGGTGGAGCGTGTCAGATGGTGGAGCGTGTGAGATGATGGAGCGTGTGAGATGATGGAGCGTGTGAGATGATGGAGTGTGTCAGGTGATGGTGTGTGTCAGGTGTTGGAGTGTGTCAGGTGGTGGAGCGTGTGAGATGATGGAGTGTGTGAGATGATGGAGCGTGTGAGGTGATGGAGTGTGTCAGGTGATGGTGTGTGTCAGGTGTTGGAGTGTGTCAGGTGGTGGAGCGTGTGAGATGATGGAGCGTGTGAGATGATGGAGCTTGTGAGGTGATGGAGCGTGTGAGATGATGGAGTGTGTGAGATGATGGAGTGTGTGAGATGATGGAGTGTGTCAGGTGATGGTGTGTGTCAGGTGTTGGAGTGTGTCAGGTGGTGGAGCGTGTGAGATGATGGAGCGTGTGAGATGATGGAGTGTGTGAGGTGATGGAGCGTGTCAGGTGATGGTGCGTGTCAGGTGATGGAGTGTGTCAGGTGGTGGAGCGTGTGAGATGATGGAGCGTGTCAGATGATGGAGCGTGTGAGATGATGGAGCGTGTGAGATGATGGAGCAAGTCAGGTGATGGTGCGTGTCAGGTGATGGAGGGTGTCAGGTGATGGAGCGTGTGAGATGATGGAGCGTGTGAGATGATGGAGCGTGTCAGGTGATGGAGCGTGTCAGGTGATGGAGTGTGTCAGGTGGTGGAGCGTGTCAGGTGATGGAGTGTGTGAGATGATGGAGTGTGTCAGATGGTGGAGCGTGTCAGGTGATGGAGTGTGTGAGATGATGGAGTGTGTGAGATGATGGAGCGTTTGAGATGATGGAGCGTGTGAGATGATGGAGCGTGTCAGGTGATGGAGCGTGTCAGGTGATGGAGTGTGTGAGATGATGGAGTGTGTGAGATGATGGAGCGTTTGAGATGATGGAGCGTGTGAGATGATGGAGCGTGTCAGGTGATGGAGCGTGTCAGGTGATGGAGTGTGTGAGATGATGGAGTGTGTGAGATGATGGAGCGTGTCAGGTGATGGAGTGTGTGAGATGATGGAGCGTTTGAGATGATGGAGCGTGTCAGATGGTGGAGCGTGTCAGGTGATGGAGTGTGTGAGATGATGGAGTGTGTGAGATGATGGAGCGTGTCAGATGGTGGAGCGTGTCAGGTGATGGAGTGTGTGAGATGATGGAGTGTGTGAGATGATGGAGCGTTTGAGATGATGGAGCGTGTGAGATGATGGAGCGTGTCAGGTGATGGAGCGTGTCAGGTGATGGAGTGTGTGAGATGATGGAGCGTTTGAGATGATGGAGCGTGTCAGATGGTGGAGCGTGTCAGATGGTGGAGCGTGTGAGATGATGGAGCGTGTGAGATGATGGTGCGTGTGAGATGATGGTGCGTGTCAGGTGATGGAGTGTGTCAGATGGTGGAGCGTGTCAGATGGTGGAGCGTGTGAGATGATGGAGCGTGTGAGATGATGGAGTGTGTGAGATGATGGAGTGTGTCAGGTGATGGTGTGTGTCAGGTGTTGGAGTGTGTCAGGTGGTGGAGCGTGTGAGATGATGGAGTGTGTGAGATGATGGAGCGTGTGAGGTGATGGAGTGTGTCAGGTGATGGTGTGTGTCAGGTGTTGGAGTGTGTCAGGTGGAGGAGCGTGTGAGATGATGGAGCGTGTGAGATGATGGAGCGTGTGAGGTGATGGAGCGTGTGAGATGATGGAGTGTGTGAGATGATGGAGTGTGTGAGATGATGGAGTGTGTCAGGTGATGGTGTGTGTCAGGTGTTGGAGTGTGTCAGGTGGTGGAGCGTGTGAGATGATGGAGCGTGTGAGATGATGGAGTGTGTGAGGTGATGGAGCGTGTCAGGTGATGGTGCGTGTCAGGTGATGGAGTGTGTCAGGTGGTGGAGCGTGTGAGATGATGGAGCGTGTCAGATGATGGAGCGTGTGAGATGATGGAGCGTGTGAGATGATGGAGCAAGTCAGGTGATGGTGCGTGTCAGGTGATGGAGGGTGTCAGGTGATGGAGCGTGTGAGATGATGGAGCGTGTGAGATGATGGAGCGTGTCAGGTGATGGAGCGTGTCAGGTGATGGAGTGTGTCAGGTGGTGGAGCGTGTCAGGTGATGGAGTGTGTGAGATGATGGAGTGTGTCAGATGGTGGAGCATGTCAGGTGATGGAGTGTGTGAGATGATGGAGTGTGTGAGATGATGGAGCGTTTGAGATGATGGAGCGTGTGAGATGATGGAGCGTGTGAGATGATGGAGCGTGTCAGGTGATGGAGCGTGTCAGGTGATGGAGTGTGTGAGATGATGGAGTGTGTGAGATGATGGAGCGTGTCAGGTGATGGAGTGTGTGAGATGATGGAGCGTTTGAGATGATGGAGCGTGTCAGATGGTGGAGCGTGTCAGGTGATGGAGTGTGTGAGATGATGGAGTGTGTGAGATGATGGAGCGTGTCAGATGGTGGAGCGTGTCAGGTGATGGAGTGTGTGAGATGATGGAGTGTGTGAGATGATGGAGCGTTTGAGATGATGGAGCGTGTGAGATGATGGAGCGTGTCAGGTGATGGAGCGTGTCAGGTGATGGAGTGTGTGAGATGATGGAGTGTGTGAGATGATGGAGCGTTTGAGATGATGGAGCGTGTCAGATGGTGGAGCGTGTCAGATGGTGGAGCGTGTCAGGTGATGGAGTGTGTGAGATGATGGAGTGTGTGAGATGATGGAGCGTTTGAGATGATGGAGCGTTTGAGATGATGGAGCGTGTCAGATGGTGGAGCGTGTCAGGTGATGGAGTGTGTGAGATGATGGAGCGTGTCAGGTGATGGAGCGTGTCAGGTGATGGAGTGTGTGAGATGATGGAGTGTGTCAGGTGATGGAGCGTGTCAGGTGATGGAGTGTGTGAGATGATGGAGTGTGTGAGATGATGGAGTGTGTGAGATGATGGAGTGTGTCAGGTGATGGAGCGTGTCAGGTGATGGAGTGTGTGAGATGATGGAGTGTGTGAGATGATGGAGTGTGTGAGATGATGGAGCGTGTCAGGTGATGGAGCGTGTCAGGTGATGGAGTGTGTGAGATGATGGAGTGTGTGAGATGATGGAGCGTGTCAGGTGATGGAGTGTGTGAGATGATGGAGCGTGTCAGATGGTGGAGCGTGTCAGGTGATGGAGCGTGTCAGGTGATGGAGTGTGTCAGGTGATGGAGTGTGTGAGGTGATGGAGTGTGTGAGATGATGGAGCGTGTCAGGTGATGGAGTGTGTCAGGTGATGGAGCGTGTCAGGTGATGGAGCGTGTCAGGTGATGGAGTGTGTGAGATGATGGAGCGTTTGAGATGATGGAGCGTTTGAGATGATGGAGCGTGTGAGATGGTGGAGCGTGTCAGGTGATGGAGTGTGTGAGATGATGGAGCGTGTCAGATGGTGGAGCGTGTCAGGTGATGGAGTGTGTGAGATGATGGAGCGTGTCAGGTGATGGAGCGTGTCAGGTGATGGAGCGTTTGAGATGATGGAGCGTGTCAGATGGTGGAGCGTGTCAGGTGATGGAGTGTGTGAGATGATGGAGCGTGTGAGATGATGGAGCGTGTGAGATGATGGAGTGTGTTAGGTGATGGAGTGTGTCAGATTGTGGAGTGTGTGAGATGATGGAGTGTGTCAGATGATGGAGTGTGTCAGGTGGTGGAGTGTGTGAGATGATGGAGTGTGTGAGATGGTGGAGTGTGTGAGATGGTGGAGTGTGTGAGATGATGGAGCGTGTCAGATGATGGAGTGTGTGAGATGGTGGAGTGTGTGAGATGATGGAGTGTGTGAGATGATTGAGTGTGTGAGATGATTGAGTGTGTGAGATGATTGAGTGTGTCAGATGGTGGAGTGTGTCAGGTGGTGGAGCGTGTGAGATGATGGAGATGATGGAGCGCGTGAGATGGTGGAGCGTGTGAGATGATGGAGCGCGTGAGATGGTGGAGTGTGTCAGGTGATGGAGTGTGTGAGATGGTGGAGAGTGTGAGATGATGGAGTGTGTGAGATGATTGAGTGTGTGAGATGATTGAGTGTGTGAGATGATTGAGTGTGTCAGATGGTGGAGTGTGTCAGGTGGTGGAGCGTGTGAGATGATGGAGATGATGGAGCGTGAGATGATGGAGCGCGTGAGATGGTGGAGCGTGTGAGATGATGGAGCGCGTGAGATGGTGGAGTGTGTCAGGTGATGGAGTGTGTGAGATGGTGGAGAGTGTGAGATGATGGAGTGTGTGAGATGGTGGAGTGTGTGAGATGATGGAGTGTGTGAGATGATGGAGCGTGTGAGATGATGGAGTGTGTCAGGTGATGGAGCGTGTGAGATGGTGGAGAGTGTGAGATGGTGGAGTGTGTCAGATGGTGGAGCGTGTCAGGTGATGGAGCGTGTGAAATGATGGAGTGTGTGAGATGATGGAGCGTTTGAGATGATGGAGCGTGTCAGGTGATGGAGCGTGTGAGATGGTGGAGTGTGTCAGATGGTGGAGCGTGTCAGGTGATGGAGTGTGTGAGATGATGGAGTGTGTGAGATGATGGAGCGTGTCAGATTGTGGAGCGTGTGAGATGATGGAGTGTGTCAGGTGGTGGAGTGTGTGAGATGATGGAGTGTGTGAGATGATGGAGCGTGTCAGGTGATGGAGTGTGGCAGGTGATGGTGCGTGGCAGGTGATGGAGTGTGTTAGATGGTGGAGTGTGTGAGATGATGGAGTGTGTGAGATGGTGGAGTGTGTGTGATGATGGAGCGTGTGAGATGATGGTGCGTGTGAGATGATGGAGTGTGTCAGGTGATGGAGTGTGGCAGGTGATGGTGCGTGGCAGGTGATGGAGTGTGTTAGATGGTGGAGTGTGTGAGATGATGGAGCGTGTGAGATGATGGAGCGTGTCAGGTGATGGTGCGTGTGAGATGATGGTGCGTGTGAGATGATGGAGCGTGTGAGATGATGGAGTGTGTCAGGTGGTGGAGTGTGTCAGATGATGGAGCGTGTCAGATTGTGGAGCGTGTGAGATGATGGAGTGTGTCAGGTGGTGGAGTGTGTGAGATGATGGAGTGTGTGAGATGATGGAGCGTGTCAGGTGATGGAGTGTGGCAGGTGATGGTGCGTGGCAGGTGATGGAGTGTGTTAGATGGTGGAGTGTGTGAGATGATGGAGTGTGTGAGATGGTGGAGTGTGTGTGATGATGGAGCGTGTGAGATGATGGAGTGTGTCAGGTGGTGGAGTGTGTGAGATGATGGAACGTGTGAGATGATGGAGTGTGTGAGATGATGGAGCGTGTGAGATGATGGAGTGTGTCAGGTGGTGGAGCGTGTGAGATGATGGAACGTGTGAGATGATGGAGCGTGTGAGATGATGGAGTGTGTGAGATGATGGAACGTGTGAGATGATGGAGTGTGTGAGATGGTGGAGCGTGTGAGATGGTGGAGTGTGTGAGATGATGGAGCGTGTGAGATGATGGTGCGTGTCAGGTGATTGAGTGTGTCAGATGATGGAGCGTGTGAGATGATGGAGTGTGTCAGGTGGTGGAGTGTGTGAGATGATGGAACGTGTGAGATGATGGAGTGTGTGAAATGATGGAGCGTGTGAGATGATGGAGTGTGTGAGATGATGGAACGTGTGAGATGATGGAGTGTGTCAGATGGTGGAGTGTGTGAGATGATGGAGCGTGTGAGATGATGGTGCGTGTCAGATGGTGGAGCGTGTCAGGTGATGGTGCGTGTCAGGTGATGGAGTGTGTCAGATGATGGAGCGTGTGAGATGATGGAGTGTGTGAGATGATGGAGCGTGTCAGATGGTGGAGTGTGAGAGATGGTGGAGCGTGTCAGATGGTGGAGTGTGTCAGGTGGTGGAGTGTGTGAGATAGTGGAGTGTGTCAGATGATGGAGCGTGTGAGATGATGGAGTGTGTGAGATGGTGGAGTGTGTGAGATGGTGGAGTGTGTCAGATGGTGGAGTGTGTCAGATGGTGGAGTGTGTGAGATGATGGAGTGTGTCAGATATTGGAGTGTGTGAGATGGTGGAGTGTGTGAGATGGTGGAGTGTGTGAGATGGTGGAGAGTGTGAGATGGTGGAGTGTGTCAGGTGATGGAGTGTGTCAGATATTGGAGTGTGTGAGATGGTGGAGTGTGTCAGATGGTGGAGTGTGTGAGATGGTGGAGAGTGTGAGATGGTGGAGTGTGTCAGATATTGGAGTGTGTGAGATGGTGGAGTGTGTGAGATGGTGGAGTGTGAGAGATGGTGGATTGTGTCAGATCATGTGAGATGGTGGATTGTGTCAGATCATGTGAGATGGTGGATTGTGTCAGATCATGTGAGATGGTGGATTGTGTCAGATCATGTCAGATGGTGTCATATGGTGGATTGTGTCAGATCATGTGAGATGGTGGATTGTGTCAGATCATGTGAGATTGTGGATTGTGTCAGATCATGTGAGATGGTGGATTGTGTCAGATCATGTCAGATGGTGTCATATGGTGGATTGTGTCAGATCATGTGAGATGGTGGATTGTGTCAGATCATGTGAGATGGTGGATTGTGTCAGATCATGTGAGATGGTGGATTGTGTCAGATCATGTCAGATGGTGTCATATGGTGGATTGTGTCAGATCATGTGAGATGGTGGATTGTGTCAGATCATGTCAGATGGTGGATTGTGTCAGATGGTGTCATATGGTGGATTGTGTCAGATCATGTCAGATGGTGTCATATGGTGGATTGTGTCATGGTGAATCTTGGTTCGGTCAGAATGTCACTGTAACCGTTGCCGTATTGTGTTTGTATTTTAAGACCACAAGGTGTTTTCACATCTCAAGAATATCATTAAGTATAGCTCTGTAGAATTGTTTTGGTCATTCATGTTGAGTCAAGGTCATCCCCAAGGTCATGGCACATACTGCATTACCAGTAAAGTAGCTCAAGGCATTGAACTATAGTTGTGTGCATGTCTATTAACAACCTGGAACTGATCCCATTAGATCTTAATTAGAGTAGCGAAAGTCATGGGACTTATGTTTCTCAGGCTGTGAGGAAATGGCAGTGAATGGGCTGCTGTTGTTGTAAGTACTTGCAACAAAGACACTCTTGGGTTCACTGCTGTGCACCTTTGTTTCTACAAGGTTCATGAAGTATCCTATCTCCTTCTCAGAGCTGAAGAGCCAGCTGGCAGATTATTGGGGAGGTCAAGATGTTTCATATGGTGTCAGAGCTGAAGAGCCAGCTGGCAGATTATTGGGGAGGTCAAGATGTTTCATATGGTGTCAGAGCTGAAGAGCCAGCTGGCAGATTATTGGGGAGGTCAAGATGTTTCATATGGTGTCAGAGCTGAAGAGCCAGCTGGCAGATTATTGGGGAGGTCAAGATGTTTCACATGGTGTTAGAGCTGAAGAGCCAGCTGGCAGATTATTGGGGAGGTCAAGATGTTTCACATGGTGTTAGAGCTGAAGAGCCAGCTGGCAGATTATTGGGGAGGTCAAGATGTTTCACATGGTGTTAGAGCTGAAGAGCCAGCTGGCAGATTATTGGGGAGGTCAAAATGTTTCACATGGTGTTTTCTATCTCCTTTCCCTCAGAGCTGAAGAGCCAGCTGGCAGATTATTGGGGAGGTCAAAATGTTTCACATGGTGTTTTCTATCTCCTTTCTCTCAGAACTGAAGAGCCAGCTGACCCGGGAAGAGCTACGCAACAAGCGACTGATGGAGGCGTTCAAGAAGACGAGCCAGGAGTTCCGTGAGGTGTGCTACCAGCTGACGGGCTACAAGATCGACATCCCCTGTGCCAGTCAGTACCGGCTGACAAACATGTATGCCGACTCCCCACAGGACTACCTGTTGTTTGCTGTGAGTAGAGGGCAGCTCTGGACGCAGCTCGTGTGGCTGTGTCGTTCATGTTCATTTGTAAATGTAAAATCTGATTATCTGATTAGAGTTGTGTAAATACATTGTAGCTTCGGGATGTATCAAAATACTCGTGCTTGATATAAATACAATCTATATTTTCTAATGTACAAAGAGGACAGAATCTATATATACTACTCAAAAGATGTTAAAGAAAACCCCCTTTTTTTTCATGACAGTAGTTAATCTGTCAATAGGTGTTCTTTAACTTCTTTTGGGTATTATATATATCAAATTAATTTAGAATTAGCTGTATATAGTTTTGTAGCATGAGATAAATATATTGGTAGTGTGGTATTGAGGGTTGAGTTGAGTGACACCACACAAGTTGACGGATGTGGACATTAACACGGAGACGTTTCCTCCACAGCATGGCTCCTCTGGGGAGACGCAGATGCTACAAACGGCTTTCTCCGAGACTGTGCAGGACCTGATTGACCTTTACCTTGCAAAACAGGACAGTATCCCAGCATTCCTCAGTAGCGTCACACTTCAGCTGTTGGGGAGTCGAACGATGTGTGTAGATTGAATGTACCTCCAAAGTGAGGGTTTTAATGTCAAGGTGTGTACCTCTAAAGTGAGGGTTTTAATGTCAAGTTGTCCTCTTGGACGTTGGTGACAGAGATGCTTCTCCTTGCAACGAACACTTACCACTGCAGAAAAAAATTCAAGATTCCAATGGACCACTGATGCACATGATGGCAGAGAGAAATCTACAGTTCATGACAAAATTATCAAGTGAAACGCAATATACAGCGATGAAATTATCATGGTGCAGAAACCAAATCTGCTGAGGTTTATCTAATCACTAAATATGTGACTGTCTGGTAGGCAAATAAATGCTGACTAGGTCTGCTTCCCTTGAAGAGTATCAGCTCATTGGATCTGTGAACTCCAAATGTGGATGGCTGTCCTGCTGTAGGACAGGGGGATGTGTGGCTCAACGGCACGGTGCCACTGCACATCCTTGTAAGGATGAAGCAACATGGGAAGCTGCCGACGTAACCATTGGAAACAGTTGTTATTGTGTACAGAAACTGTTGATATTGATGTTGTTTTTTTAAGAAGACAATAAAGATCATACATGTAAACTTTGTTTACATTCTCTTTAATTAATACATGCCGTATGGTGGCACACAGTCGCCCAGATGGGAGGGGACGCCTAGAGCTTTCATTCTCATGGGGATCACATGTTGCCTTGTTGTTTTACCTGGTGTACCTGGATAGATTATTGGGGGGTCTAGTTTCACATGGCTTACCTGGATGAGTATTGGATTTAAGATGGTTCAAATGGTGTACCGGGACAGAATATTGGGAGTCGAGATGTTTCAAATGGTGTACCGGGACAGAATATTGGGAGTTGAGATGTTTCAAATGGTGTACCGGGACAGAATATTGGGAGTCTAGATGTTTCAAATGGTGTACCGGGACAGAATATTGGGAGTCGAGATGTTTCACATTGTGTTCCTGGATAGATATTTGGTGTCTAGATGTTTCACATGGCTTACCTAGAGGATTATTGGGGTCTAGATGTTTCACATCGCGTACCTAGAGGATTACTGGGGTCTAGATGTTTCAAATGGCGTACCTGGATAGATTATTGGGGGTCTAGACATTTCACATGGCATATCTGAAGGATTATTGGGGTCTAGATGTTTCACATGGCGTACCTGGAGGATTATTGGGGTCTAGATGTTTCACATCGCGTACCTCGATAGATTATTGGGGGTCTAGATGTTTCACATGGCGTACCTGGAGGATTATTGGGGTCGTGATGTTTCACATGGCGTACCTGAAGGAATATTGGGGTCGTGATGTTTCACATGGCGTACCTGAAGGAATATTGGGGTCGTGATGTTTCACATTGAGTACCTGGAGGATTATTGGGGTCTAGATGTTTCACATGGCGTACCTGGAGGATTATTAAGGTCCAGACATTTCACATGGCGTACTTAGAGGATTATTGGTGTCTAGATGTTTCACATGGGGTACCTAGAGGATTATTGGGGTCTAGATGTTTCACATGATGTACCTGGATAGATTATTGGGGGTCTAGTTTCACATGATGTACCTGAGGGATTATTGGGGGTCTAGACGTTTCACATGGCATACCTGGAGGATTATTGGGGTGTTATCTAGATGTTAGGGGTGAAACGATACTTGGGTGCACATGCAACAGTAAGATACACAATACATTGTTTTCAGTATCAACTACTCGTTTGATGACCCCCTCCCCAGCATTTTTGTCTGTCAAATATTGCAAAATGTGTTATGATTAGCTTTTCAAGTTCACTACTTAACATAGCCTTTAAACATGTGTCTACAGCAACCTTTTCCTTTGGATCCTGCTCTGAAATATTTATGGTCAAGAAGTTTCAATGTGATTTGATGTAAATATGGGCATCGTATCCCACGTATTGTGATATGTATCGTATAGTGACCTTCCTGTATCGTTTCACCCCTGCTAGATGTTTCACATGGCTTACCTGGAGGATTACTGTGGAACCTGATCTCAATCTTTCGCATTTCCTGAAGTTTGATTACACTCTTAGTCCCTTTATTTCGACTTTCAAGGATCAGGGGTTCAAATCCCAGATAATATTTCTAGGTGGGCCAGCTAAAGTGGCAAACATCTAACACCTGCCCTGCTTCAAGCTTTCCTACCACAGGAGCTGACATGCAATTTCTCACTGAAATACTTGAATCAGAAGCATGATGTGGTGTTTTCAGCATTCTCTGGAATCACTGTAAATTAAGGAACATATGTTCACCAAAATGAATAACAACAGACTCCTTTTCACAAACAATTTTGCCAGACTTTATTCGACAATATATTTCTATATAGTGCTACACAAAGTGCAGATGTCAAAAGACAGGATTTCCTTATGTCATTAATGCAGTATAATGCTGTAAGGTCAGCGTATCAAGGTGTGTTCCTTTGTGTGTGTAGAGCAACACTGTTGGCAGAAAAAATTACATGTATTTGAGCAAAACCATTGTTAAATAATCTCCTTATCTAACAGATTCACTGACGGTAAAGCTTATTGCATAACCAGTGCTCCACAATCACACTTATCACTTTGGAAATGGTGTGGAATTGTTCAAGTGCTAAAATTGATTGAATCTGGTATGAACTTACAAGTAATATATATGCGTTTTTGATTTATGAGACAATATCACAGGGGTTGAATTGGATTATTTTGATGTAAGCTCTAACCTTACTGAGTGAAATGATGTCGTAGGAATGTAAGCGTATTAGAAAAATGTAATGTCGTAAACATACCATCACTGATGTACTTTATCCAGAAGTGCTGTCGGAGATAAGAAATGTGAAGCACACAACAACATTTAGTACTTTGTGAATGTGTGTCCTGGGATGTTGCAAGAAGTATTGCAGAAAACATAGTGTAATAAATCCACAATGCCTGAAAAATCTCATTTTGGCAGTCTGACTTCAATATGGCCGAGGCGAACAGTATCAGCTTCACAGTCACAACCAATGAGCTTCTTTGGTCAAATGACACATCACAGTGACCAACTCAAGCAAACATTTCCTTCCACAAACTCCATCTCACTACTAGTCAATGAGTACCTTTGAATTTCATGTCAGCTTTTGTCATGCCCCTTGATCAAGTCGATGCCTTCACAAACAAAGCCCATCATTTCATCCCTTTTTTATGTCAAATGTACAATTACTGGTTGACAAAAACAATCAGGCTGTAATATATACTTCAAATGAAACTGCCAAAGTGCCAATCAGGACCAGTTTATGTAGTGTTGAGATATTAATACGATTTAGAAAAATGCCATGTTGGACATTGTGTAGTCTTTGATAGGCATTTAGAAGCTGGGAGATTTGAGAGGCATTTAGAAGTTGGGAGAACATGAATACTTTATTCTTTGTATGACGTTTCAGCAAGAAGTAGCTCTAAAACGTCGTACAAAGAATATAAGAAGTTGCTATCCATAAAAGCGGCATGAATTCTTGGACATTGTGATCGGTGATTGATTTCAGGGGGAGTGTACTGCGGGCGTGCAGATTGCCAATGTACAAGCTACTGAGAAGACAAAAACAATTATTCACATAAATCACATCACTGAACAAGCAATCACTTAAGTAGCCAGCAATATACATGTCAATATCACATTACTCTCTACTGAGAAATTAAAACTTGACATCTGAACTGTCACAGATTCCAGCTCATCTACAGCTCTTCCTCCACTGACCTCATTTCCTGGATTATGACAAAACATTGTAGAACACTGGACAACAGAGACAGCAACAACATTTGTTGGATCAGTTCCGCACTGTAAGAGGTGATCTAATGCATGAATAATGTTAAAATCAGAGCTAATTAGAATAGCATCAACAAAGATCAGTTGGGGAACATATTGCACGGGTTTTCATAGAGGGACCATCTCAAACTATCAGTTCGTCTCATGGAGGCATATCATGTACACCTCCAACTTTTGTGTCAATTTATTTTAGCTCCTACTGAGATTTTAAACATCTGTCCTACAACCATGCTCATCGGTGCAGTAGGCTTCCTTGTCAGTGAACACATTGATACACTCCAAATATGACTTGCCATAGCTTCAGATGGCCCCTGATCAACAGGTGAGCAAACAGAGGCAGGGTAAATGCTGCACATTACGTCACACATATCACAACATGAGAACAAAAATATATTCTTTCATGTACTTCTTCATATATTGTGGCAGGAGAGTAGCTTGGATAAGTCCGATCACATCGCGGGGTCACGGAGTCGGTGTTATGCAGTCCAAATCCTTCATTTTAGGGCGGTGGGTTAGGCTCGTGTTGAAAGCATTTGCTCGTCATGCTCAAGGCCCGGGTTCAATTCATGGGTAAAATGGGTGAAGCCTATTTCTGGCTTCTGGCGTCTACCATAACCCTCCCCCCGTCATATTGCAACAATATTGCTAAGAGCGGCATAAAACCATACTCACTCCTTCATTTTAACTTGGACAAACACGTCTTGCCCTGAAGGAAATGATGTCACGGTTATCTCCCTTGCTTCCTGGCTTTCAGTTTTGATTATTGAATACCTCGGACAAATGTAGTGTTATCCAAGGTACTCTGCTGCCAGCTGTCATCTATATGTTCTATATACTGCTTGTCCTTGCCCTGATGTTGCCTACTTGGTCCCAAAAAGAATAGAAATAAAAAGGGTTTGAAGAATTAAAATTAAAGTTCATGAATAGCCCAGCTTAAAGAGTCTGGAAATTATGTGAACTGATTTCTTTTTGTGATTTAATTACTTCCATTTTCTGTTATCATTTTTTTTGCTATTTGAAGGTAACATCAGTTACACCATCACTGGGGTCACAAGGACAGGTGACCTTGACCTCTACTTCTGAAGGTCGACGACCATGCGACGAACGAGGCGGTCCCAGTCTTGCACACTCAGCTGTCTCTTGAGCAGCTGCAGCAGGTACAACTGTTCCCGGAGCTGTGAATGGAATCAAAGGCTGTTTCAACAAAAGTGTCTTGTGTCCCTTGATATTTCTTTTTCATCATGACAGGTCTTTGAATTCATCTAACAATTTTTTATAATCCATAACCATCCTTGTTGAGCGATGGAGCTACAATGTTGCATTGGCCATATTCCAGGCCTCATATCCATAGTTTTACAGTTTTATGATCTATAATTGATCGAGACAAACAATTCTCTACTATGATTATAAACCCCAGCTCCACCCCCATCACCCACCCCCTGCTGATGCCCAACCCCACCCCAGCTGATGCCCAACCCCACCCCAGCTCCACCCCCTGCTGATGCCCACCCCACCCCCAGCACCTACCCCCTGCTGATGCCCAACGCCACCCCCAGCACCCACCCCCTGCTGATGCCCAACGCCTCCCCCAGCACCCACCCCCTGCTGATGCCCACCCCCACCCCCAGCACCCACCCCCAGCACCCACCCCCTGCTGATGCCCAACGCCACCCCCAGCACCTACCCCCTGCTGATGCCCAACGCCACCCCCAGCACCCACCCCCTGCTGATGCCCAACGCCTCCCCCAGCACCCACCCCCTGCTAATGCCCAACCCCATCCCAGCTCCAACCCCTACTGATGCCCAACCCCATCCCAGCTCCACCCCCTACTGATGCCCAACCCCACCCCCTACTGATGCCCAACAACACCCCCATCCCCTACTGATGCCCAACCCCAGCCCCAGCTCCGACCCCTACTGATGCCCAACCCCATTCCCAGCTCCACCCCCTGCTGATGCCCAACCCCACCCCCAGCACCCACCTCCTGCTGATGCCCAACCCCACCCCCAGCACCCACCTCCTGCTGATGCCCAACCCCATCCCCAGCACCCACCTCCTGCTGATGCCCAACCCCACCCCCAGCACCCACCTCCTGCTGATGCCCAACCCCATCCCCAGCACCCACCTCCTGCTGATGCCCAACCCCATCCCCAGCACCCACCCCCTGCTGATGCCCAACCCCACCTCCAGCACCCACCTCCTGCTGATGCCCAACCCCACCTCCAGCACCCACCTCCTGCTGATGCCCAACCCCATCCCCAGCACCCACCTCCTGCTGATGCCCAACCCCATCCCCAGCACCCACCCCCTGCTGATGCCCAACCCCACCTCCAGCACCCACCTCCTGCTGATGCCCAACCCCACCTCCAGCACCCACCTCCTGCTGATGCCCAACCCCACCTCCAGCACCCACCCCCTGCTGATGCCCAACCCCACCCCCAGCACCCACCTCCTGCTGGTACTCCTCCTCGGCTGCCTCTGTCCTGAGCTCCTCACACTTCTGTAGTGCTTCCTCCTGGGAAGGCTGAGGCTTGTCACTGGAAACCAGCTCAAAGTTGACTATCTCAGCTGCATGCAGGGCTTCCTCCATGTTGTTATCCACCTTGATGCAGCGGGTGGCATTGTGGTAGCCGGGGGCAACAACTGTGACACGGTAGTACCCGTCAATCAGCAGGCGATAGTAGTCCCCACCTGCAGCTGTAGAGAGAACAACGACCCCTGATGAAGATCACATAGTTGTAGGAGAATTATGAGAGTCAGCTGTCAGAAAATGCTGTCAAATGATATCACATTCCTGGGTCTTGATCTACAAAGCTAGAGCAACGACCAAAGTCCATTTTAAGGAATGGGAGTGCTCAGACTGTCTCAAGTCTATGGTAAAGTATGGGAGTGCTAGGACTGTCTCAAGTCTATGGTAAAGTATGGGAGTGCTAGGACTGTCTCAAGTCTATGGTAAAGTATGGGAGTGCTAGGACTGTCTCAAGTCTATGGTAAAGTATGGGAGTGCTAGGACTGTCTCAAGTCTATGGTAAAGTATGGGAGTGCTAGGACTGTCTCAAGACTATGGTAAAGTATGGGAGTGCTAGGACTGTCTCAAGTCTATGGTAAAGTATGGGAGTGCTAGGACTGTCTCAAGTCTATGGTAAAGTATGGGAGTGCTAGGACTGTCTCAAGACTATGGTTAAGTATGGGAGTGCTAGGACTGTCTCAAGTCTATGGTAAAGTATGGGAGTGCTAGGACTGTCTCAAGTCTATGGTAAAGTATGGGAGTGCTAGGACTGTCTCAAGTCTATGGTAAAGTATGGGAGTGCTAGGACTGTCTCAAGTCTATGGTAAAGTATGGGAGTGCTAGGACTGTCTCAAGTCTATGGTAAAGTATGGGAGTGCTTGGGAGTGCTAGGACTGTCTCAAGTCTATGGTAAAGTATGGGAGTGCTAGGACTGTCTCAAGTCTATGGTAAAGTATGGGAGTGCTAGGACTGTCTCAAGTCTATGGTAAAGTATGGGAGTGCTAGGACTGTCTCAAGTCTATGGCAAAGTATGGGAGTGCTAGGACTGTCTCAAGTCTATGGTAAAGTATGGGAGTGCTAGGACTGTCTCAAGACTATGGTAAAGTATGGGAGTGACGACAGTCAAAGTGCTAGGACTATGAGGGTAAATGTTATTGAAGTATATTCACTAAACAGATGTATTTGCCAAACTGACATTCTTTTTATCAAGTTTTGAGGCTTTCCAAGCTTGTGTTAATCTTACAGTTAGAGAGTGTGTTGTGGCAGTGTCTGCATTGGGTACACACCTGTGACAAGATCATGAGCAATATACTCTCCAGATGTCAAGTTGGTCGTCTTGATGGCAGCATCCTTAACAGGAACTCCATCTGTTGTCTTCACAACACCCTTGACTCCGATGTGACTCTGAAATAAACCATATAATGTTGGTTGTAGCAATGTACAAGCAGCCATTGACGTACCTATATGACTGGCCGACCCATGGATAGTCAAATGATATATGCTTTCATGATGAAAGTTATGGTAACACTACAGGTCGCTTATATTGGCATTTCTTTCTGACAATGCATGCATAGCTTCTGACGTGTTTGAATGAACATAAAGCTTCAGTCAACTTCAGTATATACGTGACCAGATTGTTTAATAGTGTAGGGGAGTGTATCTGAATACTTTTTGTCAGAGCTCCGTTCAATCAATTCTAAATCAGACATTTTGTACTCGTCTCTTGAGCCCTACAGCTGGTACCCGGGTAGTAAATTTAGACTTGTCCTAGTCCTAGCCCTACCCCTGGCAATGCGGCAACTGACTTTTGCTCCGAGCGTGCTGCAGGTGCCCCCTACCTGCAGGATGTAGAAGATGAGGGCCTCTCGGTTCTGTTGCCAGTAGTCTTCCAGCTCCGACTCCCGTGGAAACTTTGTGCAGCCCAGCTCCAGGGTGATCTCAAAGCAGTTGGTGTCAAGGTAGTTATAGTCCTGCATGCCTAGATGGGGGATATACACATAGTTATAGTCCTGCATACCTAGATGAGGGGATATACACATAGTTATAGTCCTGCATACCTAGATGGGGGGATATACACATAGTTATAGTCCTGCATGCCTAGATGGGGATATACACATAGTTATAGTCCTGCATACCTAGATGGGGGATATACACATAGTCATAGTCCTGCATACCTAGATGGGGGATATACACATAGTTATAGTCCTGCATACCTAGATGGGGGATATACACATAGTTATAGTCCTGCATACCTAGATGGGGGGATATACACATAGTTATAGTCCTGCATACCTAGATGGGGGATATACACATAGTTATAGTCCTGCATACCTAGATGGGGGATATACACATAGTTATAGACCTGCATACCTAGATGGGGGATATACACATAGTTATAGTCCTGCATACCTAGATGGGGGATATACACATAGTTATAGTCCTGCATACCTAGATGGGGGATATACACATAGTTATAGTCCTGCATACCTAGATGGGGGATATACAGGTAGTTATAGTCCTGCTTACATACAGCGCAATTCCAGAATGGAATATTTGAGTTTCTGTCACTGTTAAAGGTTTTGTTTGAATACTGAAATACTTCTGTGGATGCATCACCTCATCACTACTTAACTGACCTCCAGGGACGGAGTACCACTGTCCTCCGTTAGTGATGCCACCGTGCCTCCCGAAGTTGTCATCACCGGTCATGTCGCAGGGTTTGTGGGGCTGAGCCATCAAAGTGTGGGCCATGGCGTAGGACCCAGCCAGATACCTGACACAGACAGACATGGGGGATTGAACATCAGATGGAACCTACCAGCTGTCAGGACTATCTCACTGAATTGATACAGTTGTAGTTTATTACATATATGCCAAAGGCCAACATGCAAAGATAATACCAAAAATACATTGAGCACATTTAGGATGGACAGATTGTTACCTCACCCCCGTCACAACCCACTCAAAGACGAGACCCTTGACCCTCGGTGATTACAAAACAAACAGCACACTAATTCACTGGGGATAGCTAATCCTCCATAAAGAGTGCCAGTAGAGTTGATACCAAGATGTTTGTTTATGGAGGGAGGGAGGGAGCAGATGCTTTAGTATTTGATCAGTTTGTGACTATGGAAGCAGTCGGTATCCAGGTACCAATATGTTTAGAATACTTTCAAAAAGTCCCAGAACCTATACTGTAAATCTTGAAATTGATGTGAGCGTGAATTAAATGCGAAAAATGTGAGTGGTCTTCGCATTTATGTCTCCAAAATGACTATCAACAATAATACGGCCTCAGTGCACACTTTGGAAAACTTGAATATAAACACAAACATGGTTTATAGAACAGCAGTTGTAACAAGTATATAACAATGTCATTGAAACGATAGGTATTACACTATGGGCGTGTGATGAGTCATCACTGCTAGGATCAAGAGTTCTACCCACTTGTGTCAAGCTTGTTGACACCTTCTCTGGATACCAATCAGTGACATGGTGCTGGTTCAATTATTTTATTGCCTTTGAACTTCCTTAATGCCAGTCAACAGAGTAAACATATAAACTGTGTGTTGTTTACAGGAAAACATTGTTTATTGTTTTTACGGAAGTGCTCTTCTCAGTGCTACTAAGCGATGCTGTTTGTTGTCTGATTGGATTAAGGTAAGGATGTGTATCATTCCACTGGGGATGGGGTGGGGGGAGTCGCATTGATTTTGAGTCAAATTTTTGGCTAGGGGACTGCACTTGTATTAATTTGGAGACGCATTAATTTCCAGATATACAGTATTTTCTTCACCATCCAATTAACTGTGTGTAAAAGAAGAACTCCCCACTGAGCACTAATTGATCAGGTTACCATATTTGACGTAATAAGCGCTCGACGCTCTCAAAATTAGAAATAGGGAGCCCTTATTTGAATATTATTTTGGTGAAGAAAAACATAGTTGAAAGATAAATTTTGTTGTTTATGCTGACAGCCTGAAATGTTTATGTACGACAGATATATTTTTCCAGATTTTAATTGCCCATAAATAAGGGTGCATATAACACATGTGTGCGTATTATACCGAATAAATAAGTCTTGTGTACATTGATCAATCGGAAGAGTTGCAAATTGGGCTTGTTCACTAGCCAATATATCGGCAAATATCGCCGTGGGCGCTTATTAGAGCGGGGCGCTTATTACGTCGAATACGGTATTAAATACGAGTAATTAAATACATATTAATATTTCCATAATGACATAAACAAAACATTACAAAGAAAATGATTAATGGAAATGTGAGATAAAATCTTTAATGTAAACAAATTCCCTACCACCCACTGAACAGCCCTTACAAGTGACATGAGTTCCCCAGTCACATGTAGAGAGAAAGAAAAGATGATTTCTTGACCCATAATCGTGCTGAATAGACACACCTCCAGCGAAAAATAAGGGTGAGTGAGTGAGTTGGTTTAACGCCACTTTTAACAAAATATTTCTGTTACATCTTGTAGTGTCAGCTTAATGTTGGATGACACCTATGCCCTCATAGCAACTAGTTGTCATGGCGACGTGTGTATACACCTCAAAGTTTCATCATCTGGTGCCTTGGTGTACTCCTGTGGCTTGCCGCTGCGGGTTGCGTCGTACGGGTAGTTGGCAACAAGGTCCCCACCGTGGAGGTTAGCGGACAGAACGAAGGGGATCTGAGACAGCCATCTCATGACAGCACGCGTCTCAGGCTGCAGCTAAAAGGTCAAGGTCAGAAAAAGGCTGAAATGTATTGTTTATATTCCAAATGTGTTTGAATTGTTGAACTTGTTAAGAACTAACAAGACAGCACAATAATATCAATGTTGTATATTTAGTATTTCATACAGGCCTAGCATAAAATAATTTATACAAGACAAAATTTGTGATACTTTTCTCACTAACAACAAATTGCTTTCTTATTGCCTATGATTCACCATATCTGACATGCTCAAGTCATACAGTGCACAACGTACATTGGTGACGTTTTTAATGGCGAAGTCCACTTTCTCCAAATGGTTGTTGCGCCCTTTGTGTTGTGCCTCGTGCTGGTACATGAGCTTGTTCAGGTCCGGGAAGTTGCGGTTCAGGTCCACGCTGTTGTTGTTGCTGCGACCGATAAGCCAGTCAGGCTCTCCACCCTTTGCCTGGTAATAGGAAAAATAGCAGGTAAAGTATATTGGTGAAGACACATCAGGTAAAGCAAATTGGTGAAGACCCATCAGGTAAAGTACACCGTCAAGACACGTCAGGTAAAGTATATTGGTGAAGACACATCTGGTAAAGCATCAGGTTCCTGTAGGCCTCCCTCCCATCACCACGTACCTTGAGGTTCCTGTAGGTCTCCCTCCCACCCATCACCACGTACCTTGAGGTTCCTGTACGTCCCCCTCCCACCCATCACCACGTACCTTGAGGTTCCTGTACGTCTCCCTCCCACCCATCACCACGTACCTTGAGGTTCCTGTAGGTCTCCCTCCCACCCATCACCACGTACCTTGAGGTTCCTGTAGGTCTCCCTCCCACCCATCACCACGTACCTTGAGGTTCCTGTACGTCCCCCTCCCACCCATCACCACGTACCTTGAGGTTCCTGTAGGTCTCCCTCCCACCCATCACCACGTACCTTGAGGTTCCTGTACGTCCCCCTCCCACCCATCACCACGTACCTTGAGGTTCCTGTACGTCTCCCTCCCACCCATCACCACGTACCTTGAGGTTCCTGTACGTCCCCCTCCCACCCATCACCACGTACCTTGAGGTTCCTGTACGTCCCCCTCCCACCCATCACCACGTACCTTGAGGTTCCTGTAGGTCTCCCTCCCACCCATCACCACGTACCTTGAGGTTCCTGTACGTCCCCCTCCCACCCATCACCACGTACCTTGAGGTTCCTGTACGTCCCCCTCCCACCCATCACCACGTACCTTGAGGTTCCTGTACGTCCCCCTCCCACCCATCACCACGTACCTTGAGGTTCCTGTAGGTCTCCCTCCCACCCATCACCACGTACCTTGAGGTTCCTGTAGGTCTCCCTCCCACCCATCACCACGTACCTTGAGGTTCCTGTACGTCTCCCTCCCACCCATCACCACGTACCTTGAGGTTCCTGTATGTCCCCCTCCCACCCATCACCACGTACCTTGAGGTTCCTGTAGGTCTCCCTCCCACCCATCACCACGTACCTTGAGGTTCCTGTAGGTCTCCCTCCCACCCATCACCACGTACCTTGAGGTTCCTGTAGGTCTCCCTCCCACCCATCACCATGTACCTTGAGGTTCCTGTAGGTCTCCCTCCCTCCCATCACCATGTACCTTGAGGTTCCTGTAGGTCTCCCTCCCTCCCATCACCATGTACCTTGAGGTTCCTGTAGGTCTCCCTCCCACCCATCACCACGTACCTTGAGGTTCCTGTAGGTCTCCCTCCCACCCATCACCACGTACCTTGAGGTTCCTGTAGGTCTCCCTCCCACCCATCACCATGTACCTTGAGGTTCCTGTAGGCCTGGTCCCTCCCTCCCTCCCATCACCACGTACCTTGAGGTTCCTGTAGGCCTGCTCCCAGCCATCGGGGTTCATGGAAGGCATAATGTGGATGCGCGTGTTGCGCACCAGGAAGTGGACCAACTCGTCACCCTGCTGGTAGCGCTCGCACAGGAAGTCGATGAGCTTGAGAAGCACCTCCCGGCCCACGACTTCGTTACCATGCATGTTGCCAACATACTTGAACTCAGGCTCACCTGAAACAAACATGGCATTTAGTAGTTTTCCAGCAAAATTCACATGAATATTCAGTTTCAAAAGTGTTGTCTTGACCTTCCAGGCAGACGTCCACTGATCTGTATCCTTACAAGTGAAACAGCTACAGAAGCTCACCTTCATTGGAAGACATGAAATCCCTGCCTTCTCAGGGGCTTTAGACATGTACAACGATTTCAACGCTCTCAGCAGCTGTAGACATGAACGACAATCAGTAGCTTGTCAGCAGTTCTAGACATGAACAACGATCTCAACCATCTCATTAGACATGAACAACGTTAACCATCTCAGTAGCTCTAGACATGAACAACGATCTCAACCATCTCAGTAGCTCTAGACATGAACAACGTTTACCATCTCAGTAGCTCTAGACATGAACAACGTTAACCATCTCAGTAGCTCTAGACATGAACAACGTTAACCATCTCAGTAGCTCTAGGCATGAACAACGTTAACCATCTCAGTAGCTCTAGACATGAACAACGATCTCAACCATCTCAGTAGCTCTAGACATGAACAACGTTAACCATCTCAGTAGCTCTAGACATGAACAACGTTAACCATCTCAGTAGCTCTAGACATGAACAACGATCTCAACCATCTCAGTAGCTCTAGACATGAACAACGTTAACCATCTCAGTAACTCTAGACATGAACAACAATCTCAACCATCTCAGTGGCTCTCCATACTGATGGGTACCGAAACGATTTTGTTTGTAACTTAACACTGCACTCAATCTAGTATGGGCCAGACAACCCAGTGATTGACAACATGAGCATTGATTCACGTAATTGGGATACAATGACATACATGAACCAAGTCAGCGAGCCTGACCACCCGATCCCGATGGTCTCCCTGTGTCAGTGGGAGTCAAGTACACAGAATTATGAATCAATTTACACATTCTACCTTAAAAAACATAGGGTTTTTGGGAGATTCATTTGATTTAGATTTTACAGGCGTTTTAGAGAATTGAAGGTAGAACTGGATGGAAGTATGAATGGGGAGCAGATGGCTGAGAGTTGGACATGTGACCTAGCTTAGTCCATCTACCTGGTCTGTAGAACCACAAATGCAAAACTCCCCAAATATGGAATAGTAATTCTTGTGAACTGCTGCGGTCAACATGTTTCAAGAAAAATAAACAACCAGCAGGTTAACAGGAAGTGAAGTTACAACTTGACTTGACTCATTTTTCAGGGACGACTAACGGCAAATCGATGTTAAACCTGTTGTCTGGGATCACATGTTCATAGCAGCTGTAGACGTCAGCCAGACTCCCATCTATTGGTGTTAATTACCCTGCTTGTATCTTATATCTACTAGCAGTCAATACTGTGATACATAAATATATCCCATATATCTACTAGCAGTCAATACTGTCATACATAAATATATCCCATATATCTACTAGCAGTCAATACTGTCATACATAAATATATCACATATATCTACTAGCAGTCAATACTGTGATACATAAATATATCCCATATATCTACTAGCAGTCAATACTGTCATACATAAATATATCCCATATATCTACTAGCAGTCAATACTGTCATACATAAATATATCCCATATATCTACTACCAGTCAATACTGTGATACATAAATATATCCCATATATCTACTACCAGTCAATACTGTGATACATAAATATATCCCATATATCTACTAGCAGTCAATACTGTGATACATAAATATATCCCATATATCTACTAGCAGTCAATACTGTGATACATAAATATATCCCATATATCTACTAGCAGTCAATAATGTGATACATAAATATATCCCATATATCTACTAGCAGTCAATACTGTGATACATAAATATATCCCATATATCTACTAGCAGTCAATACTGTGATACATAAATATATCCCATATATCTACCAGTAGTCAATATTGTGATACATAAATATATCCCATATATCTATTAGCAGTCAATACTGTGATACATAAATATATGCAATATATCTACCAGCAGTCAATACTGTGATACATAAATATATCCCATATATCTACTAGCAGTCAATACTGTCATACATAAATATATCCAATATATCTACCAGCAGTCAATACTGTGATACATAAATATATCCCATATATCTACTAGCAGTCAATACTGTCATACATAAATATATCCAATATATCTACCAGCAGTCAATACTGTCTTACATATATATATCCACTCTCTGGCACCTAGTGGTCATGTGTAACTAGGGATAGGTGTTGGAGGTTACTGGGGTCTCTCTGGCACCTAGTGGTCATGTGTAACTAGGGATGGGTATTGGAGGTTACTGGGGTCTCTCTGGCACCTAGTGGTCATGTGTAACTAGGGATGGGTATTGGAGGTTACTGGGGTCTCTCTGGCACCTAGTGGTCATGTGTAACTTGGGATGGGTATTGGAGGTTACTGAGGTCTCTCTGGCACCTAGTGGTCATGTGTAACTAGGGATGGGTATTGGAGGTTACTGAGGTCTCTCTGGCACCTAGTGGTCATGTGTAACTTGGGATGGGTATTGGAGGTTACTGAGGTCTCTCTGGCACCTAGTGGTCATGTGTAACTTGGGATGGGTATTGGAGGTTACTGGGGTCTCTCTGGCACCTAGTGGTCATGTGTAACTAGAGATGGGTATCGGAGGTTACTGAGGTCTCTCTGGCACCTAGTGGTCATGTGTAACTAGGGATGGGTATCGGAGGTTACTGAGGTCTCTCTGGCACCTAGTGGTCATGTGTAACTTGGGATGGGTATTGGAGGTTACTGGGGTCTCTCTGGCACCTAGTGGTCATGTGTAACTTGGGATGGGTATTGGAGGTTACTGGGGTCTCTCTGGCACCTAGTGGTCATGTGTAACTAGAGATGGGTATCGGAGGTTACTGAGGTCTCTCTGGCACCTAGTGGTCATGTGTAACTAGGGATGGGTATCGGAGGTTACTGAGGTGTCTCTGGCACCTAGTGGTCATGTGTAACTTGGGATGGGTATTGGAGGTTACTGGGGTCTCTCTGGCACCTAGTGGTCATGTGTAACTAGGGATGGGTATTGGAGGTTACTGGGGTCTCTCTGGCACCTAGTGGTCATGTGTAACTTGGGATGGGTATTGGAGGTTACTGGGGTCTCTCTGGCACCTAGTGGTCATGTGTAACTTGGGATGGGTATTGAAGGTTACTGGGGACTATCTGGCACCAAGTGGTCATGTGTAACTAGGGATGGGTATTGAAGGTTACTGGGGACTATCTGGCACCAAGTGGTCATGTGTAACTAGGGATGGGTATTGGAGGTTACTGAGGTGTCTCTGGCTCCTAGTGGTCATGTGTAACTAGGGATGGGTATCGAAGGTTACTGGGGACTATCTGGCACCTAGTGGTCATGTGTAACTTGGGATGGGTATCAGAGGTTACTGGGGTCTCTCTGGCACCTAGTGGTCATGTGTAACTAGGGATGGGTATTGAAGGTTACTGGGGACTATCTGGCACCTAGTGGTCATGTGTAACTAGGGATGGGTATTGAAGGTTACTGGGGACTATCTGGCACCAAGTGGTCATGTGTAACTAGGGATGGGTATTGGAGGTTACTGGGGACTATCTGGCACCAAGTGGTCATGTGTAACTAGGGATGGGTATTGGAGGTTACTGAGGTGTCTCTGGCTCCTAGTGGTCATGAGTAACTAGGGATGGGTATCGAAGGTTACTGGGGTCTCTCTGGCACCTAGTGGTCATGTGTAACTAGGGATGGGTATTGGAGGTTACTGGGGTCTCTTGGGCACCTAGTGGTCATGTGTAACTTGGGATGGGTATTGGAGGTTACTGGGGTCTCTCTGGCACCTAGTGGTCATGTGTAACTAGGGATGGGTATTGGAGGTTACTGAGATGTCTCTGGCACCTAGTGGTCATGTGTAACTAGGGATGCGTATTGGAGGTTACTGGGGACTATCTGGCACCTCGTGGTCATGTGTAACTTGGGATGGGTATTGGAGGTTACTGGGGACTATCTGGCACCTAGTGGTCATGTGTAACTAGGGATGGGTATTGGAGGTTACTGGGGTCTATCTGGCACCTGGTTGTCATGTGTAACTAGGGATGGGTATTGGAGGTTACTGGGGACTATCTGGCACCTAGTGGTCATGTGTAACTAGGGATGGGTATTGGAGGTTACTGGGGACTATCTGGCACCTAGTGGTCATGTGTAACTTGGGATGGGTATTGGAGGTTACTGGGGTCTCTCTGGCACCTAGTGGTCATGTGTAACTAGGGATGGGTATTGAAAGTTACTGGGGACTATCTGGCACCTAGTGGTCATGTGTAACTAGGGATGGGTATTGAAGGTTACTGGGGACTATCTGGCACCAAGTGGTCATGTGTAACTAGGGATGGGTATTGAAGGTTACTGGGGACTATCTGGCACCAAGTGGTCATGTGTAACTAGGGATGGGTATTGAAGGTTACTGGGGACTATCTGGCACCAAGTGGTCATGTGTAACTAGGGATGGGTATTGGAGGTTACTGAGGTGTCTCTGGCTCCTAGTGGTCATGTGTAACTAGGGATGGGTATCGAAGGTTACTGGGGTCTCTCTGGCACCAAGTGGTCATGTGTAACTAGGGATGGGTATTGAAGGTTACTGGGGACTATCTGGCACCAAGTGGTCATGTGTAACTAGGGATGGGTATTGGAGGTTACTGAGGTGTCTCTGGCTCCTAGTGGTCATGTGTAACTAGGGATGGGTATCGAAGGTTACTGGGGACTATCTGGCACCTAGTGGTCATGTGTAACTTGGGATGGGTATCAGAGGTTACTGGGGTCTCTCTGGCACCTAGTGGTCATGTGTAACTAGGGATGGGTATCGGAGGTTACTGAGGTGTCTCTGGCACCTAGTGGTCATGTGTAACTAGGGATGGGTATTGGAGGTTACTGGGGACTATCTGGCACCAAGTGGTCATGTATAACTAGGGATGGGTATTGGAGGTTACTGAGGTGTC